GTAGCTGGAGACTCAGTCCTGTGTCTGCAATAAATGAAACATTTGACTGTTAAAAGTCAGCAGGATAAGATTTTTCTCAGAAGACATGACTTAAATATGTGGATGACAAAATAAGCAATGACTGCCTTGTTCACAGGGGGGCGCCAAATTGACACAAACCAAAAGTTCCTCATTGGAGTTTTAAAGAAAGACACTGTAAGCTCCTCGCAGCTGCAATTTTTCCTAGCCAAGAGGAAGCTAAATGCTAAAGCTATAGTTCAATGATGTTACATGATATGATTTTGAGATTTTCCTTCTGGTGTTAGGAGAAGTTAATTGTATTTTTAAGACATTTTTTAGCTAACAGAATCTACAGAGTAGTTGCTTGAAGCTAGTCACAGACAGACTTTGCTTATGGTTGGATGCTAATGTACGCTGTTCTCCAGCAGTAGGTAATAGGTGCTCAAATATAGTTTTTCAACTGAAGATTTGCCCCTAGAGATTTTCACTGCCTCTTTGAAATGATACCTCTGAAATGCTACTCTGCCTGTTTAAATGACTGGTATGTTAACACAGAAGTAAAGCATATTTACAAAACGATGACACTCTGTGAGGGTGACTCCAGAGCAAAATAGCTGCCATGTGAACATGGTACACAGAACACTGTGTTGCACCTCTGTTTGTTGCTTCGATCTTTTAAACTCCTCGCCCTTGTTGTACAGCTGTGTGTGTACACCCAAATTTACCCACAATATCCACTAAACTGGTCTGTATTTTTAAATGTTTGTGAATTGCCGCTTGACAAACATTAAATAATATAAATTTAGAACCAAACTGCTTTGCACTTTGCAGTATTTGATATAGGTCAGACAGATTTGGAGTGACACTCCAAAGACATATTGGGATGTTCTAGCTCGATCTTAGATGTTCTAGATGACTCTTAACTGGTTAGATTCAAAAGTTCCATGATGAATAGCTGGATTTAAGTATGTTTTGAGTTGGAAGTGTGATCCCAAGTTACTGCTCAGGGACAGTGGTGATGCAAAAAAATATGTCATGGACTCGTGCGTAAAAGAGAGACAGAAACAGAAATGAAACAGAGATATGAAACTGTCTTCGGCGGGAAAGCTTCCGCTATAATCACTGTGCTCTATGAGTCAAAACTGAAGTCACCCGAGGCTGTAGGGAAATCTTTATTTTATGTTTGATGAAATGACAATGGATAATGAATGAATGTCTTCAAGTCTGACTGGCTGACATTGAGATTTTCTGCCCGTTACAATCCAAACATCGTAAATTTTGTAAAATTGCATTTTCTACACACAGTCGACCAAACTAAAGATATCTGGACTGAACGGACACGAGCCACAATTCTCCGACTTGTTGTCTTCACAGCTGGGTTAACCAAGTAAGGGTCAAACAGCCCAACTCAGTTTTGCGTGGCTCACTGTGAAAACAGAGGAGTTTCTGTAACTGAGAGTTGAGGCCTTCCAATTGAACCTTCTGTGAGAGAAAATGTAAACATATATTTGAGTTTTTTATCTGAATCAAGTGGAAAATGAGACCACTCTTAAATTTGGGTGAAGGAGATCCTTTAAGTGCTTTTGTGATATGTTGACACGGCTGTTGTTGGAGGTGCTTGTTTGTGTACGTGTGCGAGTGTGTGCTCATAAACTGTGTGTTTACCCAAATATGTAGGTGACACCAACAACAGGGAGGCACATCGACCCAACAGAACTGAAGTGAGCAGTATTTTTCAAACATTTCCAAAAAACTGTCTCCCACTTTTCTGAAACTATGTTCACCCCTCGAAAATCACCCAATGATCTGTGATTCATAAATCGGTTAAAGAGAGCTCAATGCACAGGTTTTTTTCTGCAATAACTGCTGATGTTGCGCGTCTACACCTTAAAGGACTAAATCCCCTACTGATCACACTTTATTTCATGTCCTTCAGATGCATGCAGTTCTTCCCCTCAGTGTGTACAGAGGCAACCTGTGGAGATGGCTAAGAGAGTTAGCGAGAGATTATAATAATATGAAATCAAAAGTAGTGAGTATTTGGATGCAAATACAAATCTGTATTCTCAACGTGAATAGGATAATGTCTGGCATGCATTGTTAAATAAAAAAATCCAATAGATTGGTACTCCTTGTCTTGCGTCTTTTTACTACACTTGAATTTAAGGGAATCAAAGAAATAAAGGACTGATGCATATTTGTTTGTGTGTGTTGGTTTGTGACGAATGTAATCGGATTTAATCAACAAGTTTAACGATACCTTTTCAGCAGTAATGATAAAGATAGTCAATGCACAGGAGGACGCAAAAAGGAAATTATCTATTGTGGATGTGTTCCCAACATCAGGCACATCCTCAATCCTTTGACTCCCCTCCTATCAGAGAGCTGTTAACCTCCTCGACTCCTAAAACATCAAAAGCCCTCAGCGTGAGAACCGTCAGGTAATGAGGCAGATCACACCAGCTGTTCTGCCACTCTGCATTCGAGGCACAAACCAGCCCCCACTCCACACCCCTGCTGCTGAGATGAAGGGGACAGGTGCTGCATGTTTGACTGTCAATCTTCAAACTCTTTCACTGCCATGATGCACACCAACAGCACTTCTTAATAAAACAGTTTTTGAGTCTTGAGTTTTTGTGTAATGTGGTCTAAACCTGCAATTTGATCTTTTATTTTAACCTGTTGCAAGACAATATGCACCCCAACACAATAATGTCCTTGAATTGTATTTACACCTCTGTAGCACTCTGAAGAAAGACTGTTTTTATACCCAGATACACAATTACATGCATGCAAAGATAGAAGATGAATTTTCTACTTTTTTGTTTTAAGCCTAAATTCGTCAATTAAGAAATATCAACCTGTTCTCAAAGCTCCTCAGCCTGTAAATAATTTTGGCAACCCTGGTGGACAAAGTACACTTCGTTTATCTTTGCCTATTTGACCTAAAGTTGTGTATTTTTACATAAAGTCTCATTATTCTGACTTTTGGTGGTCAAATGGGGAGAATTTTATGTGGGAAACAGTGCTGTTTCTTTTGTCACCTGGCTAACACCTACCCCTACCCCCTCTCCCTAAAGTTTTTTTTTTTGCCTTAAATTTCGAGATGTAAAATGTCAGTCTTGTCACTGATGGTTGTGTTTGCTTTTGAAGATCATAAAAAAGCATCAGCATGAAATTTGGTGTACTTTATAAATGTCAAAAAACTCCTCACACGAGCTTTAAATGGGCTACAGTTTACAGCTCCAGAAAGGAACTTCCAGTCTGTGTAAATTTTGTTGTCACCTAAATTTCAAACAGTCTTTGCTTATCTTGTCTTCTTCATGCTAAAGCAGTCCGTATGTTTACTTACAGTTCATAAAAATCAATTCATTGCCTCAGTCTGACTGAGACTAAAAAAATGTGAACATATTTGTTCTGATTGAAATCACACTAAATCAAACTTCTCATAATCAGACTAACATACCTGGGTGTTGAAGTTAGAGATCAATTTTCTCTGTCATGTATACGGCTCAGTCGAAATCAAACTGGCTTAAGTGTTCTGTGCATGCCGGATTGAGCTGAAAGTTGAATAGCAAGGATACGTTGCCAGGAAGCCAGGTGGTAAACAAAACCTTGACAGAAAGAAAGGACGTAAATAAGGCGAAATTTCCCAGACAAACAGAACAGAGCTGTAAAAGGTGATAGTGTTTTTATCGTTCTGTTCATCCTGTCAGCCTCTTGCGAACACGTTTTACTGGCTGTTTCACGACGTTATCTATGAACCAGGAGTTGACCTGATAGTAACAATTTGTCAACCTACTAACACCCACAGGCAGGCATGCCTCGGTTAATAATCCCATTTTTGCCCAGTGCACATAAACTGGGATAAGAACAGTAGTCCAGTTCAATCACCTAATCAAGCTTTAATTGTAGTCAGACACGACTGTGTGTAAATGTACAGTGACAAAAAAAAATCTCATCCTGGTGCCATGTGACAGTCAAATGTTTAGTCAAATACTTTTCGGAGAAATTATGTCACATTAAAATCATAAGTCATGTTGCTGATGGTTTTGTTTGCTTTTGAATGTCATATAAGTGCAAGTGTCTGTGTCTTGGATATCAAAAACCTCCTCACAGAAGCTTAAAACTATATCAAAGTCAAACATTAAGGTTCATCGTAGTCAAATGACAGTACTGAAGCATTACCCGTTAAATGTTCTTATGGTATCATTAGTCAAAACTGCCCTTCCGAATTATTATTGCAGGGGTACAAGTAGCTAAGTAGAAGTCTGCATTGTTGATTAAACATTATATCTATGAAAAACTTCTATGTTTCATCTTCTTGGAAGTTTTCTAACCACGTTAATCATTTCATTTAACCTTCCTCCTGGGTTAGCTTTTACTACGCACCCACCATGTTAAGGGTCGGTTAAATTGGCTGTACATTACACTAAAAACAATTCTCTATCATCCATTTCGATTCTCATCTCTAGGTTACCTTGTTAGGCTTCATTATCCATGAAAATATTGCTTATAATAGTTTTTTTTAGTGGGCCTCTGAGACTTAATTTGTCAGTATACCCCTCATACAGTCATACTGAATTGATCTTACATGTCTGGACATGCCAAACATAGTTTTTTGTGCAGGGAAAAACAGGCAAAATGAGAATTTACTAAATCTCCTATGATTGGAAGAGGATCTGACTGTCAGTGCACTTATGATTTTAGTTTTTGCTCTAATTATTAGATACTGATCTAATCGGGTCAACGGCAACCCTAACAGGACAAATCATATAATTTTAATAAAAGCATTTTTATCATTCAGTCTTTTTTATTTTTATTTTGTTAAAACAGAGGTAAAAAAGCAAATTAGTGTGGTTCTTTAAGCATTTAAAAACAAAAACGGGTCGGTGCAGACCCTACCACAGGAGGAGGGTTACATCAATGCATCACATACCCTATAGGATAAATAGTCGTGTGTGCCTATAAAGCCACCAGTTAACTCGCCCTCTAATTCAGTGGGCTGGTCAAATTGCGTGGCGTAAACTCATGGCATGCGCGTGCAAGGGAACACGTTGTACCGAGACAATTCACGTGCAACCGCCTCCTTCCTCGCGCGCGCCCGCCCGCACGCGTAAAAAAAAAAATAAGGTAGAAACTCTGACACAACCACACGTCGTGTCAGCACAACAACATGACCCAGAAGCACCGTGTGCACTTTTGAACCTGAGGGGGAGCAACGAGTGGCAGGCAGCCGCAGAAGAACAGGAGTCGAGGCCCCTCCTCTTCCACAGAAATGTTTACCTCGCCGCCGGAGGAGGAGCTGCTGCTGGGCGCCTGCTGCTGACTGCGCACGCCCCGCCAAGAAACTTTTCAACGGGGGTGGTTTTCCTGGAAAGTTGGGGGGTTCTGCAACCGATCCGAAAAAGTAAAGGCGGAGTTCTTGTACGGGATAAAGGGCGAGGAAGTCCTGCTTTGTTTGAGCCAACGCAGCATTTGCTGTGCGCAAACAGGGAACTTGACAGACTTTGCTGAACTCTCCTTTCTGGATTCCCTTCCATACCTTGCTTCTCATATCGTGTGAGCATTTGGCACGAGTTCAAATGAAGGGATCAGTGTAAAACCGTATGTAGGCGGTGAGACACTGCAAGATTTATGACATGAGTAGGATATTTTTGTTGAGGAGAGGCGTGGTGCACCTATTGCCTGCTTTGAAATGCTCCTGCAACGTGAAATTCCCATGTTTAAAAATGTGCGCAGCTTTATTATTTGAGGAAACCCCCAGTCTCGTGGGTAGTTAGAGTCATGTGCAAATAAAGTTCAGGTAAGCACCTATCATCATGGGTGGCATAACTTTGTCTTAATCACCTTTTTTATTACAAACAGCCCTGGAGAACAACATGTATCCAATTGTTGTTCACACAGTTCCTAACTGTTGCATTGCTCAATCCCTGCTCCCCCACAGCCAAGTAATATTTTCTAGGAACTTCACTCATGAATGAACCACCCATTGCACTAGAGGCTGCTTTTTTTTCTTTTGAGTGGGGTCTTGTTACACTTCCAAGTGGACTATCAGCATTGCAGCCTCTCTGTAAGTGTATTTATAGGATCTTAAATGTGCATTTATTGTCATTCGAATAGCCAAACTACTTCCCCCTAAAGTTAGTGCTTTATAATACATGCAGCCGAATTGTGAGCCTTTTTATGGAGCTCATTTCTGTAAAAGGCCACGAGTTATTATGAGCACACATTTACTGGTTGAACACATATTAAATGGACTATGTGATTGTGGTTTGACACTGTCGCAATCATCAGCTGTCTACTTCAATGTTAGTTTGTGAAAAAAACATCACATGGTGCGAGAGACAAAGACCTGACACCAGACTCCACTGTTAAACCCTGAGAGAGCGTTCAGAGGTCCATCAAGGATAGTGTGTTGACTCAAAGAAGAAATATAACTGACGCCTTATTGAAAGAGCATAATTGAATGAGTGGGAATACTGGCTTTGCAGGATTAAGAAACACATTAAGCTTGGGTGGCTCATGCATCACTTCATAGAAAAAAGTATGAGTCATTGAAGATTGTCTCATTCCTGTCTAGATTTAGCCATTGAATAATTTTCCTGAGTCGAGACTGTAATTTGACCATCTATTATGGAAGAAGCCTTTTATTTTTGCAATGCTTACTTTACTAACTTTAACACACTTCTAGTTGATAGATCATTAATAGAAGGTATAACTCTTCTTTTACTCTGGTTACATAAGCGACTATGGTACTCATAAAACAATAACTAACTATATAACTTCTGATGCATAGCGTGTCTCATTTTGCTTCTGTAACTAGTAATCATCAACGACCCCATAAAATACAAAAATTAAACTTTTATAATGAATCTTATGAAACCTGTACATCATGGGCTACAACTGAGAGAAAAAAAAAACTAGGTTATACAATGAAAAAGGGGGACTGACCCCTCACACAGTATCAAGTGAGTGAACATCAGTGTTATAGAGTTCAAGTGTAGCTTTGGGGACAGTTGAGGACTGCGCTAAATTGGGATCAGAGCACATATGTGAAACGGGGACACGAGGGAAACCTGTCTCTTAAGCAGCATGGGTCACAGAGGGTGTGCTGGTTTAAACAAAACAAAACACATCTCTCTCTCTCTGTCTCTCTCACTCTCTTTCTCTCTCTGGTGTGATCCCCTGCTCTGTTTGACGCCTCTATCAAATTGAACCATCAGTTTAATTAAAATTCACATTGAAGTATCTAGATGATTGCCTAAAAGCTGGTGTTCACGACAGCTGCTGCATTATTGTCTACCGCATGTTGCATGCATGGCTTGACCTTCACTGATGGACACCTGCAGAGCAACTTATGTTGAAGCTGTAGGCGGGACATCCGGCAGCAAGGCGGTACTTGGTTTCTTAGAAACCATAAAACACCCAAAAAACAAACTACAGACTCTGCAAACAACCGAACAAAACACATCCCTGTAAGCTCTGTCTGTCAGGTTGCCTTGGTGAATTGATGTTTTTCATTTGCTGGTATCTCACTGTAAAGGCAGGACTGCTGCTGTTTGGCAAACTTGTGGTCTATTGTCGTTTCTCTTGTCTTTTGTCTCGCCCACGATGAATTTTCCCTTTCCTGTGTATCGCGTGACCTTGTCAATGGGTCAAAATAGATGCAACCCCTCAATGTAACAATAAGCATGTTGATTTACAATTACGCAACCACATCATACGCTGTGTACTGTCCTTGTGAAAAAATAGGGAGAGAAAAAGAGGAAAAATAATACAATGAACAGGCTTCCGCAGTAAACAGCCTTCTCCAGCATGAGGCAACACTGTGGGCCCGGGGGCGTGGCAAACCGGGTTCATGTAAGGATTCTGCGATGCTGCATTTGGGTGTCTCTTCAGGGTCTGTCGTAAATTTGAGATGCATTTGTCAGGAAGGATGCAAGGAGATGTGGTAATGAGAAAAATAGAAATCCAAGGTATGCGTGTCGTTTTTACCATGGTGTAAGTGAGATAAAACGAGCACAGTTGGTATATTTATCAGATTTCTCCGGTTTGTTCGTGAAGGCATGTCGATACATATTCGACAAGAGATTTCTTTTCAGGGTAGTAATTCATTGAAGGGTCTGTTTTGTGCACAAGCTTGTGGTATATAGAGGACATTCGATGAAAATGATCATTTTGGCATGAAAAAGGATTATTTGCATTAAACATAATGCATTAAAACTTTACATATCAATATAAATCTATGGTAACAGTTCATGTTCAGTAGCCTTTCATTTTTCTAGTGACAGCAGGATATGAGAGTCTGGTTTTTAACCTGTTTTTGAAACTGTAAATCCAACACTTTATTTTCAGAGTGATACATCAAAGGTTATTACTATGTCAACTAACTCGTCACTCCTATTAGGATGGTCCATGAATTTTACTTAAGACTTGTGGAAAAGTAGATACAGGGTATGTATAAATTTGATTCACATCAGTAAGAAATATTTTAATATTTATTTTAGGAGTGAAACCTATTGATCCCCATCCAATTGCATCCTTACCGACTGCTTAATATACAGGTGAAATATGTTTTTTTATATCAACTAACTCGTGACTCTAATTAGGAAGGTCCATGAATTGTACTTAAGACTTGTGGAAAAGTAGTTAAAGGGTGTGTATAAATTAATTTCACAGCAGAAATAAATATTTTAATATTTCTTTTAGGAGTGAAACCTATTGATCCCCATCCGACTGACTCCTTCCCGACTGCTTTATATACAGGTGCAATATGTTTTTTATATCAACTAACTTGTCAATCTTATTATAATGGTCCATGAATTGTACTCAAGAGTTGCGGAAAAGTAGTTAAAGGGTATGTATAAATTTATTTCACATCAGAAAGAAATATTTTAACATATAACCTAAACTTTTACATCGTTGGTTTTATTTCTCAAAATTTATTGTATTTTTAATTGTGTTTTATACATTTTATTTTCTTCTTTTCCTTGCATGGCACCCGTAAAAGTGTGTTATAAATATAATTTATTTTTATTAAATTTATTAATATTTATTTTATGAGTGAAACCTATTGATCCCCATCCAGTTACCTCCTTACCGACTGGTTGATATACAGATGCAATATGATTTTATGTATCACTATACTTCTACGATCCAAATCACTATGTATGTCTATTGTCCCACTTTTAGTGAAATCAATTATGTTCAATTTTGTCTAATTTTTACTCCAACGTTCAATATTAATCTATTTTTTAATCGTCTGATGTATATCGGACATTGTTACTTATATTTCGCAGCCATTACTAGTCCCTGAATGCAGCACCAATCTGATCCCGCCCTCTTTTTGTCTCTTCCTGCTGCTGATTGGCTCAACTATCAATCACTCAGCCATGTATAGGCAATTCTATAAAGCGAGTCATGTTTTCTCCCAGCCAATCACAGCCCTGTTTTTTCGTGACACCGTGGGATTCCGCGAAATTGTTTCTTGGAGTTCGAGCTGGGCTGCCCACAGTAAAATAGGACAAGTTGACGCATGTGTGGCAGGCGGCGCACAGAAAGGCGGAATAAACGGCAGACACAGTTGCTGAGGAAAAAACGCGCTCGGTTTTGTTGTTGAAGAAAAGAACTTCGTGGAGAGGGAGAAAGATAGAGAGAGAGAGAGGAGGGTGAAGAAAGAACCGAGAGCGATTCCGTCTGCTATCTTTCCCGTGGGGGTGTTTATTTCTCCACCCTGCAACCTGAACGAGAAAACGCAGCCTTTGCGGAATAGTCACATTGAAGACGACACGTGTGGATGGTTAACCACATGTTTCCTGGGAGGACTGCAGGCTGATCACTTTAACTAACAATCGGATCGGATTTTTCTATGAGTAGAAATCTCTTTTAGATAAACTGCCTCTTTTTCTTCATCTGCTGAAGTGATGTCGGAGGTCGAGCTGTCTGCAGACTGTGTCCCCAGCCGACCACCGGGTCGGACAGAGGACATGCTGAAAGAGACACCGGAGAACAGGACGTTACTTATGGTGGCTATGATTCTGTTGGACTTGAACAAATGCAGCCCTAACGCTGCAGGAGGAGGTGGAGGAGGAGGTGGCAAATGTCTCGGTGGCAGTGATGCCGGCTCGGTGGAGAAGGTGGACCGGGGGAGTTGCCGGTTGAACCCGGGGGACAACCAGAGGGGGTCGGTGGCACCTACTAAACAGTCCCGGAACAAGAGGGCGGCGGCGGCGGTGGTGGCGGAGGTGGTGTCCACAAGACAGGAGTGTCCCGAGAAGAGACACTGCTGTCCTTTTACGGGCTGTGGGAAGATGTACGGCAAATCGTCCCACCTTAAAGCCCACCTTAGGGTGCACACCGGTAAGTGGTGGATCTTTACGCACGATCAAACTAAGCCTGTACTTGTCTCTGTTGACTACCTGAGGCGATTTCAGTAAGATTCATGGTGGCATCTCGACTTGGAATAAAAGTTCAGAGGGAAATCGAACATAATGACCCCTGATGTGACAGTATAACATAACAAGAGTTAAGAAAAAAACTCATGTTCCTGTAATGAATAACAGATTATAGGAAAGGCGGTCCTGTGAAATTTGCCCCTTGCTGGGGGGTGTGACTGACGGGGCCCATAATGAGCCAGGGGCAGAAGGAGGAGGATGAGGGTGGGGTTGGGGGGGAGTTTGTGTGTCGAGATCATGGGGGGGTTGCTGTGTTTTAATGCGTTGTTGACACGCACTCATAGCGATCTAGGAACACCGCGTGCCGCCGCCCATATTTGCGATCCATGTTAGATATGGTTAAGATGTGAGCAGACATCCACGGACACGACGAGACACGGTGTCATCCGAATAACACTCATCATCATCATCATCATCATCATCATCATCATCATCACCGATCAACATCAGATTAATATCCGTTTATCGCAATAAGAGCGGCTGACAGTGAGGTAAACGGCGACATGTTGGCTTATGATTCACTTGCAGGTCACTGCGACACAGTTGTCCCCACATGTTCTTGTCCTGAGATAACCCTCTCTGCACCACTATTTCCTCATACGTCATTCTCCTCCACCCCCCTCACGTCGGGTTGTAAACAAGGGCAGGCATGTGGTTCAATGGAGCACGTGCAGGAGGAGAAAGAGGAGGGGGGAGCCATGAGTTTCTTTTTTTTTTTTCTTCTCCCCCCTTTTTTTCTTATACTCTCCTATCGTGAGTCACTATTTCTAAATCAATATGCTCTGTTATTGTTCGAAGAAGTAGTTGTTTACACATGCCTTCTCAAATTTTTAGATTTTCCATGAACTAAACAGAAACCAGAAGCTCTTTGTAAAACGACACTCTGCTGTCAACCATGATTATGTATCTGCTCATTTTGTTTTATTGCCAGACCCTCTTTTGCCAAGGATTAAGAGTTTGCATGCATGAATTGCAAGTGTTGTTCTGGAAATAGACTCTTATCTACATTTTGGAAGTTATATACCCAGAGCCAGCCCAAGCTTCAATGGGGACCTAAGCAAAATTAGGTTTTGGGGCCCTCTATTTCTGCCAATAATATTGATTGTTGGCATAGACTGTATATAGAAACAAACAAAATATGTGTTGATTTTCATTTTAGAGTGTGTTAACAGGTTTAGACCATAGACTGTATATAGAATGGACGCCATCTGCCTCCTCACTGGGTGAAGCCACTCTGAGAACAGCACCCTCTAGTGATGGGCTGCAGTATAGGTCATAAATTTATGGAGCTGTGGACAAACTTTAGAGATTTATTACACAGAACATAAATTTGTTCTCCCCCCTGATAGCGGTGTTGACATGTAGTTACTGTAAAGGTCCTTACACACCGGGGCCGACACGAATATAGAGCGCGAAAGTACGAAATATTCGAAGGCGAATTTTGGCGCACCTGACTATACATATCAAGCCCGATGCGATTTTGCGACTTTACGGGGGAAAGAGACGCATCCCGGGGAAAGTCCCGCCTCCTTCGCCTCTGATTGGCTAGAAAAGCTGGAAACGTCATTATGTGCTCAAGCCAAACGGTCAGTACTTATAGCCAATCAGAGGCGATAAGATACTATGGTAACAACTGTTAGCATACGTTAGCACAGATGAAAGTTAAAACCAAGATGTTTAGCAAACCATTAAAGCACACAAACTATTGTCATATGAGAAATCCGACGCTATGAGTCTCCACAAGTTGTCCTTCAGGTCGTTATCTTCGTAATATTTGTGTCTTTTATCAAAAAGCACTTTGTTCTCCGACACATAAACAATCAGCCGGTCGGCCATGTTGGATATACTGGTGAATCTGACGTTACAACAACACGCAATCTGATTGGTCAGAAGTGGACACACAGTATGCGAAACTTTAGAAAAATTGACCGTGATCCGAAAAATGGGATACGCTGTTTGAGTCAAGTGTCACCACAGCAACTCTCAGTGACTCGGTGATGCGTACAATGCTACTGCGCAATGTTGATTTCAGGAAATGAAGAAAAATAACGGAAATACCGAGAGCTTTTAGGCTCCAAATCCTTACACTGACGGGAGGCGGAACCAAGTTGTCCATAGTACATACAGTCTATGATTGTTGGTCATTCACACACCTTCATAAATCTCTTTGATTAACAGTCCATGACATGCAAACATACCTTTATCTCGACGTTATTTCTCTTCTTCCTCTTTCTTTTCTCTGCTCCTGAAGGATATGTCCCTTTTTGTGACATTGTTTTGCCCCACAACTACCTGCACTTTGACATATCGGCAGTAAGAATAATAGGCCTTCATCAGCAGCAACACTAAAATGTTTTTACTTTATTTTATTTTATTTTTACAACAATATATATTTGAGCATACAGAAAGCATCACCCATGCATGCAAAAAAATAAATAATAATTTTCTTTTTATTTTGATTGCTCTTGGGGGGCGCTTAGTTCGCTTATGTCTTTGGCCGGCTCTGTATAAACCTTTAGAACTACTGACTACGACTTTTTTTCTTCCTCTTTTTCTCAGCATAAACAAAGAAATGCATGACTTCCATTTGGGCTCTCTGGGATCACCCACTTTTAATAAGAGAAAAATTCCACTGAAATTGAGCTCTCTAGGGCCCAGTTGTTGCCAAACCAAACCAGCAAGTCAGCATGGTGGAAAACAGAAATATATTTAATTATTCTGCAAATAAGTTTGCTGTAAACAAAAGAAAAGTGAAAAATAGTATTCACTACTGGACCAGGATTCAAGCTTAGCTGTCAGTAATAAACCATTACCATTGAATGTTGTTCAGGAAGTGTTTCCATTTTAAAAATTTCACATTACATGGTTTTAATAAAGAATAAGGCAGCAGAATAATATTAAAGGAAGCCATATCAATATTATTATTGTTTCACAAATAAGCATAAACAGCACGGTCTGTTGGTCCCAAAACAATAAGAAGGCAAAACAATATCAGCAAAGCACAAGGGGTTAAGGTCGAAGCTTATAATGCAGTTCAAGGAAAGTCCTTGAAAGTTTACTGATAAAAATGTGTGTGTGTGTGTTTCCTCAGGTGAGCGCCCCTTCGAGTGTACCTGGCCAGACTGTGGCAAGAAGTTCTCCCGATCAGATGAGCTGACACGTCACTACCGCACACACACGGGCGAGAAACGCTTCAACTGTCCTCTGTGCGACAAGTGCTTTATGAGGAGCGACCACCTGACCAAACATGCGCGGCGACATGCAGGCTTCCATCCCAGCATGCTTCAGGGTTGCGGCACGGCCAAGAGACGCCGCTGCTCTGTGTCCGTGTCCTCCTCTGACTCCGGAGACCAAAGCCCAGCTGGGGTGTGAGAACCACCCACATACTGTACATATATATACAAAAAAAGAACATGCATTAAATACAGAGTCATGTACAAACAAAGGCACACCCACATGTGAGGTGTGCGCACCTTTATACAAATCCCGTCAAGACAGATGAAACAGCCAGACCACTGTTAATTTAGAAAGATGGAGGAGCAAACAAACATTAATAAGAACCTGACTGTAATCAAAGCAGAACTTCCCCCTGTAATTGCATGAAGTGATTGGTATTTATTAAGGGTTATTTGGCTGTCAAAAGGCTCTAAAAGCTTTGCCTTGCTATGTTTTATTTTTTCCTGGATCAAAGTGCAACCCCAGAGGCATTCATGTATATATAATTTTTTTTTTTTTTTACAAACACTACATGTCCTCACTTTTTAGCAATAGAATAATAGGGAGTGCTGGTTTGGTGAATATTATTGTTGCACACATACACTCATACTTGTACAGAAACTCTCCTGTCCAGGACAAGGTGAATGTACAGTATAGCAACAGTATTATTATGTAAATAGATTAAACAGAGTATCAACAGGATGGATGATATACTCAGTATACTGTAGTTAAATGTTATTAGAGAGTAATAAGACAAAGATATTATATAGAGAATAACAGAATGTCATATGTTTGGTTATGGACTCAGATATATTTGTGAGCTTATAGGTCTAGGCAGCGTGTTGAAACCTTAATGTTTTCAAATCATGACACACTTTCAAATAACTGCACCACAATACTTTTGAAAGACCATAATACACACACACACTTGTTACTTTTTTTTACTGTGAGTTGTGTCAATAGTTCAGGAAAACACAACAGGGTAAAACACATAAAGAGTAAAGTCTCATACTTTACTTCTTCACTTGAAGTTTCACACTTTTGGGGTTAAGAAAATAATAATTCATGTGAAGTAAACAAGGACATCTGTGCCTTTAAGGGTTTTGTACCTGAGAGGGAATTTCTACATTTTCAAACTGTGGATTAACTACCTAAATGAACATCATCAGATTCTTTATGTTCAGTATCAATGACTGTCTCATATGCCAACAGTGCCGGTTGCTGCACATTGAATCAAACTTTTGTTTACTCTGTATCTGAACTGCATTATTTCAGGGAATAATGAGGTGCACCGTCATTTCAAGAAAATATCACCCCCCGGTGGTGGAGTGGAAGCACAACATTTCTCACAACAGAAACTCGTGTAAATGTTTTTGTGTGATCCGTCAGATTGAGGCACACTCTGCTGAGAATTTTGTTTTTGAATCAATGAATTACATCATGCAGCATGTTTATATGTATTTGTTTGGTACAATGTTTTTTTAATGTCTGATAATCTTTTATAATATTAATAATGTCGTATGAGGTCTTTCTCCTTCTCTACAGGAGACAGAAACATTGTTTAGATCAGTTTTCTTTTATATGTGCCACATAATGCATTGCAACCCCCAGATGTAGGGAAAGGTGAGGTGCCATTCACCTCATAATACACAAACTACAAACATTTGTAAAGTGTATTCTGTTTTAAGTTTTTGGCATTTTGATGACTGTGATTAGATGTTGGTGCCTTTCAGGTTGAAGTTGTTACTTCTGATGCTACTGTACCGTATCAGGGACTGCCAACGCAGACCCACTGTTATCGCAATATTCATGACTGTGTAATAATTACTGCTCTACAGTTTTAACATTAAAATGGGTTTTCTTCTTAAAAAACCTGCTCATTATTTCAATCCCATAAAGTATTATACCAAGGAAGTCCTCCGAATGAAAACTGGCAGACCAGAGAGCACGTCATTAGCTTTATGTTTATTTATTGTTTTCATACACTGCACGTAATAACATTGTTAAATACTGTAATGGATGTGTTTACAATACAAGAAAATCATTTAAAAAAAAGAAACCTAAAAAAAAAACAGATTCACCCGTGTCTAAATGTAAAAAATAAAAAGGATTAAAGTCCCATAAACAAACTAAACAAACATGGCAATAAATACACACCTCTATTAAACTTCTCTGTACTTAAGGCATACTCTAATTGCAAATAGTCATTTGATTAGGGGAGGGAGAGGATATTAGTGCTCCAAAACACCTGTCAGAGATGTAATTACAAAACAAATCTCTACCCATAAGTCAAAAGATGTCATTGCACTTTTAAGGTTGGCATTGTGTGACTGTGCATGCATGTTTGTGTGTGTATGTGTGTGTGTTTTTCAGCCAGGTTGATCCTGTATACTCCCTTGAGAACAGCTGATGTTTAATCAGAAATGTAAAGGAGGGAGAAAGGTTCAGTGATCATCAGGATCTGTAATACTGAGTGGTGATAAAGTGGAGGGTAACAAAATCCATCTGAAGATCCCCCGGTCCCTTTGGCCTTAACATGTGAATAATGTGAGCATCGTGTAATTTTCCCTTTGGACACAGTTCATTTCAGATAAGACACGGTCACTGCTATGCAGGAATGAAATCACAGATATGTGAGGGCCGAGAAATAATAAAGAAAACAACGACCAAATGTGCAAATCAAACTCATACAAGTCAAGCTAGAGTCAAAACAGCAGCATGTGATTGCACTTAAAACTGGGGTAAAAAATTCAAATGTGCAACAAGCTACTAACTTCTACTTCCTGTTGAATTATTCAGTCCAGTGCTCCTCATGCAATTTGTATTTCAGCCATTCATGTTCATACATTCAACCCTAAAACTCAGAATTGAAACATCTCAAGCCAGCAGGGCAAATCAAATCTAAAAGTGTTGGAGGTGTTGTGGATGAGTGCAACAACCTGGCCTGTGCTACATAACAACCCTGTACGGTACAGTACATACAGTACAACGCAGCCTGTGTTTGAGCGACTCAAGACTGCAGTCCAAGCTTCCAAAATATCTCCACAACAACATTTACAATCATACTGAATCTTCAGGTTTAAAAAAAGAAAAAAGCATTAAAAAACATTAAAAAAATAAAATAAAACCCAGAATCCAGGTAAGCAGAACAGTTGAGTCAGCAGGTATGACAATATTTCTTATTTTTCGTAGTAATGGGAATCACTTTACAGCATCAAATGGCCTCTTTGTTTTATCTATGAATATCAACATTACTTCAGGAGAGAGGATCTCAAACACAAGCGCTCGTCCTACCATAGGAGGAAACCGCCACTTTGACTCATATTTTAAAGACGCATTCAATACTTCCATTTGTCTTCCCTCACCTCGATTTTTAACCAAACCTTCTATTACGTTAATTTGATTATTTCTCATTGTCAGTATCATCATAGCACTTAACTGTCATTACAATAATCTACCAATGCTTCACCGTCGCCTCTCTGGCAGCGATGGAAACTCACAGCAGATGAAGATTGGGGGTTATACTGTGTGGGGAGGGGGAAGGGTCAGAAGGTCAGAGGGGCAGGGTTACTGTATTTGACAGGTGGTGGAGGAGGTTGCCTGGCAGCACATGCAGGTAGGGTTGACTGATTTGGGCGGGATCAAATCCAGGTCCTCGTCGTCTGGGATCTCGTCTAGGCGGTAACCATCTTTCAGCAGCTGGATGTTCAGATCCTGGTTGATTTGCTAGAAAAAAAGATAAGAGGGGTTGATTGGTTAGAGTTTTTCAAATTCTTCTGCTGTGGACCAGAACTGGACTAGAGTTCTCTAGCTGCTTGGCATAAAATATGATAAAATATGAAAGATAGACTGTTATTGAATAAAGATAGTGTGCCTCCATAACCTCCCATTGTAAGAGGTGAAGCTAATATGCTGCCTGGATCACTTAGTTTACAGCTTAAACCAACCGGAATCATCCCAAATTGTAAAGTAAAAGTATCAATCCAGTATCACTGAGGCTCTGCAGAAACACAGGACAATCTTCGGTCGTCTGGAAATCTGGCAACTTTGGACAAATATAGTGATCCGATTCATGAATGAATGTGGACCATGCAAACTCTCGGGAGATTCCCGGGTGAAATGACAATACTGGAGGTGGGCGGGAGATCTGAAATATGGAAGAGTCCTGGGAAAAATGGGAGTGTTGGCAGGTATGGCTGGCAGAACTACAGGACGGATGTCACACCTCCTCATACCCACTAACCAAAACACACATTCATTTGATCAGTAAAATAGCAAAGACCAAGCTATAGCTGGGCATATTTCTGTGTTGATCTCAAGCAGACTCTCATGGTCATGTAAAGTTCAACGACTGTAGTGTGTTTGCACTTATAACTAAAGCCTGAAGGAAGGCGTTTATCCTCATATGAGGATTATCCCCTGACATAAAAATATGATGGAACCTTTTGCAGGACCGAACAGTCGACCTATCTGCCTTTGACTTGTTCTGAGTCATCAAAGGGAGATAGGGTGATATGCCAACAACTGGCCTTGTCTGAAATAAGTTGATCTGTTTCATTATAACAAAATTTTTTACATACATCTGCCAGATTAGGGGAATGTTTCACATATTTTTTTTTACAGCAGTTACCATGGAAAACAGAGTTTCTCCACTTTCACAGACTGCTGAGCTCTTTCATGGATGTGATGACTTCTATCATGGTGTGATTTATTCTCGGCATCATGGAGCCTTTCTTTGCATACTTAAAAGAAGGACTGTATTTATTTAAAATTCTAAAATTACTCACATTTTAACACAAGCAGAGTCATCTCTACTCTAGATGCTGTAAACTAACATTGATCACATCTGTTCATACTCCATTACCATCAGGTTGCTTCTGCCGGTTGTATTGCTAGCTAACAACTTGCTGTTGCTCAATGAAACTAAAGAGATGCTGTTTTAGTCAAACTAGGTTACTACATTTAATAAATATTTAAATAGGATTCTTGACAACTTGGCATATATATCCAAACATCTAAATCCACAAGTCTGACATTGTTAAAGCTGAAGGATGGATGTAGATTCTGGCAACGAGGATTTCTCTGGGGATTAAATATGATAATGTTTCTGCTGCCTTAAAAACAGGATTTTCAGGAGCAGACACTCTGAGATGACATTTTATTTTTATTCCCTTTGTGTGTGATGAACGTGTGAGTGCAGGTATGTCAGCGATAAAACCATACACTTGCAGGAAGAGCACACGCCTACAGAATTAACACGGATGAGTGGGATGGATACAAACGGATTTACTTCAAGACTTATAATAAGACATGAAACTTGGCTTTTTGACAGTGGGAGAAAAAAAGAAAAATAAGCGAGAGAGAGAGTTTATATGAGGGCATATACATGAGGTGAAAAAGCAGATATTTGCTCACCTCAGCAGAGGAGTATCCTGACGAGGAGTATCTTGACATATCGAAATCATCATCGCTGAAACAACAACAAAAACACAAGTTTGGCTTTTATTTACGTCTTTATGATGTGAATGTTTCAAGAAGTGTGCAAATGTTTGTGTTTCTGGTCACCTGTCTGTGTCGAGGGCCACCAGGGGCTTCTCATCGGGGCTCTGGTCTAAAGAGGAGTAGCCTTTATTGGGCACTACCAACCTTTGACAAAAGAACAGGGAAATAGAGCAGAAAGAGGTGAGTAGTTCTGAGAAAAGGTGTAACATTAAATGACAAGTGAGGTGGATGAAGGAGAGAAGAGAGGTGAGTAACAACTGGACTGGCAGAGATGTTGAAATCAAAGGACAGGAAGGGCCTGGAGGCAGCATCACATCTGATCTACAGCAACAACAGCAGCATGAAAGAGGTCTCCTTTCCATCTCTAACAAAGCCAGAATCAATAAAACTATTCTCATTCCAACTCCACTGACAGAGAGTAGACATGAGTGTAAAATCCTGCGTATTCAGCATATGAAAATACTGTCTTTTTATTAGCTGATCCTCAAAAAACACCACTGTATATTTGTGTACCCTGGTGTTTTTTTGACCATAGTTTACACGTACCGTGTTCTGGCCATGACGTTGTTTTTCTTAGGCTGTTGGTTGACAGGACTTCCTACAGTGTTGCCGTTCTTCAATGACCCCTTCCTGGCCAACTCCCTCTGTTTCTCTACATCAAGAGAAAAACATCCACTGTAAGACTTACGAGACATTGAAAAAAAGTTGCAAAGTGTTTACAAGAACAAACTTCAGTAATGCGCCAAAGAAAAGAGACAATTTCTCAACTTTCTCAACTCTGAAATACTACAAACTCCCACGATTCTCAGGGACGCCATGTTTCATCAATCAATAGAGTCTCATCAGGGGGAAGGTAACTCGGATTAAAATCTAAATTTTAACTGGGAAATCTCTTCTGTTTGAATATAATGTCTGCCATTGAACAAGGTGTTCTGTTCATTTAAGGGTTTTTCTTCAGTGGTCATATGACCAGGATGTGATGGTCATGTTTTTTTTTATTTTATATAGTAAAAAAATTAAGAGCACAAAACAACAAATCTGGGATCAACAGCTTCTACTTGCCTGTTCTCCCCCTGCTTACTCTTACCACTCTACAGAAAATAAACTACTAAACTCACACCGCTAAGTTTAGTCCAAACAAATGTAAATGTTATCACTGTTGTGAAGGCAAAGGGATTCTTTTGGGGAACTTTCAAGTATGTCGATGCAAGTTTGAGACTTCAGAGATTAAAAATAACAAGCATACAGTAAAAACAAGGCTTTCTTGAAGTCACAATATAGACATGTAGGATGAACGCAGCATATAGTGAACTTCTGAAGTGACCTATTTTGTGCTTCTCATGAATATTCTGGAGTTATGCCCCAAAACTAGTATTCTGGTGTATTTCGGTATCTCAGTAGTGTCTCTTTCTTCTTGTTCTATGTAAAATAAAGTGATACAGTGGGACCTCGTGGAGTCGCTGCTGCTCCACGTTGGACTCTGTCCAAGGTGCTGAAATAAGTCTTGAAGGACTGTGATTTTCATGAGGTAACGTTTTTCTAGAGCCAAATCTATCAGATCAAAAGTCGATCAGTTGATTTAAAAGTAATAATCGAAATTATCAACCATTAATTACTCAACTTATTTTTCATCCCCTCGTGCCAAATCTTTATTGGCTGGGACCTTTAACATTAGTAGGATATGATGCTTTGTCTTTTCTAAGGTTTAATTTTGATAGTTTTAGGGTCTGGGGTTTTATTTTGAAATCAGTGTATCACCTCCATAACACCTCATTTTGGGATTATTTGAGGGGATTTTTATTTCCCGCCTTTTTACCTTTATTTGGAGGACAAGACAGTGGATAGAGCAGTATCTCAATATCTCACATCAGTGTATGACAGCGAGGTTTGAAATCAAAAGCAGATTACAAGAAATCCCACAGTCCCACACTGGGCAAACAAAAGCTAAAACAACAACTATCACATGTCATGAGCTCTTCCTCACCTATTTTCATCTGCAGGGGTGAGGGCTTGTAGTTGATGGTGACAGGTTCCCCCTCTCTGGTGTCGGAGTCGGCCTCTGAGGCTGTGGATGAGGCTGGATCCTGGAGACAATTGAGAGGATGGCATGGGCAGAAAGATGAGCTGAAAGGTGCATTACTGAGACATCCATGAATTATTAATATCTGTTTGTAATTCACAACAGGCTGTACTATGCCCACACTATGTGAATAAAACAATTCATAAATACATGCAATAAAGAGGCTCCCCTTGTATCCAAAAAAGCCCTTCCTATAAAACAAAACAAAGAGGTATTTTCGGAAAACACTCAAAGCTTCACACTCCCAAGTGCTGAATAACATAATCCTTTGTGTAGGGACACACCGATCCGATATTTGGATCGGATATCGGCTCAGATATTGACAAGTTAACTGGATCAGATATCTGATGAATGACACCGATCCAGCGTTCTTATCCAGTCTTTTTTTTTCCTTTTAATTACTTTTTCCTTTTAATACATGGACGTCTTACTTCTTTTTGCTATCTGTCTTAATTTTTTACCTTATTTAAACAAGGCTAATGTCAAGCCTGATACCTTCACTCACAGGGCAAGATATACAGTTCATTCATTCAACAGTAGTATTGAATCGGTATTGAAAATCGGCCGATACGCTCAGCCTCGGTATCGGTATCGGATTGGATTGGAAAAATGACGGATCGGTGCATCTCTACCTTTATGGGCAAAGTTTGGCGTTACCTTAACTGATGTGAATCAAAACGTCTACAGTATAACTGCTAATATTGATCTGGAGGGTGATCTGAGATTTGAACAAGTTACCCCAGTTACCAGTTTGAGAATCATCCCTCATAATGTACATTAAATATCCACAGGTGAAAAAGGTTAAGAGGGGAAATACACTAACTGAGCACATGAGGCACAGTGATGAATGAGAGTATGAGCAGCTGGGGACAGTAGGTCAGACTGCCTTGGGTCTAGTCTGGCTCTGAGGCGGCAGCAGAGGCCGCCCTGCAGGCTGCAGTCACCCAGGGCCCCGCTACAGGCCACGGTGCGCACCGTCACATCCACTCCACGGATTTCGAAACCCCAAAACACGAGTGCAGCGATTTGGTTGAGCTCACTTTAGCGTGAAAAACGTTTTTTCCCAATCACGTCACGGGGACAACAGTGGCGTCGAAGCTGGAGCCCCGTGCTGCATGGATGCTGAGGAGGATGGAGCGGTGAATGCTGGGATGGGATGCTTGTTTTTCGCCAGACATGACGGACGCTGCTCGCTACGCAGCTCTCCGGACGCTGTGTTCCCACAACAAAACAGACATGTTTTCTCCTTCTATTTATCTTTAGGCGATAAAAGTTCCTAAAAGAGCTTTACGGCTACATCCGCCGATATTACGCGTGGACGACAGGTGATGGATTATTCGGCGACCTGAAGCAAAACATTGTGAATGGCAGGCCTCGTGCAATGCTCACCCTTTATCAATATATCTGCTGATATCTTACAAAGTAGATCGAGACTGAAAACTCTGATTTATTATCTCAAATGTGGCTTACCAGCGGCTGCATCTCCGCTTGCATCTCCGCCTCCTGCACGGCGCTCGGCACCTGAAATCTGTCGATTTCTTCCATCATTTTGGCCACGTGCCTCTTTCCGTCTTCTTCTACGAACTAAATGTTGGTAAAAATGTTGATTCGGATAAATATGTGAGTAATCTCAGATGTGTATCGATCTCAGTAGGTCTCTGGTGATGAGCTTCATCCCAGCAGGCAGTATGTCGACGGTGGTGTGACCAGTTTGGTGACGGTGACTCCAACACCCACTTCCGGGTAGGGCCCCCCAAGCGAGGGTCCGGGGACCCGGAAGCGGCCTTCAAAAGAGGACCGAGGTGGTCTCAATGAAAGTAGGTGTTGAGTAAATTTGATATGATTCAATGAAAGGATATACCATACTTACGTTTGTTATCTTCATTATTATTCTTTTGTTCCTCGTATTGTTTTTCTGTTTTCTTTTTAGATTAATTGATTAATCTCTTACCAAATTAAGGTAAATTAAATGATCGAGGATTAGGGGATTAAGTCCTGCAAAAGCTACAACAAAACAAAAACAAGCAGTGTTGAAATTTTCAACTGAGACCATATTCTGGCATTGAAAGTTTGATATAACGCTGCATTTAATGATTGAACTTTAGCTTTACATATTATATCAGTTAAAAAAATTTACAGACTCCTGATTTGTTTTAATATCTACCTTTTTTATGCAGTAAATGGCAGGGGAAACCGGGACTTGCTGACTCACTTTTTACACTCTTATATGTTTCTTGGAATCAATACATCATGTAAAAGCAAAATGCGTACCAAATGAAAGACCAAAGTCTCAGGTATATATTTTCGTATTCATGTCATTTTCATATCTTGTGTCAGTGCAGAGTTATAAGCAATCAAACAGAGAGTGTGAACATGTGACATGTTGCCCCCATAGAATGTGTATAGAATGGACAGCGTCTGCCTCCTCGCTGGGTGAAGCCACTCCGAGAACAGCACCCTCTGGTAACGGGCTGCAGTATAGGTCACGAATCCCACCTCCGCCTCCGCCAGCAAAACTTATGGGGATGTGGACAAACTTTAGAAATTTATGACACAGAATATACAATTTTCTCCCCCCTGCTTACGATGTTGACATGTAGTTACTGTAAGAGTGGTTTGTGCTCAAGTCTTCTTTTGTCTGTACAGCTCTATTTTTAAAAGTTATTAGGGGGTTCATGTTTTCTATGATTGACACCTGATACAGCCTATGGGCATACGAAGATTGCGTAGCTCACGCAGGGGATACGCTGTTTGAGCCGAGCGTCATCACAGCGACTCTCGGTGACTCTCCCGCCGAATACGTACAATGCTACCGCGCAAGTGGTGGTTTCAGGAAATGAAGAAAAATCACGGAATTACTGAGAGCTTTTTGGCTTCAAATCCTTATACTGATGGGAGGCGGAACCAAGTTGTCCATAGTATATACAGTCTATGTGTTTTTTGTATTTTTTTTTTTTTTTGGTCCTTATTTTGTGCAATTTGGTATTTATTCACTTTTGTCCTTGCATGGTCCTCCTCAGGTTCTTTTGAATATTTTCTGAATGCAGAGATGCATATAAGTAAAAATTTTTCATTTTGCTGGTCTCCATTTTGTGCAATTTGATATTTTCTGTCTGTGCAACTTCAGTAGTTGCCGTCCTCAGTTCATGTGCTCTGAAATGCACTTTACTCAATAAAATAGGTGTATTTATGTCAAAGATTTGAGTCTTTGAAGGTTTTTTTTTTTATATAAAAGCTAAACTTGCTTGGTTTGAATTTTATGAAAGTGGGTTGTGACTTAAGAACCATGAGAAAATATGGGTCCCAGAGTGAGACCAGTTGAGAACAACTGAATTAGAGGATTTACTGCTGCAAAAGCTACATCAAGACAAAAACAAACAATGTTGAAATTTTCAACTGAGTCCATATTCTGGCATTGTAGAATGTTTGTTTTTTATGAATAAATTATCACATGATCGTTTTTTTCAAGAGTCAAATGTGTCACTCACTAAGACTGGCTGCTCAATAATTAAAGTCTGTTTGTGCTGCAATTAGTCAGTCACATCATTTGACACCTATCCTCGGTAGTTGCTAAGCACTTACTTCATGGAAATGATCATTCTTCTTGAAAATGGTTTTGTTTGTTTTTGTTGCTTATCCAGAGATATAAGTATTCATTTCAGTCTCTCTCAAAAATCCCCACAGGAGCTCTAAACTTCTACCTCATCGTCTTTTAGAGGAAGTTGTGTTGATAACAATCACGCCTTGCAGAGATTTATTTACCAGAGATTCAGACTTAAAGTGAAATATAAATGCACAAATCTGTTTAGTTTGCAATAAAACAAACAACTGTTTCATTGCATAATGAGAGCTACTATGTTTGATTTATTGTGTGCATTTGATTAGTGAAACTCATGTAATCTCACTGTATGCCGTAATTTTTCAATTCAAACTGTGAATATCGATGTATAAAGAAACTACAGATTTCTTGCATAACTGTACAACATCACTAAACTGAATGAGAAGAAACCAAAAAGGTGCTGATTATCTTGTAAATTTCTCAGGGTAATTTGTGTCTGTCTGTAAATAACTTTACAACACATTAGTTTGTGGCCGACCAAACATTTTGACACTGAAGAGGAGATTCTTTTTTTCATTGAACAACTTTAAACAAACACTGAATTTAGCAGCCAGTTGGTCATTGTGAAACACATCATTATTTACTGCAGAGGAATAAACATACTTTCAGTGTAATAATGGCCTGCCAGACTAACATTCACAGTGTTGTGACTGCTTCTTCCTGAAAGTCACTGACTTGTCTGCCTGCACACTGTCCCTAGCCGGAGACACCAGCAGAGGGCAGCAAGAGCACCCTGTTCTACTCAATGATTATGGAGGAGGATCCTGGCAGAAATCTGCCACTGCTGTGGCTGAAAATAGGCAGCTACAGTTTTAGGCAGCACATGTAAAAGGTTGAACCAGCAGGTGGCAGTCTAACTCCATAGGAATGGAGGCACACAGGCTGGATGGAAGATGAATAGCAATAAGATGTGTGCAGGGTCAATTGGGTCATTGTGTTTAAGTCTGCTGAATGCAAACAGTCTGAGGTCCGTGTACGTCTGCTCATGAGTATTCATCAAACAGGACTCCAGGAGCAGCTGTAGGTTAGCTAATTATAGTTTGGAATGAGTGAGGATGTTTTTTTGAGAAATGATGATTGAAATTTGAATAATTAAGTTAATTTTTTTCCAGTTTCGTCTCTCCTGTGTCGTACATGTCACACATACACACTATTTTTCATTGTTTGTGTCTTCCGTGTCTGGCATGCTGATGCTTTTCCCCATCAGCACCATTATTCTAGCCTGTTTTGTGTTATAATTAGACCTCTGTTGACAGTATAAACATTCATACCAACTAGATTATACTGAATTATAATGATTTTAATACCAGAGCTGCAGGGTTGTCAAAGTCTATTTAATCGTTCTGTGTCTGAGTGCAATGTAATGTGTTAAGTGTTTGGGCCTCTATGGGGGTTCTGTTGGTGCGACTTGATTGGGTGTGATTACAACCAAGTTATTAATTATTCATGCATTACGGCACTAAGATGTTAACACATATGTATCACACACTTTGCATCACTTCTAAATGAAAATACTCCCACAGCAGCTACCAAACTACATGAATTTAAATCTTATAAACCCAAAGGAAACAGCTGTATGTGCAGATAACCATACTGACTGTATCTAATTTTTACACACATATACAGCCACATTCAAGTCACTAAAAGCTGCAAATTTAAAAAAAAATCTAGCGAGTGATGTGTCAAATATAGACTGCATTACACTACACATTCAAATACACACTAGATGGTGACACAAACCCTGTCCATGACTCGGGGGCTGATGTGGGTTATATAACCCTCCCAACAGTGCAGATGGAGCAGCAGATTACTGACCCCTCCTATGTTTATTGGTAATCTCTATGTCTGTAGTACATGGCATCATTATTATTATTATATAACACCATTTTGAGTTCAGTGACCCTCATCCATCTCCTCTGCTGTCATTTAACGCGCACACAGAGATGAGTGGATGATGTGACTGACGATGAGTTCAGTAGCTATATTTAATCTGGACGGGATTAACACCCAGAAAAGATCGAACCAGAGAAGGAGGGACCAATGAGAGATGGACACTTAGATTGAGGATCATTCGATATCTCCTCCCACCAGTGAAACCAAAAATTGATTAATGAACTCAAACTTGGAAAACAGAGTAGATCAGCAGCGGATTCAGACACTGTGGGCTGACCTTAGATGGCTTTAAGTGTGCTGACCAGTTCAGTCTAGTGAGATGACAGCAGAGAAACAAATAAGAGGGGGATATCTTCTAAAGCGGGAGACAGGAAGAGAAGTTGGTAGGCAGATAAATAGAAGGGAGGCAGATAAACAGCACGCAGCTGTAGAGGCGCCTTTCAGTCATTCGCAGATCAACAGCTCTCTACAGGCTTTAACCATCTGTTTCATATGAACTAAAAAAAAAAGGGTTTTATGCGCAAACATGTATCACCAGTCTCTGTTGAGTAAACAAATAAACTCTCATAGGATCTGTCATACACACAGGACTGTCAAAATCTTATTAATCACAGGATCTGGAAACAGATGTACTGAAAATAAACAATTCTTTCTGAAGAGTTATTCAGTGGTGAAAGGGTTACTTACGGTTACTCTATTCAGAATGACAAATCTGTATTCAGTGTAAGTGTATAAGTATTCTCATTGTTTGTTTATCAGGGTCTCTATCGACTTTTTAGATTCTTTTTGGGATGCTGGTGGACAAACTTGATTCAATACAATACCAAAAAAAACGGGACTACATACCTAAAACTCATCAGCAGGCAGAATCACACTGTTGCTGACATAAACTGTAAAGTCATTTTTTAAAAATCTTTTAAGAGATGTAAGTGCAATACGTAAGTGCATCTGTCTCTCATTTGCACACACTGCAGAGGGACTGCTTTTGTATTTGTGGCAGACATGAAGTCATCAAAGTGGACATTTATACGCTCAATGTCACAGAAAACAACAGAAGCAAGACTCACTCAGAAGTTGAGTCATGGCTAAGAGAGAGAGATAAGGGTTGCGTAGTCTCAGTTGACTAATAGCAGGAAATGTGTGTCATCATAGAGGTCAACATGTTTCAAACTGATGAATTTAAGTGCAGGAAGCTGAAGCTGGATGTTAATTTAATTCATGCTTGAATGTTAAACGATTAAGAGGTCTATTAAAGCTTATATATACTAAATAGGAGAAGCAACATTTAAGGTGGACCCAATTGAGAGTGTAAAGAACGTAGTGTGTCGTTCAGTCTGAAGTCCTGTCTTTGTGTTACAAATATGTTTTAAAGGAAGAACCTACAACTTTACAAATGTCTAACATAAAAATATTTAAATCAAACTATAAAAGTATTAAAAGATTCATATAAGTAAACAAACAAAAAATATGGTTTTCAACCAGATATACTTGATTACATAAAAGTAACATTAATTCTGAATATTATAACACTGATTATTATTATGATATGCAAGTAATTATGATAAGTAACCTATTTAGTGTTGAGCAGATATCTTTGTGTATAATATGTAGGTATTTGTACAGATTTTTGTAATTTATACATAGATTTTCTTTTTTAAATCTCTAATTTGCAAGGAAGGGGCAGGACTAGATAAACTTTTTACTTCATTCTGTTCCTTCTCAAACTGTCTATTTTGACATACATATGTTGTGTAAATTTATCTTTGACATGTACAGTTGTTTGGTGTACATATTAATTATTTTGATCGGTGTTTTTGTTTCTAGTTGTTTTGTTGTTGTTGTTCTTAAAGTCTGAGATAAAGAAGAAAGAAAGAAAGAAAGAAAGAAAGAAAGAAAGAAAGAAAGAAAGAAAGAAAGAAAGAAAGAAAGAAAACTCATCTGAGAATGATTCATCAAATACCAAACATGTCTTAAACTGAGTTTTGTAAACAAGTCCTTTCAGCACAGGTTACTGTTCATCATAAAAATGAACCTCTTACATAAAATAATCAAATTGAAAGATCTGCACTGAGAAATAAATCATCACTTTTTGATGAAGTAAATTCATACCCGAGGCCAAATAATAATAACTGATTTTCCTCAAAGATCAGATGAAGCAGAAATTACCAAGGAGCCCTTTTATTGGAACAACTTGAATCCACCTTACAAAAACATATATACTAGTAAACAACAGTTTTTATTTTGATGATTATGATTTGCAATTCACAGTGGTGAGTCCCGCCTCTGTGTCCCTACAGACAGCATCTATAACCTTCTGTTAGTGTATTAGCTGAAAAGCATTCACTATACATTTCGTTCAGTTCACTCATTTTTTAAGACTTCATATCCTGCCGAGTCATTTCTGGTGAAGGGCTTCATAAATATCTCATTCAAATGACAGAGAGGCACACAGGGACTCCAGCGAAGTTTCTACTGTTGCTTTAATCCCGTTGAAGTCAGAGGGGTGGAGGCAGTGACTTGTGGGTGAAATAGGGTTGCTGTCCAAGGCCTCAGGCTCCCTTTTTGTTACATCAGCAGCCCCTCTGTTTCCAACCATGCACTCTATCCTTCCAACAAAATATCCACTTGTTCCACCCGTCTGTCTCCCTTTGTATCCTCTACATTCATACATTTCCTCTTCTTTGACTCTTTTAGTCTCTACTTTTTGCCTGTTCTGGAGCTCTATGGTGCCATCATTAGTGCTGAAGCTGCCTGTAAAGCTACGAAGCTACATTTCCTCCTTTCCTCTTTTGTCTCTCAGCCGACCCCGTCCACACAAAATCTCTGTTTACTTTCCATTGCTTTCTTTTCCCTGTTTCTCCCCCACATCCCCTCAGTTTTCTCATATGGAGGGAGGAGAAATACCGGAGGAGAAGGGGAGGAGATCATGGTCTGCCTGTGTACAGCAAAGCAAATACACTGACAGATGGACGGTCCCTGAGATGCACAGAAGAGATAAGAGGATTGAAGCTGCTGCATGTTGTTGTTGTGAGTCTCAGCATAACTCTTAATGCAGTTAGCTCACTCTGAGCTCCGACAAATGGCACAGATGAGGGGCTGATGGTAGTAAACAGGATGGAGTTGTGAGTGGGACTGAGGAAGAAAGTGCAGAAGACCACTCAAGGTTTGGAGTCGAGGTTTGAAGCTTGACCCATGACCTCTGTTTCCATACATATCCATGATCATGCTGCAGTCAGCAGGTACTTCTGTTCAGACTTCTTCTGCTCCGGCTCTGCAGTGAAAACGGGGATTTTCTCTGGATGTGAAGGCACCTTGCAAGCCTTGTAGAGGATGACGAAGAGGACGAGGATGAGGACGCCCACCACAGAGTTGCAAACAATCGCCATGATGGCCCACACAGAGAGACCCATCCTCAGCTCGTGCTCCATGCTTGAGTTGAAAGTAGACACCGGACTCACCGCAAGTCACATCACACCTCAGAGGAGGAGCTGAAACTTATTTCACGTCATTCACTTCAACTCACGGACTCTCCCTGCAAAAAGAAGAGAAAATGCATCACTTACACACAAGTCCACATGTTCGGTGAACACACACATGTTCAGAACACGCGCAGGTTGTTCAGAGTTAACCTGCCTGTCACATGGAGCTGCTCAAGTCCTGCAGCGATGTCAGCTTAGAAAAGATTACTTTCTCTGACACAACAGTCACTGGGCCAAAGTGGCCTTATCCCTGCAGACTCTAAACATGGACCAACCTACGTATGGTCATTATCTGCAGCGTGCACAGAGAGGTGATATTTATAAATCTGATGCTCTGAATGCAGAAGAAAAGTTTGGGATGGCTGGAAAGAACATTCATTCAGGAGATTTGTTCCGTGTTATAGTTTGGGGGTGAAAAGATGTAATTTAAAGACAAGAATAAGCCTTTTTGGTTACAGTCCTGTGTTAAAAGTACAACCTTTTTTCCTAATCCTGTTTCTTTTACACAGTCAGACAGCGAGAAAGTTATTAAAATGATAAAGAAGGTGCAAATAGGCACTTTTTCTAGCCGAGTTATTTTGAATGAGATTCAGCACTAATGTGTTGTCAGGAGAATCACGTGTGAATATTGTTGCCAATTTCGGGGCTGATATTAAATGGGTCACTGAGGTGCACTAGTGAGTGAGCGAATTAGAGGAAGAGAGGGAGAGAGAGAGAGAGAGCTGTTAGTTCAAGCCTAAGTTAGACTGTGAATATTTTCCCTTTTAAGAGTTGTACAGATAAAAACTCAGGCTCCTCACTTCTACCCCTTCTCTCTTCCCTCTAATGCATTTCTAATGAGACCACATATTTCCTCTTCCCTCTTCTGAAAGCAATACCACGACAGTCAGAGCTTGCCATCGAGAACTTATTTCAACATTATCCATCCCTTCAAAGCCATTTTATGACCAAGCCAAATAAAGATGGATAGCTCTGAGTTGGAGTCAGTGGCAGTGATGCATTTGATCAGCTCTTATGAAGTTGGTCTGTGTTTGTAGCAGATGGATCCCTCTGAGGAGGCTGGTGGCATCACTGTGGGGGAAATTACCCTCATAATCCCCCAGCTGGGATAACTGTCAATAAAACTGCCCTCAGAGTTTTGCAGGGTATTGCCAAAACATCCTTTAGATGGGAACTTTCAGGAGGGAGTCAGGTGATACTTGATGTAGCGTGCAGTACAATGTCCAATTAGCGAAAATAGGAGGAATGAGGAGGCTATAAGCCAACACAGAGAGAGATGTGGCAGGGAGGGAGGGATCGGTGTGTCTGTTCTGGAGAGTTATTACACGAGTGTGTGCAAAAGATCCAAAGAGGACAGTTTGCATGCGGATTTCAGATAATCATTAGTGCATAAAACAGGCAAACACACAGCAGATACGCTTGTTCTTCATTATCACTCATTCATTGTAACAGATTTCCATGAGCAGGCCATTGCTTTAGGCCCAAAAGTAGATGATTGGGCTGGTATTTTAATAACCACAAGGATCATTTGTTCTCGTTTGAAAGATAAATGCATTTTCACTGCAAACAGCTCTGCAGCAATTTGTGACCACAGAGATAAAAAAAGAAAATGTGTTCAAAGGTAAATCAGACTGTTGCGAACACAAGGTGATTACTTGCAAAAGCGTAACATTTCAGGGCATTGCTCTGCTTTGTACCCTCTGATTTGATGCATCACTCGGTGCATAAAACATCTAGTAAATGCCAACTTCTTAGATTCAAACAACACAAAAACTAATCACATGTGAGATGATGTGCCAATATAAGTCTGTTAATGTTCCTGAAGTCTGGGTGTTTGTTTTGTTAGATTCAGAGGCCCAAAGGTCAGAGGAGCACATGACCGACTAACCACACACAAACATGCAGACAAACCCATGCAGATGCTCTCTAAAGTCACAATCAATACACAGATTAGTGTTATGACAGCAGGAAATGGTTCAGCCTCAGGTTAGGACTGTGGCCATCAAATAGTCAAATACACAGTGAGCATGTGCGTCTGAATGATGCCATTGACCAGTATAAAGCCCCTTTGTGCACACTATCTCATGTAAATAGATGCAAATACATGCCTGCATGTCCCAAAGAATGCTTTCTTACAGTGGAAGCTGAACAAGCAGTGCAGGAACGCATTATATAGACTACTGCCTGTACCGACCACATGAAAAACAGACGAGTACTTTTGCATAATGCATCATCTTCAGCGGGCAAGAGCTCCATCTCAAATGACTGAACATCCACACACTCTCTCCAGCTCAAGTGTAAATGTCAGCTGCATAGGTGCAACTTTTCTGTGGGGTCAGGGTAACAGTTTTGAGAGCTTTAGATGACATTTAAAAGTTAGATATTCTTCTAACAAAGAATAATCAGATATTTAAGTGTTGTGGCACATATCAATAAAATTATTACCTCTTTTCCCCCGTTTTAAAATGCATTTAAGGTATAAACATAGGGCCTTGACATGCACTAAGTTTGGCCCTATGCAGCACTGATGTTCAGTAACTTTTACGCTGTTTTAGCTCTGAATACAGAAATATTTATATGAAAAAGACAGTTTAAAAAAGGCAAAACATGTTTCATAGCTAAGATGGACTACTAATCTTTCTTACATTTCAATATCTTTCTCGCTGGCTTTACTTGGACTTATCACTTGAAGCACTTGAACGTCTCATTTAACAGCTCACCTGATTGTTCCCTCTGGTGTCCGGTGTCCATGCGTTTCTTTCCTTTTCTCCACGCTTCAAAGCTCCTCGAAACAAACTCCCCTAAATGAACACCGAGGTCCAACAACTTCCCCCAAATTGTTTGCGAAGTTGTTAGATTGTCTAGAAGTGGGTCGACAAACTCTGTCCGAGCGTTTTCCGTTGTGGCTCAGCAGCGCGCACAGACTGTGAATGCAGCCGGGCTGGCCGGTTTGGAGTGACCGCTGACAGGCACAGAGCGACAGAGCGGGGATGCTGCTGTCAGTGTGGCTGCTCATCATCCCCACAGTCCCTCCTACCCCAGTCACCCATCCCTCCCCCTTTCTCCCTTCCTCCCTCTCTCTCGCTCTGTTCCAGACTGTCACTATTAAGCTATTTATGTTAAGACGCTATTGGAACATCCCAAAACAAGGACTTAAACTTCATACGCTTGAAAATCTCAGTGCAGTGTCATTAGTCTAATAAGCAAAAGTACAAACCAGTGTAGTACAGTCAAAGAGATACAATGCAGAAAATGAAGTGCTTTCAACATAGAAAAAGAAAAGAGAAAAAGAAAACTAAAGTATTTTTTGTTTGTTTTTCCTTTACAGCCATAGGGATGTTGCACTGAGTAATGGTCCCCTAACCCAGTGTTTCTCAACTGGTCTCACTATGGGACCCACATTTTCTCATTGTCCTTAAGTCGTGACCCACTTTTATACAATTCAAACCAAGCAAATTTAGCTTTCATTTAAAAAAAAAAACCTTCAAAGACTCAAATCTTTGACATAAATACACCTATTTTATTGAGTAAACTACTGAAGTTGCATATACAGAAAATATCAAACATCTAATGAATATCACATTAAATATTTACTTTTTTAACCGGCAGTTCACGACCATTCCAGAATGTGTCCACGACCCACCAGTTGAGAAACACTGCCCTAACCTATTATCATCTTTGGTTCCTTTGCACATGTAAAAGTTTAGTCCACTCTCACCCCTGGTTGGACAAAGCAGTTTCCTTAAAATGAAATGCAGATAGACAAAGTGGTCGTCTTAAAGAAGTATTCCAGCCCTACATGCAGGGCTTTTGTGAATAACCAACTCCTCTTTTCCTTCTTAGTATGCTTTGAACAAGTCGCATGAGGAGGCATGAATAGCAGCTGCACCAACAGACAAACTTGTTGCCTCCTCATCAGTATTCAGCCCAGCAGCAGGGTGTCCCGGGGGAATTCGGTGCAGCCCACTCTGTCTCCCTCGCTTTGTTTGTGTGTGTGTGATGGGTGTGGGCATGGGGGCACCCTGACCCACTGAGTTCAAGCTGGGACAAAGACTTCTTTTGAGGCCCATTCTCCAACAGATTCAGGGGGGAAAAAAAGTTTTGTAGAAGTTTAAGAAAAGTGCAGCACTGGTGTATATCGGTAATGCTTAAAAAGTACAGTGTTTGAATGAAAAACGGGTGAAGTGAGTGTGAATTAATAACAGCATGATGATTTGTAAGCTTGATAAGGTTAAAGCTACGGTGAGGGGTTTTTAACTGGTTGTGAAACAGTTTGGAGTTGATACCGGTGCCTATTTATGACCAAAAATAGTAAACAAGGCCATCAGCGACAACACCGACAATTTCTGTGAGAGGGTAGGTGTCAAATCAGACAGAGCCAGCCTAAGCCTCAATGGGGCCCTAAGGAAATTTGATTTTGGGGCCCTCTATTTCTGCCAAAAATATTGATTGTTGGTCATTCACACACCTTCACAAATCTCTTTGATTAATATACCATGACATGCAAACATACCTTTATCTTGGCGTTTTTTTGTCTTCTTCCCTTTCTTTTCTGCTCCTGAAGGATATGTCCTTTTTTGCGATATTGTTTTGCTCCACAACTACCTGCGCTTTGGATGCTCAGCGCACATTGCACAGCAGGAAGCACATAACCGTAGTGGAGCTTCGACATATCTGCAGTAAGAATCATAGGCCTACATCAGCAGCAGCACTAAAATGTTTTTACTTCATTTTATTTTATTTTTTCAGTAATACATTCGATCATACAGAAAGCATCACTCATACATGCAAAAAATTAAAAACATATATTTTAAACTTTTTTTTTTTATTGCTCTTGGGGGCCCCCTATTGGCGCGGAGAAGGCGCTTAGTTCGCTTATGCCTTGGGCTGGCCCTGAAACCAGATGACTGACAGCACACCGAAGAAACAGTCACACTTAACATTTTCTCACCAATATGTTCAAAATGTACAACAGGTTAAAACAGGATGAGATTGTTTTGTCTGAAAATCTGTCTTGACCATGTACTGGACAAGAACAGCGATACTTTAAGATGTATAGGTTTTCCCACAGGAGTCGCCACAATCAACACAGAGTGTAAATGTGAGTACCCCAAGGCAACTTCAATGAGATACAGCCAGGGGTGAAAGTAAGCCATTATGCAGCGGTACACAAACTTTCACCCCTGCAGTGTATGTAGGCAAAATTTGCTTACCGTGTTGCCGCACGTCAGTCTGCACTCTTCATTGCAACTGTAGTAATCCAAAAGGACCATGCTGCTCGCGAGTGAGTCATATCTGCTTCCGCAAACAAACAAAATCCAGAAGTGGGCGCGCTCAGTGCGCAATTTTGATTGGACGCTGGTTGCCTAGGCGCTGAGGACCGCCTTCCGCCTTTTACGGAAGGAGGGAACTTTTAAAGAGACAGCTGCTTCAATCTTTATGCAGAAATAAAACAAACTTCAGAGAAAATTTGATTTTATATTCAAGAGAAAGAGAGGTGGCATCAGAGTGGGCACCTCGTTAAACTTGGCTGTACTCCTCTTGTACAAAGCCTATGGGTACAGTACCTGCAAGAACCTTATCCTACTTTCACCCCTGGATACAGCATTAAATATAATTTCCAAATTATAGGTGCTGAAACATCAGATCACAAAATAACCTGTTTAAGAGTTTTTGACAACAGCAGTTTTTATATCATTTCATTGTACAACATTTTGAATCTGTTATGTTTAACATTTTGTTTGTTTGGGAGTACCAAGACATGATCAGACATCATATTTTCAGAGATTCCTGTTTGTAACATGACTCAGTATAACAGGGCATCCCAGAGAGGCTGAATGTGTCAGAAGTAAAGATGAGAAGAGGTCTATCTGTCTGTGAGAGACTGTGAAATGAAATTTATATCATTTATTAACAGTATGTCATCATTATACTATTTACAAAATTCAAAGATCCGAATCTGATAAAGGCCCCAAACAAATACTTCAGTGGCTGCTACCTTCCAGCCCTCAGACTGAATTTAAAGCAGACATGACTCTGTAGTGGAAGTCACTGCATTGGGTCTGCAATAACAGTTTCATCTCCACAAGCTGGTTAAAAGTGTTCAGCGCAAAAGGAAAGCCATATTTATAGCATGCATTTGATCCAGTAACAGGTGTGACTTCTCTGCCTTGAGCAAGTTGTGATGCTGTGGAAAATTGCCCTTTGGTTCAGGGAATCAACATCTGAAATAATTTTTGGAAATCGTGGATTTTGCATCCTTTGCTCTAAAGAGAAATCAGTCCACACGCTGAAAACCAGCATCCATGATGGTATTGAGGGGCAAAAGTGCCCATTGCATGGATAGCCTACACATTTGGGAGGGCATCATTAGTGCTGAACAATATGTTCTGAAAATGTGAATTTTTATCTTTATGGATGGAGTTCAGTCATGTTTTAGGAAACTTTAATTTTTCATCCCCCCCAAAAAAAGGATGAGGCTGCTGGATTAGTGAGGGAGCAGCTCTTGGGCTGCGGCCTACATGAGAGCTTAGATGAGATAGTTATCACTGATCACAGGCTGATTCTCCAGAGGAAGCTGCTTCACAAGAGTGATTCATTATATGAGAAAAATGAACTCAAATATAGCCTGAGAGAACCACAGTGTCCCCGCCTCTCCCTCTGCCTGCTCCTCATATACAGACACACACGCTCACAGTGAAAGGGCCGCACACACAGAGTCATTATAACTCTTATTTGCAGGACGTGTCATGCCTGATCACTGCCTCTGATGTCAGTAAAGACTCTCACACACCTCCATTAGCCTGTCAAAACTTATCAGTGAGCGTGTCCGTGTGTGAACCATGCAAATGTGACAGAGAGAAAAGGAGAAGGACAGAGATAAAAAAAGAAAGCAGTGAGAGGCAATTTAATTTCTCTCTTAATTCCAACCCCCCTACCCCGTCCCATCCTTCTCCACCCTCTCTCATGCTCATCTCATCCCAGTGAGGAAGAAAAAAAACTAGAGTGTTAATCTAGACTTTGCCATTGTAGCCCTCCTCATTTTCAGAGTGCTGTTATCAGGAGCACAGACAGACTCCCCTGATGAGCATTACGGTTCTCATAAAGGCCTCCTGCTGGGAGGGCAGGGGGACAAATTGGGTCAGTTTCAAGCAGGGATATTACATTCATATTTTATATCCTGGCTCTATTTTATGAGGCCACACAAAGCACTCAGCATAATCTTCTAATGTACAACTATCGACACTTTTGCCCTTTGCATGTATTTTTTCTGTGTATTACACTCATTTGTCGGTCTGATTTTCAGGCTTGTTATACAGCACAACATCCTGCTTTGGAAAACAGTCACAACCAATTTTCTATCATGTGTGAATGAGGACACCTGCTGGACATTTGGTGACATTGTCTTAACTGTTAGCCTTTAGAAAGCATCAGTTTATCTGCAATAACAACCCACTGAGCAATAGACAGCTTTAAGACATCTAGTTTTTTTTAGACCTATTTTCAACCGTCTAGATTCTGTATATTTTTAGACAGACTTTAGACACTGCACTTTAACCCAGTATTCGGTAACTATTTATCTCAAAAAGCAGCTGTGAGTTGCATAACTGACCTCCAAGTACTTAGACAAAATAATTATGATAGCTTTGGATAGCTGCAATAAACAGAGTAGACCTCTGTTAGCCAACAGTCTAAACATGGTCTAAATTTAGAAAGCTAAAAAAAACTTTCATTTTTAGACCTGTGGTAGCCTGAGTTTACACCAGTCTTCTATTCTACCATTAGATGTCTGTTATACCTCTTTTAGACCAAAAAAATGCTCAGTGGGAAGAGTTGGGTTTAGCTAATCCAAAAACACACTCTAAAACAGAAGTGTAGGGATCTTTGTAGTCTTTATTCTTCTGCCATCTTCTTTAGTTGTTCAGCATAACCTGGAAACAAAGAGAGGTCAGCCATTGGCAAAATAAAGGAAACTAGTTATTAATATTTTGTGTCTCCTGGTGTTTCCATCACCTGGTCAATCCAGTCGTTGAAAGCGGACACTCTAGTGAAGACAGTGGGCTTCTTCACAAAGTTGCAGCCCAGTCCGGAGACAAAGCTGGCGATGCCATGGACCTCCCAGACTCCTTCTGAGTTCTTGCAGTTCAGAGGGCCACCAGAGTCACCCTGGACAGAGAGAGAGAGAGAGAGAAGGAGGGCCTCATGTTTCATTCATATACTGAAGGTGCTGGCAGACTGAAAAACACAACTATGAGAATCACAGTCAGCATCATTTTTTCACCTCATTCAGAAACAGGATATATTTTCATGTTCCACAGCAGGTGTGCTCCATTTGGACATTTTACTTAGAGACACTAATTGCATTTGATCTCATATTGCTTTTCTGTTAAATAAGATGTTTATGCAAGATGAACTCTCTAAGTATTTCAGATTATTTGAGATGAAAATTATGATTTTGAAAACACAAATGCCCATTAAGTAAAAACTTACATTGCATCCGCCCACGATTCCATCCCCACCAGCACACACCATGGTGGTCCTGAGAGCGATGCCCCACCAGTCAGGCTGGGAGCAGGTGGCGTGGTCAGCCACAGGCATCAAAGCCTGCTGCAGCTTATCAGCTATGGGGCCTCCGGCTAAAACACACAGGCAGAGTCTATTACCATCACGCTCATACACACGCAGTCTGTCAAATCTGCTCCACAGCATTTCCCCAAGCGCTGAATTCACAGTCCAGCCCCAAATTTTCAATTTAGGAGTAATCCTCCCTGTCTGAAAAAAAAGTTTCAGCTAAAATCACATGCATTGGGTTTTCATCCAAACTTTGTAGGTTTCTCTGGGTAACCCCAATCACACGCTTTCACACACAGCAGGTTCTGATACAACAAACCAGTCGGATACCCTGAAGGAGAGAATTATGACATTTCAAAGAAGCTAATCTGAAAAAAAGAGGAAGAAATAAACACATTTCAGCTTTCTATAAAGAGTAACCTACTGTACAGTCTGCCCCAGCCGGTGATGTAGCAGGGGTACAGGTTGGACAGCACAGTACCAGCAGCAGGGATACATGCCAGCTGCACCTGGTCACTCAAAGTCACAGGCTCTGACAGTTTGATCATGGCAATATCATTACTGCAAGGCAGACACAAAGAGAGAGAGGAAGAGACTTAAGAGCGGGCTGACAAGCAATTTAAAACCCTCCAACAGAGCCAAAAAAAGAAGAGAGGGAAAAAAACAGGGTAATTAGAACAAGTGGAAACAGTATTTTTTCAGTTTATCTAATTTTCCTCTGTGGAAAAAGTCCAGCTGCTTACTTAGGGGTAAACAACACAGTAATAGGATTATTTATATTGGCTTTTTATTGGCCGTGGAGAAATGATGCACAGTTTGTACAGATGGAGAAGTCGTGTCAAAGGTAAAGAATGATCCGACCTGAAATGATGGAAATACGAGCCCCAGCCTACTTTTTTCAGCCGAACCAGAACAGATGCTATAATGATGATGTATACTGTATGTCACAGCAGGACACTCACACTTCTCTTTGTGCTGCACCAAGTTGCTTTTCTTACCCGAAGGCCACAAAAATGGGGTTCCATTTCTCATGAACGATAATCTTCTCAGGCAGGATAGCCTTGGAGCCAGCCTCCTCCTCTACCAGGTTGTGTTTTCCCAGAAACACCCTGTAGGAGAGCTTGGAGCTGGGGTAGAGGAAATAGGAACATCAAATCCATACAGCAGGATCAGAGAGTTTGGGTAAGCACGATTAGATGTCTGAATGAGAGCATGACTCATTATTTTTAAGGAGTTTACAGTAAGAATTACTCAGAGTATGGTGTCATATATGTACTTCACAATCAGCAGGTGATGAGCGTGTGTTTGACTTGGAGATCTGCACATTGGCGGTTGTATTTTTGTGTATTTTTTTTTCCTCTGCTGCTCTTACTTGATGCAGTGAGCAGCAGTCATGACCCAGTTGGCAGCAATGAGAGAGCCCCCACAAGTGTGCCTCCATTCACCATCCCTCTCATACTGCAGAGAGATCTGGACACAGAAAAGGACTACATAAGACAAAGTAAACCAGGTTGTACGGATGAATGGCAAAGTCTGCGGGTTTAATTCAAAAACAACCATTTAGCTGCAACACTGGGGCAAAGATTTAAAGGGATATTCCGGCAAAAAGTTGATTTAGGGTCAAACACACCTCAACATTGAGTTAGGCGCCCCCTCTAGGGATGAATGTTGCCGACTGCTTGCTTCTCTAGTTATACCAACTTTAGTAACGACCATAGAATAGCAATACACAGTCTGAGGAGCCATGAACAAACCTCAACCAAAACGCCACTCAAATAATGCTCAGAGCAGCACCTAACCTTGTCATCAGTAGACATAGCGCACTAGCCACCAAACATCTTCTTAACTTTGCCTAATTTCTTTAGCAAAGAGACTAAACACAACTCACCCACTCCCTTCCAGTAGCCGCTTGTTTGTAGCGAGACTTCGGGCTAGTCCATTACGGACTGCTGCTGGGAGACGCAGCTCAAGGAAGAACATTTATGATCATTTCTTCATGGAAATACAATCAGACCAAGATGCTAAGGTAGAAGGACTACTGCATCTGCAGTGCAAAATGATTAACATTGTGATTATTACTTTAATGAAATGATAAAGTAATGATCATAAATGTTCTTGCTTGAGCTGCGTCACCCCGCTGCAGTCCGTAATGGACTCGCCCGGAGGTCTCGCTACAAACGAGCAGCTGCTAGAAGGTAAGTTGTGTTTCGTGTCTTTGCTAAAAAAATTAGGCAAAGTTAAAAAGATGTTTGGTGGCTAGTGCTTTGGCTAAGACCGTATTTGTACTGTTGATGAAGTTAGGTGCTGTTCTAATAATAATAATAATGCATCATATTTCATATAGCGCTTTATCAGAGACCCTCAAAGCGCTTTACATTGGATAGATGCATCACTCATTCACTCACTCACACAGTCACACTTTGGTGGTGGTAAACTACCTACGTAGTCACAGCTGCCCTGGGGTAGACTGACGGAAACGTGGCTGCCATTTTGCGCCTACGGCCTCTCCGACCACCACCACCACACAACACTCACAATCATACACCAGTGGAGGACACACATTGGGAGCATTATTTGTGGCGTTTTGGTTGACGTTTGTCTGTGGCTTCTCAGACCGCTGTGTATTGCTATCCAGTGGTCGTTACTAAAGTTGGTATAACTAGAGTAGCAAGCGGTCGGCAACATTTATCTCTCGACGGGTTGTCTAACTCGGTGTTACGGTGTGTTTGACCATAAATTAATTTTACGCCGGAATATCCCTTTATTCATAAGGCGTGTGAGAAAAATGAATATTCAGTATTAGCATACCTGCCAGGGCCAGCTGTTGGGAGTGGCATCTTCTCCGTTGACCACACGGGAAGACAGGGGCTCGATGGGTGGGGTGCCACACCCGAGGGCTGGACAAAGTGGAGACAGACAAGAGTCTAAGTGAGGTGAGATAGGGAGTGACAGCACTAACAGCCTCATTTTTCTTTCCAATGAAGTATTACACTGTGTCACACATACTCACACTCCAGCACAAACTTTCAAACAATTACCTCCAGAATTAGAGAACGCCAGATGTTCTTACCGCTAGCAATGAGCACTGAGGCCAGCACAATGGGGATCATGTTGATGGATGCGTCTGCTGAGGGACAGCAGGACACACACTCTCTTTTAAACTTTCCACCACAGGCAACACCCGCTCCAAACACCGTAACACACACTGCTATTGGTTTGTCATAGCAACCAGGGACAGGGATGGACCAATGGAAATGAGGGTCAGTCAGACCAATCACACAGGTGTTCATTTGGGAACATTTCACATGACCTTCAAACAAACCCACAATTTATGCAAAGAATCTGTGTGTTTATGCAAGTCCGGATGTATATATGTTAGGTTTATGCATTTTTGTCACACTAGGAGACTTTCCAGACATCCTCTATTTTACCACCATGCTTTTGTCTATTTTTTAACCCCCAGTTTTTCCTCCTTTCCAAAACAAATCCTTCTCCCTGAATCCTGGATTTAAACGCTTGCATAACAGCATGAGAAGCCAACATCTGGATCACTGCTACTGGCCTGTTTTCTCCTAAGTGTAGAACAAAAAACGCAAACTCAGAAGCATCACTGTGACAAATAACAAGGACAATGAGGAGCAGATGGCGTCACTGGTGCAGAAAATACCGACAGCTACACTACAATCTTTTTTGACATCTTACAGGGAACACTGTTGTGCACCGAATTCTGCAGAGCCAGGAGTGTGTGCACCGTATTGTATGTCCATCTGTATAGCCAAACATATCATTCAGCATGCTCCTCCATTCAAACTATCTTCTTTGTGTTCTTGTCTGCAGTGCATTTTTGGTTACAAACCCTTACCCAGTGTAACATGGGGTTTTTATAATGACTTGAATGAATACGTTATGAGGCCTGGAGGACACAGAAACAGCTCCGGAGGTGTGTAAATGCCAGAGTATGCAGGCCTGAGGTGACTCGGCATGCAGACATCGTAAATCTGTCAGAGACCGCTGTGGTAATAATACCTGGCACAATAAAGGTTGGATGTTATGGTTCAGTAAACAGGTAGAGTCAGGTGAGGAAAGGTCTGTATACAAACAAAAAATGTTTTTTGTGTAATGATCTAACTGAGATTGTGCATCAGATTAGACAGAATCAGGTCATTAAGGGCCCAGAATGGTTTGGATTGGTACAGGAGCTTTATTTCTGCTCCGTGACCTCTTCAAATAAACATCGCACTGGAATACAAAGTGAGTCAGACATAGAAAGAAAAATTTGTTATGTGTGATTACCTCTGGAGTAAGACTGAATTCTTTCATTATATATCTTAGTTTTCCACTTCACCACTAGATGGGACAATTCATCTATTCAGACACCATTTTGAGCTACATATTTTTTTTCAAAAGAGAAACATTAAATGCTATTTTTGTTCTATTTTTTTACAGAAAGTGACCACATTCAAGCTTTTCTGAAAGATTAGAAAATCAATATTCATTATAACTGGGTTGCAGCATCTGAAAAGAGGGTCAAGTGAAAAGTTTTATACCAAAATTGACAATCAAAGACCCTCAACTTTTAAAGCTTTATCTACAAGGTGGTATTGTTATTTGAGTTATGTCTCAAATTTTTTTAGACTCGCCCATCTTTAGTCTGCAAGCCCGGAGAAAATACTTGAATGAACAGAGACTTGAAAGGCAGCCATGGCAACAAAACAAGCTCAGACATCCTCAGATGGTGTCAGCTTATGTGCAAGTGTGTGTGCGGATTCCCATTGTGTGTGTGTGTGTGTGACCTTCCCTCTACAGCTGCGACACACAATTAATTGAAAGCTAATTAAAATTAGTCTTCAAATTTGTAAAACAGTGTTCAACTTATTACAGGCCAGTGTGTCCTGAATAGATGCCTCGCTTTCCAATTTTCTGATTAAACCTCTTGTATTCATTAATTTGATAGTGGCCAGATGACACAAGATAATGAACCAAGGTACCGGTACCTTTATTTAACAGGAAAAAAGAGTCTGAAATTGATAAGGGAAAGATCTGAGTTAAAGCAGCGACACATGTTAAACGAAAGGGAAACTTCAGTCTTAAAAAAACTCCTAAATCTGCTCCCTGTGACTGAAACATGTAGGGGAGACCGGGGCTTGTTGTCACACTTTATACACTCTTATATATTTCTTGGAATCAATACATCATATGTAATCAAAATGTGTACCAGATGAAAAACCAAAGTCTCAGGTATATATTTCATGTTCATGTCATTTTCATATCTTTTGTCAGTGCAGCGTTATAAGAAATCAAATAGATGGTGCACGATGTCACAGTGGATTTTGCAGCTAATAAAACAAGGACAAAATTATTGTTGTTCTCATTTCCTTCCATGAAAGCGAACATCAAAGTCAGGCACAGAAAATGTTTATCATTGAGCGATTAAAGTCATTAAACAAATGTTAACATAAAATATTATGCACATATGCACATTTGCATTTTTCTGACTCTGTATTGCGGCTGGGGTGAATGTTTTGCAGTACCGAGCCGAGGTATGGTAGTTGACATTAAAGTCTTTTATTGTACTACAGATTGATTTATATAGCTAAGGTCACCTGCCTGACTGCCCTCAGCATCATGTCAGGTACTGCACTGCCATGTTATATATGGTTAAGTGGCGCTCATCTCAGCTCACAATGTGCTCTTCTCTTCTCAGACAGGACACGACCTCTGATCATGTAAAGGAAGAAAACTAGTCTTCCACTTTTTAGTTGTGCCCTCTGGTGGCAAAGATAATTGCAATGTGACAACTTACCCATGTGACAACAAGCCCGGTCGCCCCTACGTATGCACACAGGAGCAGGCTTTCATGTTGTGGGAGGTTTCACAGCAAATAAAGAAATTAAATTAAATTAAATCTAAAAAAAAAATCCTACCATTGTCTGAAAGCTCTTCCTTAGTGAGGTTTGTAACAGGTTCTCTTCAGCCTGCTCCCCCTGTATGAGCCATTTTTATCTACATTATTTTTTGGGTTTTGTTTTGTTACTCGGTCAATCACCTCAAGGGGCACTTCAGGTGAATGGGCAGGTAAATGCTACAAAAGGGGCACAGGTGAAGCAGTTATCTGGGAAATGGGAAGAGCACGCTGTTTTTACCGCTAATCTCCGACACCACTCTCACCCACATCACGAACATCGACATCGTCTTAAGTTTGACGTACCTGCCTTTTTTTGGTTTGTTTTTCATTTAATCAATAAATGGCAAAAACATAACTCAACAAAAACATTGGAGAGGACATTGGATTGTATTAGAAGCACCTCAAAAACACCTCACTCCCGCACCCAGACATAGACTAAAATTCGGTTCAGCATAGTCACTACACACCCTATCAGAGCAGCAGCCGAACCCTGAGTGGCACTCTGTGGGAGCTTTATGGTTGTTTTTAATCACTTTGGGCTGGTAAACACTGAGCAGGCCACTGCGGCTCCTTTTTCAGAGTGAGGGAGAAAGACTTTGCAGTAAAGTATAAATATTATTGTGGCAGGTCGGTGCTATTGGCTGCAGCATGTTGTGTGGTTTTTCGAGCCATTTTCCGTGCATACCTCCTCGTATCCAACTATTCAACCACTGCTCAGCAGTACTCTGGTGCACACTGCTGGATCTGTGGATTTGTAGGGGTAGTTTCATGTTTTGCTCAGTCCACAAACATCCATACTGCTGGCGTTTTAAAAAATACACAGCTGTTTTTCTTGTTGCTGTCTTATTTGCCACAGGCAGTGTGTTTCAAGCTGCAGGGCAGAAGAAAACCCAAACATCAGCTGTCTGCTGCTGATTCCCTTTTATCACCATCCTTCACTCTGATGTTAACAGAGGGCTTTTCCTGCCTTTGCTTGACGAATTTTAGTGGAACTGATTGTCTCATTTTGACGCATAAATATTTTTATTGATGTTTTTATTCGGGGCTTCTTGAAATATTTTTAGCTTATTACCCTTAAGAAACTCCCCGGTTGGGAACAACTGATGTAATTAAATCTCGCAAGCACATCATGACCTGACTGGTCCTCCTGCTGATCATGTGTGTACTTGCCAGGTTTTTACTTCTTTCGTGCTGAGTGGGACGGAAACAAGGGAGCAATGAGTGTGGGTGCAGCTTGTTTTTACACCACTCACAAAAAAATGCTGTAGTGTCTTTTTACTGCTTACTTTTTAAGTGTTTATTTTATTTTGATGTGTTTCGTATGTTCGTGTGCCAGAACTTCACTGTCACTCCCTGTTTCTTCTTTCTTGGGTTGAGTCTATTGTGTCTGCTTCTATGACAAATGAATTAAGCATAGTTTTCCCAACAATGGAATCAACTTCCTCTGTTTTTATTCTTCATTCTGTGTTTTTCTGCATCTCTGCTCTACCTTAAATGTTATTAATTCAGACATGGACACCTACATCTTAATTTTGATTTTGCTTTATGTCCAAAACTGTTCACAGAAATGCTCTTTGTTGCCTTATATTGCGAAATTATTTATAGTTTCTACCTTTGAGTGTTTTTACTGTTTGTTTTATTTTCCAGAACTAACCTCATGGTGCACACCTACCTCCAGACAATTATTGGTTTGTGGAACAACCACAACTATGTCAGATGTGGGAGGCCTGTATTTCCTGTGTGCAACCTCAGAATAATGATTAGCAGATTTGGGAATGCTGTCACTTGAGGGAAAAAAATACTTGCCCACTTACTTAGTCGATGTGTATAAATCAAACTATAAAATCTCTTTCTTTGATTGCTTGCAAATTTTCAGAGCTGCATTGCACTGAAAAAAAAAAAAAAACAGTTTCTAGCTCAAGGACATCACAACAGTTTATGTATAGAAATGGTTACGTAATCTCATTCAGCTAAAATGTGTAGGAGCAATTATTGCAGTGTGACACACACAATCTGAAACTTCATACAGATATGCATAATATAGTGAGATAAGATAAAAGCAGCAAACATGCACTGACGACGTGGACTTGGAGGTAATGTAAAGTTCATATATATTCACATTATAAAGTAATATCCATCAACTCTTGATAACTCTACCAAACTTGTCATGTTTTTATGTTAAGTCTTTATGCAATGCTTTATGATTCACTTCTTGATGTGTCTGTCAGAGCAGATCCAGGAGAAACCACAACATAGAATTTATAAATGTATACCATTGATTATGTAACATTACACAAACAGTGACTTGCATTATCAAACATCATTCGCCTTTCATTTTACTTTTATTGCAGATTTAATGACACGGCCAACGCTGTTATAAACTACTGTTAAAGGCCCGGGATTAAATTGGCTGGGGACCAAAGGTTCAAAGGTTTTCCTCACTGCGTCTATAAATCCTCCATGTTTGCCTGATAACATCGGCAGCAACGGCGGAACAACCAGCAGCCATGTCCAAGACCGCAGAGCTACAGACACCCCCCAGTGAGTAGACACTGCTCTATGAGATATGTAGTGAGATTTAAGCTACATTTAAGTGACTCAGCTAAAGATTTATGTGCTTTAACATGCAGATTAGTATTTTACTCACTGTGAAAAAAGAGGCAAAAGTCAAGATGTTTGGTTTGTTGTATTGAAGAAAAATTTATAATTACTTTCTACATTTAAATCAAGGACATTTAGTATCCACATATACACAATGTGATGTGAATGTATATTATTTAGTTGAATTAAATTGCCATTTCAATGTGCGTCAGTATCAGAGCCACAGTTACAAAAGAACATGTTGGCATTTTCTATTGTTCCTGCTCCAGTGTCTCCTGTTGAATGAGGTGAAAGAACATGCACAATGTCTCATTAAGAGCTTTTAGTCTGCAGCTGATAACTCTAAGAGGACAACCGTCTGACAGCTTCCTGCATGCAAACTAAAAAATAAAAAAGCACAGGAATTAAAAAGATGTGCCGCAATATGACAGCTTATCCCAACAAGGTCATTTACTTTATCCTGACGTACGGGGTGGTAAATAATTCACTGAAGAGCTGATCTATTGTTCTAGTTGTGATTAAACAACCAAAAAAACAAACAAAGAAAAAAACACTCAAGCTGTAAATCCCAGCAGCTCTGAGCTTGTCTATGTCACTTTTTTTGTTTTCTGGAGAATTTGAAATGAAGCAGTTGGGAACGTCATAAAAATTCACCCCCTGAAAGATGACAGCACACCACATTCAGGCGTCATTTGCGATGCTGCAGTAATCACAATCAAACCCCACAAAGTCAACATTGTAGGAGACTGTTAAAGCCCTCAGCGGTTATCTCTCCATTGCACATTCTGGTTTTTATTGTCTGCTGTACTGGTGTCATGGGAGTGAACCAAATTGTGACCCTTATGATTGTGTGTAATAACCATTCACACAGTCAAACTCTGATGGTGTAACCTATAAACTCAGCGTGAGGCAGCGTATTGAACCGCTCTGCTTTGAGTCTGCTAATCACGTTATTCTCTTATATATTTTACAATCTTCATTTTGTGTGCAGATATGAGGTAATGAAAGTGGATTGGTTATTGGCTAACAGATAAGACAACAGATAGCGCAGGTGTCATCCGCAGTGCATGACCCCACACAGTCACAAGCTCGCTCATTCAGGAGCTGTTACAGAACACGTTGTCTCACACCACACAAGTGCTAATGTTTCCTCGCTTAACCGTCTTTTTAAATCACACTTAATTGCACGAAGTGAGTGTTGATAGCTTGAAAAGCAGCTGCAGAGGTGTGAAGAAGTGGAAGGGATATAGAAAGTGTGAAAAAATGACACATTGTTTACACAAACTGTTGTCACCATATTTAACTGGTTTGAAATGTATAATTATAAAGTAAGCTCCCGTTGACCTTTTTATTAGTAAGTGCGTTGACAGTTTTATGTCATGGTGACACCGTCAGCCAGCATGGGTGGAATATTTTGACACATCCATGCTCATCTGTTTATGCAAACAACTTTTTTTTTTTAAAGTAGGATGTTGCTTCACTTCCTCGTTCTCACTCGTTCAAAGTTTGAGAGCTGTAAACGGTTCACAACACCACACCTTTTCTGTGTGCATATATGTGTGCGCACACATGTGTTTATGTGTGGTGAGGGAAAAAGGTGAGACAGGTGAAGTGTCAAGAGTTCAGCTGTTTCTCAAGTATACTGCATGGCTGTATCTGTATCTCAGTGTTTCCTCTCTGCTTTATCTCTGTAGATTATAGTGTGCTGTTAAAATAAGAGCATTCAGTGGGCCTCCTCCCTTTTCATCGTGTCTCCTTTCTCTCCTCAGTATCCAGCAGGGAGAGATGTCCAAAGGCCAATGGACTGGAGAGCGTTGCTCCTCTGGTGAGCACTGTGGAAGAAACACCTGATCCCATCCCCACCACTATCAAAGGCACTGTCCCAAGCTGGATCAACGGAAGCTTTCTGAGGAATGGTCCTGGAAAGTTTGAATTTGGAAAAGACAGGTATTCGAGAGACAAAAGAAAAAAATCAATCTAACTTTACAGATGATAGAACGTCATTAGAATTGCATTTTAAAAACGGGCAACACACAACATGATGCAACCGCTGAGACGATAACAGAAATTATCTTACCCAAACCCAGCTCCAAAATAACAAGACTGTCACTGCAAAACGCCTAAACCTGGGGTTCTTGGAGCTGGAATCAAAAATCAGTGAATTATATCACAGCAACTCACAGCAACACATCTGACAAAAATCAGCATGGTGAAAGTAGGATGACTGGCAGAAGAATTTAAGTTATATTTAGTTAAAAAAAAATGAAATTACTTCAGCTTAGGTGAAGCAACATGAGCCATCCAGTGAGTGCCAAGCCTGTGCAATAATTGTAAGTCTATAACTTGCATGTTTACTCATAATGTAAATGAGTTGTTTAGGATTTGCAGTGAGAAAATGTCCATTGAGAAAACAACAGAGCCATTCATACCATGTAAGACATAATGTGCTGTGCCAAAAATGGGTTGTTTTCTCCCCTGATGTTCTTGTTTCTAAATCTCCAGGTGATTAATTTCTTTTGTTGTTCTGTGTTCATTGTTTTTCCGAAAAAAATGTTTCGTATGTGTACAACCTCCTTGGCAATAAATTTGATTCTAAAGAAGAAATTCAGGCTAAAGATATGACTGCCTGAGTATTTGTAGCTGCATTTACTGTATTATTACCGGCATTTTCTCTTACTCTAACACCCCAGGCAGAATTCAATTATCTTTATTTTTCTCTTTTAGATACACCCACTGGTTTGACGGCATGGCTATGATGCACCGCTTCCACATCTGTGATGGAAATGTCACCTACAGCAGCCGGTTCCTGAGAAGTGACTCATACGTGAAAAACTCAGAGAAGAACCGAATCGTGGTGTCGGAGTTTGGGACTTTGGCGATGCCTGATCCATGCAAGAACATCTTCGCACGCTTCTTTTCACGCTTCCAGATTCCCAGTATGTGTTCCCTATTTACACGTTGTACATCCTCATGTGTAATCCCGCACCTTGCAGCACTGCCAGATGCATTATTAAACTAATGAAGTCATCTGTGTATATAGGTAACCAGGCAGCTGTTCCAGATTACTGGAATCCAAGTGTAACATACAGCCAGAGCAGAAAAATACAACCTTATACATTTTTTGCTTTGCTGCTCATGACCTTGGCTGTATGTTTCTTTTTATCCTCATGAAAGCTAAGTGTTGCAGCACGAGCGCAAGTCAATATATGTGCATCCGTGTCTTGTCTGCGTGGGGGAAGATCAATCTGAAGCATGGCATAAAGCCTCTGAAAAATAAGCAGGAACAAATTGAAGGGGGAAAACAGTTACCCATGTCATCGTTAAGAGCACTGAGTTTTTTTCTTTTTTCCCTTGAGTGCTATATTTAATACCTTTCTGATGCATGTGTGAACAGAGGCCACAGATAATGCCAGTGTGAACTTCGTCAAGTACAAGGGAGATTATTATGTTAGCACTGAAACCAACTACATGAGACGAGTGGATCCTCAGAGCCTAGAGACCAAGGAGAAGGTGAGTCACTGGTACAGATATAAAGGTGTCTTCTGAATATTAATGTGCATTTAAAAAAAAAAAACAGATGGTAACAGTGAGGAAGACTGGCTGACTGTTGCTAATGGTGATGGGAGCAACAAATATAATGATGCCGTCCCTTCAAGGTGGACTGGAGTCAATTTATTGCCGTCAACGCAGCCACAGCTCACCCACATTATGACCGCGAGGGGGCTACGTACAACATGGGCAACTCCTACGGCAAAGCAGGTAACCTTTCCCTCTGCTGTTCCGTTTCTGAACTCTGTTAGACGTCCTGGTGTGATCCAACATTACTGATTAGCTTTTGGGTCTCCTAAGGTTTCTTCTACAACATTATCCGGGTGCCACCTGCTGCAGAGGAGACAGCAGCGACAAAGGACTCAGCAGACCTGAATGGAGCCAAAGTGATCTGCTCCATCCGAGCAACTGATGCCAGGAAGCCTTCCTATTACCACAGCTTTGGTGAGGAACACAAAACAGTGTGAAAAACAGGCTGTAGCCCCTTTAAAAGCCCATGTGAGGAGATAATGACTGATTATAAAACTGGCTAGAATTAATACTGTGAGCTATAAGCAAATGAGAGCTCTACATGCTCAGCCATATCCATGGTTACCTCTAAAAATGCCGATTTAATGATGATATATAAATGTAGTTGAGCTTTAGGGTCCTTTCAGGTGAGTTACAGTGTGACAGTAAAATAGATTTCTTTATTTTTCTTCGCTAAGACAAATAGTGAATGATTGGAAAGAAACAAACAAGTTAAAATAAGAGATAAGTTGGACCACTCTGCCCACAGGGGGCGCCAGATTTAAACAAAAGTTCTTCGCAGTGGCTTTAAGAAGTCTGAATGCATTATGTATACAGTGACAAGTAATTTATGAGGATTTTTTGTCTGACCTGATAGGGTGGGCCTACTTCACATTTTCAGTGCTCTTATTAATTACTAATTTAAATTCTCGCCTCGTCCTCCTTCTTTTTTGTCAATCACAGCTCCTTTGTCTCTCAGCTTAGCTTTCACTATCTGTCTCAGTTTATAGCTCTGCCTCTGACTCACACACTGAAGTACATACTTTCTCCTTCGCTCAGTGTCTCGCTCATGAAAATATAAAATCCATTAAAAAGATGCACAATCAACGTTTTGCCCTACTTTCTTTTCAGGATTAACTCGAGGAGCACTGTGGAGACGATACTTATTGTGTTTATGTTTCGTTGTTTTCGTCTTTCGCGTTATGTCTACATTTCAATAAGAGATACTTATGTCAAGAGATGATCCTTTTCAGAAAATGGTTACGCATTTAGTTTTGGTGCTGCTTTGTGACGGAGGATCTGAGCAAAGTCGACACCAAAAGCTCAGATAAAGTAGAGCTTTGGAGAGCAATGACACTGTTGGTTCTTGTGTCTCTGTGGAGTTATAAAAGTCTCGTAAGTAACACAAAGTACATTTGAATTGATTAAGAGGTACAAGGTGACTGATAACGTATCTGTTGATAATGAAGCCATCGATAATGATGCGCTATAAATTGCTGCCAGTCAGCTGACGCAGACACAAATTTATTTTGCCCCGACACTATATCCCTCCTTATGTTCCATATTTATATTTCCACCAGACCACCGTGGCTCTGCCAGACTGTCTGGCACCATGAGATCTCTCAAATGATGAAACACTGCATGGTTATATCATCACCACATAATTACTGTTGTACAGTTACAGTAGACAGGGGGTTGTGTTTAGCCCCCATCTCACATGTTTACCTGCCAGCATAATATTTTGTCTCATTTGTCAGGAAATGTTGGATCTGATGGGTGTTTGTTTTGCAGACTGACCAGCCAAAAGTGGGTGGCAGCAGATGCAGCCTTTTGCACAACCTGACTTAAAAAAAAATAGGGCCTGTCTCCACTGGCATATTTATTGCACTATATCATTTGTGCCTAATTTTTCGACTATTTTTGTGTTTCCCTCTTTTGTTACTGCTGGGCTCATTATTGTCACGTCTTACTGGCCAGTTCAAACCAATAATGGGCAGGAGTTTTGATATCAACTTTGTAAACAACAACAGAGAAGAAAAAATTAATTACACACATTTTTATAGGTATAATTTCCTGGTGAAGAGCTGCTTCTTACACCAGGAAATGATTCCCCTCGATTATAATCTTTCTTTGGAAAATTATTTGATGTATGATATATATTGGATAAAAGCAGATCATTAAAAGAAAACAGAATAAATAAAAATCCATCAGTGGAAACAGGCCCTAAAAGACCCATAGTATCTTTTCTTAGTCAAAACCAACAACATGTGGTCACTTATACATTAAATTCAAAGCCATACAAAAAAAAAATATTGTTCAGTCCTGAGACATGAGGCCTTTACGAATAACTAACAACCAATTTATTTGTGTTTTAAGGCCATAAATCAAGTATGCAAGAAGTTGAAATCTCTCTGTTGTCAATGTGTCAATGTGATGCAGCAAGTCTATAAACTGAGGTTGAAATCATAAAAATACAATATTAATATTTTATCCATGTGTGCCCTCTCTCCAAAGTCATGTCAGAGAACTACATCGTGTTCGTGGAGCAGCCCATCAAACTGGACCTGCTGAAGTTCATGCTGTACAGAATCCAGGGAAAGAGCTTTCATAAAGTCATGACCTGGGAGCCTCAGCACCAAACTATCTTCCATCTGGTTAACAGGCACACAGGCCAGGTGGGTTCAGATTAGTTTACTGCATGGCAACAGAGGTGTTTTCATGCAATAATAAAGTGTGAAATAGAACAAAAACACTCTCATTTTCTGGGCAGGCAGAACAAAAAAGAGAAAAAGTGCAAAACTGCAAGCTAATCTCTTCATGCATGCCTGAGCTTTTCCCTTATTTATTTTGATGGAGTCACACTCTGATGGTGTAGCTGTTTCTCATACACTGTTACTCTCAATTTTCTCATCTCATTACACAGCATACCCATTAAGCATACAATATCAAACTTTCATAATGTGAAGGTACACGAAATAACAACAGCCAAGCCTGAGCCTCTGTCCTCAAACATTAAAACCAAAAAAACAGAAAAATCTCCCTGGTTTGTCCTAAAGCCTTTTTAATACTTTACTGTTCTGGTTTATGTTTTTCTGATTGGCTGCTGCGACCGATTCCCCCCCGACAGGAGAGCGAAGTGAGGTACAGCGCGGCACCCATGTTCACGCTGCATCAGATCAACGCTTATGAAGAAGACGGGTGCTTGGTGATGGACATGTGCTGCGGAGACGACGGAGAGGTCATTGGAGACTTCACTCTGGAGAACCTGCGCAGAGGCTCAGGGGAAGAAATGGACAAGGTAACCAAATCAACAAATGAACAAAATACTGGTATTTCAAGTTCCAATAAGCTCGACAGATGTGTCATGTTGTTTTTTTATTCAGCTGGTATGCATTCTTTAAGGGGTGGTTTTTCTCTTTCTTTTTTAGAGTGGGTTGTTTTAGGCACTAGTCAATAGCAAGTGTATTACCCACCTGGGACTCTGGTCAGCTTGCTTCCATCACTTGAGAACAAGATAGTAAGTGTAGTGGAAAATCAACATCTACTCAGTAAAACAATGCACAGGAGACAGGATGAGATCTGAAGAGTAGCCTAGGCGTCTTTATTGTAGAATCAGTACAGATGAAAAACAGAGTCTTGACCAAATCAGTAGAGAGGAGCTTCAAGCCTTCCTCTCACACACTTTTATGCTTCTGACTAATACATGTGGGTTACTGTGTACGCTTTTCCCGTCATCATGGGTACGTCATATCTACCCTCCATGAGGTTACCCAAGGACATGTCATACTGTTCTGAAATTCACCATTTTGTTTGGGTTATTCTTAACTTTCCTGGAGATTAGCCTTAAGTATTTTGAGAAACCGATAAGTTTTGGTCCCTGCAAAGCAGCCTTGCTTACAACCTCCCAGTTGTGAGGCTGCATAAAAAAGCCAACCCAGCTTATTTGTAACCCCTTAATAAAAGATAATCACTCTATATTTCTTTACCCAAATTTATGGGAAGATTCTACCTCAGAATAAAAGTTAGGCAAGTTTGTAATTTAGTTGATGTGAATAAACTCTAACACAAACATGAATGCATGAAAGAGTGTGATTTATATAAGAATTTCTCATTTAAAAGTTCAATTTTCTCTGTAATGATTGACAAGTACCTTATACAACTCCACGTAAACAGTGCTATTCCATTAACATTTACATTAAGTCTAAATAAGTCTATCCATTTGTAACTAACTTTAAACAATGTTCACAAAACATGAACTTAAAACCAGTCAGAATCTTTTTCTTTTTTTTATTATCAATGTGGCCTCTAACTCTCTTTCTCTCTCTCTCTCTCTCTGTCTCTCGCTCTGTTCCAGTCTTTAGAAACCTATATCTCAAGAGGACACAGTTCAATTATGTCTTCTTTTTTCCTTTTTCTTTACTCAGTTGTGGCTTAGTTGTTCATGAAGTTGTATTGAACCTTTCTATCAAAGACGCCAAACTTACTTTTTTTTCATATCTGTCTGATTTTCTTGGACAGTTTTACAACTCATTGTGCAGAAACCTCCCACGGAGATACGTCCTTCCCCTGAATGTGGATGACAAAACTCCTCTGGACCAAAATCTTGTCACTCTACCTCTCTGCAGAGCCACAGCAAAGCAGACAAAACCAGGACAGGTGGGATTAAACAGAGCACAGTATATGCTGTTGTTCATTATATAATGTTGTATGTTTTAATGTACATGCCTCTGGCCTGATTCCCGTGGAATAAGCACAGAATAGGGTCTATAATCATGATGAATACAGCCAATTCACTCCCACACACTCAGCGCAATTATCCCGTGTGGTGACACACTCAAGGTGCTTTCTGCAAGATAGTAATTTCATGACTTACAGCATATAAATAAGATGTCAAACTGAGAGTCCACTATGAGGTGGAACTGTCGCTATTTAACAGCTTACCTACACATGAGCGTATACACACACATACATACTGTATCTAATGTGTTCTTATAGCAGAATAAAGCAGTACCATTCCATTGTGAAGAGAATGGGTTGTCATGACTACCTAAATGACACTTTCCTTAGTCTTAGCTCTTACTGAATATGGTTTATGTCGGTACATGCGATGGTGGAAAGTGCTGTAAGAGAGCAGCCAGCAACCACAGTCACTGCAGACAAATGGAAAAAATACAAGTCTGTAACTGCAATAAAAGGTACAGGTATTCTCAAGCAAAATCAAATTAAATTGATGTGCTCTTATCTAGACTTTTAAATGAATGCCACTGCTCTTATGTAGGTATCCATTTACCTGTTTTAGAGAATAATGTTGTATTGATTCTAGCCCAAACAGCACGAAGGGGAGCAGTAAATCTGTCTGGAAGGCATTAACTGGACTCATTTTTTTGGTTCAAATGTAAAAGTTTTACCATCCATAAAAAAATCCAGACTTTTTCCTTTGACCCCACAGGTCTTCATGACCCATGAGGAGCTCCACGACGACCAGCTGCTCCAATACGGCGGACTTGAGTTCCCTCAGATCAACTATGATAAATACAACGGCAGGCCTTACCGCTATTTCTACTCCTGCGGCTTCGGACATGTCTTCAGTGACTCCCTGCTCAAGATGGATGTCCACACCAAGGAGCTTAAGGTTTCTATCTTCTAAGGAAAAATCCTCATTGTTAACTAGGCTGGGTAAAACCACATCAAAGTCATTTCCAGTGCTCTTTGTCTAGAAGTGAGGGCAGGATGTGAAGGGTTGGTTTTCTGACATGAAAGCGCTCAGAGTAAAGGAGGGGTGTCTGTGTAATCTCCCCCTGCCTAGGTGTGGCGTTATCCCGGCTTGTTCCCGTCTGAGCCCGTCTTTGTTGCTTCCCCTGATGCCACAGAGGAAGATGATGGAGTGGTGCTGTCTGTCATCATCACACCCAGGGAAGTAAGTCAACCACAACAAAGAAAACACACAAAAACGATGAGCAAAAGCAACATGAAACAAATGTTCACTTCCAAATTACTTTCACTGGTATTGTGCAAAGAGCCGATTCAAATGACTGTTTTTGTAAATGGAGTCTGGCGGCTTTAAAGGGCTTAATGTATAGGATGTTTAAAGCATGGTTTAAAATGAGATCCAAGTTTGACAAACAGATCTATCTCAGCAGGTATAGTTAGAGTTATACTCTTAGACAATAGTAATTACAGCCTGTCGGTGTAAAAAAATCAAACTTAAGTGGGCACACTTTGTCTTGGGAGATAGTGCAGCAGCCATATCTGAAAGTTTTGTTCCTTGTTGTAATTGAAGACCTGAAATATGAAACAAAAAAGGGGGTAACAGTTTACAATAACCATAACCTATAAATGATAAATAGACCGTTTATAAATGTTAAGCACATAGTTTATTAATGTTTAATCATCATTTATAAATAACATATAGGCTATTAATAGGCTGCAAACCTAACCCTAACCCTATCTATACAATAACCATATAAGTAATGTTTATAGGTGGTTTATAAACCACTTATTAATCATTTACAAAGTATGACAAACATCAGTTACAACTTTACAATAACCATCTCAGTAATGTTTATAGATGGTTTAAAAACCAAATATTAAACATTTACAAGGTGCTACTGACACACATTTTAATCTAGATGTTTTACAACTAATATTTAAACCCTGTATAAACCTTTAATAAAAAGTCCATTATGAAGGAATAAAAATTATCAATCATAATTGCATTGCTGATTAATGGTAAAGTAACAAATAACTTACATTCATAAACCATCTATTTGCCATCTATAGTTGGTCTATATGCTGTTTTTAAATGATGATTAAACATTGATAAACTATCTATTTACCATTTATAAATTGTGGTTATTGTAAAGTGTTACCTAAAAAGGGCAAATATTTTTAAATAAAGAAATTATGCTGTAATATCTAGACTAAACCAGAGTTGATATAAAAGGTGATAAAGCTGATTTTTTGTACATTTTTGTATGATCTAGAGCAGATACAATATCATCATGATTCCAAGAAAGATGACCCTTTTCTTTACATCACAAATTCAAACCTCTCTCTCTCTCTCTCTCTTTCTTTTTCTCTCTCTGTGTGTTTTTCCAGGAGAAAACTACTTTCCTGCTCGTTCTGGATGCAAAAACTTTCACTGAGCTTGGCAGAGCAGAGGTCCCTGTCAACATCCCGTATGGGACCCATGGGGTGTTTAACCTGAAGGGCTAGATGTGAAACTGCTCCCTGGAAAAATCGCTAAAACTAAACCAGCAACCCACAGACTTTATCCATTGTATAGAAAATCTCTGTTGTAGCCAATTTCCGTAAAAACAAAAAATCCTGAACTGTTAAAAGAAAACCAAAAAGAAGAGAGGAAAAACTGCTGACTCATGCTGTTTGTTTGTTTGTCCTTCTTTGATAGGAAAAAGTGCGTGTCCTCGCCGTGTGCTACATTTACAGTCAGATAGATGGCAATCTTTAGGAGACAGGAAGCCCAGCACGGCATCAGCACACTGATTGTTTGTCCTCTGAGTGCTCTTGTGTCCTCTTTTTAAGATTTTAATGAAACAGCCTTCAGACGACTACCTGGATGCCATGCAGATGGTGCTTATTTGGAAGGATTTCTCGTTTACACTTGAGGGTGAACAAAAAAACAAAAAACATGAAAGCTTATACACATAGTAAAATAAAGATCCATTTCCCCCCTTTTTTTTTCTTTTTAAACCAAAAGTGTTTTAGCACTATCATGCCGTTGGAAACGCTATACCCCCAGTGAGAACCATGTAGCACTTAGGATACATATAAATGCATCAGAGGAAATTCAATTTCTGTCAAAGTAATGTGATAGAAATGGACAACGTCTGAAAAGCCTGGAAAACAAATGGACCGGACTGGTCGATAGCCTCCAGAGAGTCTCGTAGAGGTCACATCGCAAACGTGGCGCTGTTTATTCGCTCGAAACAACCCAAAACAAAAGTTGACACACACACAAACATGAAGCCTGGGTGTGAACAGGAGTGATTTGTTGTTTCATTTTTATTATCTGAACGGAACAATGCGAGGTAGCCTTGAGCTGAACTTGTCACTCCAATATCTTAACAGCTGACTTTGCTGATGCTTATTTTATCGGCTATTTTCCCACATTGATCGGCACAAATTGATCTGAACTGACCCAGGGCGCTGCACCTGATACCAGATTACGGCTCTGTGGAAGCAGAGAGGTCTTGAACGCAAAATGACCCGAATAGTTTTTTTTTATTTTTTACCTTTTTTAATATCGAAATTGACTTTTAGTCATAAGTTACGGTTGGAATTCACAAGTTTATTTCACAAAGGCAAGTTCCAAGCTTCAATTATTTATGACTGCAGGAAACACACAGGCAGCATCTGTAGTTCTTCTTAGTCTGCTGAAGTGAATAAAACAGGAGGGAATAAATCTTAAGGGTACAGTTTCCATTAAATCCACTCTGGGAATTAACAATTCTTATGTTTTTTGTCATGTTCTGTTTCTAATAAGCATGCTGCACAGGTCTCCCAAGATACACATTAATTAGCTCATAATTTCTAATCTCATCAGTCATGCTTAACCTCTGCGAGTGTGTGTGCGTACATACTGTAAGCTCAGGTTCATTAGTACTCTGTTCAACGAGCATGACCGGCAAAAAGCGATACAGTGACCTATGACCTAAGATAAATCTCCAGCTAAATTATGTGTTTGCAAAGCTGCGGAGCAAAGCACAGCCTTATCAAACAGCCGGCAAACGGCCTTTTAATTTGAAGTATCATCCAAAGAGACATTAAGCAGAAAGGATCAATAGTGATTTCAATGTGTTATTGTAGATAGTTAACACTTTGACAGCTGGATGTGTCAGGTTCAGCCGGGTCAGGCTTTAATGATGCCTAAGCACACTACAGCTTCAGTCAGTCTGAAAACTTAAGCACCTGTGCACTTTGTAGCACCGATAAACTTGCACACACAGCATTTGTATGCAAGTTTGTGCGTCCTGCTTTCAAGGTGACAGTTTCAGACTGTCTAAGCTCTTATTTGACCCCTGAGAGAAAGCATGAGCTCACTCCAACTCTCCCCTGCTGCTGTCTTTCAAAGACACACACACTCACACACACACACGTTACTGCCCAGAGTCTTTACTTTGACTGTTATCTGTATCATTATTTTATATCCTGTGAATTCATAATGACATCATCTATATTCACCAGATTAGACACACTTCTCAAAAGAGGAGATTTCCCTCAATAGTGGGAACACTGTCTTCCAGATACAGATTTGTCACTCCCTATCTTCACGGTCTTGTGTGAGCACGGTTATCTGACATATGTGTATCTGCACGTGTGTGTGTTTGTGTGTGAATGTAAGCACTCTCTCCAGTGCGCACAAACTATGTGTTTATTTATGAAGGCATTACTGCAGAGCTGCACATGCATGTTTGTGTGTGTGTTAGTGGTTCTCTGTGGGCTCTCTCTAATTGTACTTAAAAAACACAGCAGAAGCTTTATGAAGTCGGAGCTGAGCAATTAAATACCCACGGAGGGGGTGAATCGTGCACTGTCAACACAAATAAACTCCCACTATGGACCTGACAGTGTGGCTCAAGAAGAAACTGTGAAGAAAGGATTTTTCCATATTGCACTATCATGGGGGGAAATAATGCAGCGCCTGAATAAGAATCCACAATGCAAATGTAGCTGTTTTATTCACTGTGTTTGCAGCTAATGTTTCCTCTTGTCTTATTGTGTTATTAGAAGCGTCTTCATCCTCCTGAGCCTCCTGCGCAAACAACTGTAAACTTTATACAGTTTATGCAACTGCTCTTCGGAGGGAAATTACTTGAATAACTAAATGTCCACTTTGTTATCTTCTAAAATAAAGGAGGAAAGTTGGTTGTGGTTTTGGAAACAGTCGCCCTAAAGGATATTCCACTCTAAAAAAAACAAACATGTTTCTGCTTAAAGACAACAGAGGAAAAGGCTGTTTCAATCACTGCAGCTCCAGTGCTGCATGGATGGAAGCAGGATACATTTAGGATGGTGGGTGAAGCTTCTCAGCGCCCTCATAATGACACAGGCTTCAAACTCTGGGGGGAGAATAAGCCTGGGCCAATATAGGCAGAATGAGGCTGATTTTGCCATTATAACCGCAAGCTCTTTTTCCCTCTTGGATGGCGGCCTGGGTTGACAGTCAAACATCATTATGAGGCAGTGGCCTTGTAGTTTGTCACTGTCACTGCCTCTAAATAGAGACTTTGTTTTCAAGATTTGCAAAGATTTATGACATTCCAGGCACTATTTAAGCAGTGATGCGCAACAAAGTCATTTTGTTTAATGTGAAGCTACTTTGAAAAATGGTGAGATTCTGCAGGCTGTGGGCTTATTTCCTCTGAGCACACATATAATAAGAGGCATTGTGCTCGCTTTTTTTTTTAATCTTTATTTCAATCAGCGGAAACACAGATGTGATGTGAAGTGTCAGGGTACGGCTGAATGAATGATGGCCTTTTCACCACGATTGTTGAGTCACCACCCTTGAACTTTGTCCCCAAAAATCATCCGCAGATTTCAATGAGTTGTGGGAATAAAGGGGTGATGTCAGCCAGAAATTAAAAGACGCTTGCTAAATACTTGAATAAAAGATTCACTTTGTGCGGGATGACCGGATTTTTCTTGCCATGAGTGCAAATAGCTAAGATTTTTGCTTCCTAATTCCTCTTAGATGTATTTCTGTTCTTACTCCAGCAGGATCCTGAGCAAGACTGTAAAGACTCCCTCATGAAAAAAGATAGCAACTGCACAAGATGGATATTACACATGAATCACAGAAATTGTTTTTCAGAATGTATAGGCTTTCACAGAAAATCCTGCTGCAATACCCAAGGAGATCAAAGAAAGAGCTCACAGGCCAGGTAAGGTCACTATAATTTCACTGCTGAGCACCACAGGTGCATCTCTCCTCAGCTCCCTGCAGGAAAATTACAGAAATGTTCTGCTGATTCTTCTATAGGGTAACATTTATTATTGGGCCCTTGGTGTGAGCGAGTCCCACGTTTTCCAATGGGAGCACCCACCGTTTACAGCGCCCTCTGCCGGCGTGCACAAACTCCTCTTTATAAAGTGCTGTGATGCCTCGACACACTCACATGCAGTCAGTGCAAAAGGAGCGTTCACTCCCTCCGCAAGAGCGCACAGATTTTTGAAGGACCCAGTGGTGGGAAAAGCAAAAATCCTAAAGGCAGCGTTTTGTAGCACTTTTAGATGACTTCTCCAGCCTCGTTAGACGTCTCTCGGTAGCTGACAGATCAGTTTGAGGAATGTTTTAGGGACAGAGAGTCTCTCCAAAGGGCATTTGGAGCGCGCAGTCTGAGCCCTTATAATGCGGAGAGATCAAGTCTCAGTAGTTTGTCGGTATGAACGCAGCACAGACGGACCCTGAGAAACTGCTTTCATGGATGGACTGACTGACTGATTGATTGATGGGCGTTTAATTATTTACTATTCAAGATCAGAGGATTTCCTTGTCGTAGTCAATAATTTAAAGAAATCGTGGATTAGGTGTCGAGGATTTCTTTTTCCCTTGAAGGTGCGTCTTTAATGGGGATGTTGATCTTTTACATTTAGCCAACGCCTGGGTCACGGATCTGAAGGAGGGATTTAACCTTTCTCCAGGTGGAAATATAACCAGTTTTCTTCCAGGACCCTAACTCATCTCTACTGCCGCTTTGTCCAACATGAAGTCTGTCACTGTGTGGATGTGCGTCTACAGCTTCCTTCTGCTCCTAGGTAAGAAGTGAAATATGCAAACATGTCTAGTTAAGAGCAAATTCTCACATTTAGAGCTCATCTGGACAATTTCTGTCATCAGTAATTACTATCTGGGGATATTTCTTGTATTTGTCCACTTTTGTCTTTGCAGGAGTTGTTTAGGGTGCAAGGTTATTTCTTCTTTGTCTTAGAATATGTTGTAAAACGATGAAGGGCGTCAATGTGCAGCCGGATGCATTGGGTTGATTATGTTTAACTGTCACTCAAACGTGCTAATTGAACTTGTTGTATGTGAATTAATTACCTAAACTGTTTGCACAAACAAAAACATAAAATACTGTAGTATATCTATCATACAAGCCTCATAATAATTGCATAAAAAATGCAGCAGCAGAGTCCAGTTCTCATTTAGAATGATAAAAGTCTCAGATTTTTGCTCCAGTTGGACACTCGAGTTTAATTTAATATGAAAAATCGATTATCATTATGCTCACCATCACCATTATCATAATCATTATTACCATCATAATGACAGTTATCATCATAAGTGCTTCCCACACAGGTCAGCACTGAAGTTAAATTCCTTTAAGCAGAGAAATATTTCTCACAGTTAACTTGATTTGACTCTCCCTCACCCGTTGCTCTCTCTGATGCAGTGCCTCCTCCTCTCTGAATTTAGTACTCTACATCGCCACAAGGGGTCTCTCTTGTCATTTCTCTGTTTGAGATTTGGGTTTGCGTGAAGGTGCGTTTGAATCTCGACTCCTGTCAAACTGCAGCACCTGAGCCTCTGATCTGTGGATCACTGTTGACTCATTTCAAAGTAATTTTCTGCTTATCTGGATGTGAATAAAGCGGAGTACACATCCTTAAGGTGCCCCCTTTGAAATGAGATAATTAGACAATCTTGGGTGATCAAGCCTCCCCTTGATTAGGTCTAATAGTAAAATGAGAGCTGAGGCTTAACATGTGTTTTTCTGACGCTTTAGATGATTGTAGGTGAGAACAGGACAAGACTCATGTGAACCATGAAGAATGTGAATATCTTGCCAAATGATGTCTTGACATGATAGGGCTTGTTATAAGCAGTCAGACCAGTTCCAAGTCCAAAATCCAATAGGAGATTTAAAAAGGTGGAGATCTGGTATGTGATGTGTCCTTTTCAGAGTGCATTCACCCACAAACCTACAAACACACACTCATTACAATTCTGAGCCCACTTCTCCTGTCACCCCTAAATCCTCTCTCCTGGTCCCCACCTAGATGAGGCAGCCAGTTCCTGGGGTGGTCCCTCTGCTCTGTCCGTGTCCGTACCCTTGGCCAATGGTTCTCCAGGATCTCCAGGTGCCGGTGCCGGGTCTGGGCCTGGAGCACAGCCAGAGTGGGTGGACTGCATCCAGGCGAGTGACATGTGCAACCAGAACCCGTTTTGCAGCTCTCGGTACCGGGTGATGCGCCAGTGCCTTGTGGGCAAAGAGAAGGAAGCCATGCTGGACAACAACAGGGAATGCCAGGCCGCTCTGGAAGTGCTGCTGGTTAGTCCTCTGTATGACTGCCGCTGCAAGAGGGGCATGAAGAAGGAGCTGCAGTGTCTGCAGAACTACTGGACCATCCACATGGGACTCACTGAAGGTAGGAGGCAGATGGTTTTATAAGTCTCTGTCTTAAAAATCCCAGAAAACATCATGTGTGTAACTGTGCGGCAAATTCAGAGCTTTTTATGCCAAAAAACTGTTCTTATTCATGCACTTTCTTGAAAAACACAAATGTTCAAGTGCTCTTTTTTTCCCACATCTCTCCAGTCAGCTTGATTTGGTTTTACATGTGTCATAAGTACCCCTCAATGTTCCCCCTTTGACTTTGAATTCAGCTTTTAACATTTTTAGTGGCTTTCTTATTACAGGGAAATGTGTGTGAACTGCTGCTGCTGCGGTAGAAAACTCTGTCTGTGGCTCTCACCTCTGTCATTATTAATGTGTATGACTTAGCACATTTTTCAGCATTATTACATTTATTCCAAATTAATCCTCTATTCTCAACAAGTGCACTTTCCGGGCAAACACTAGAAGGATGTGCACCACACCCTTTGTTGATGCCAAATTCCCTGATGCCCTCTTACAGAGATACCCAGAAGCCCTTGATGAAAAATATATGCTTTCCCAGTTTCCTCACCCTCTCAAAGGTAATGGATCTATAATGGGATTACATTACGTAGACCTGTTATGGTGGACTTATTGGTTTCCACCTAAAGTGTTCCATATTACCATGTAATTCAGTTGCGCTGGTGTGGCTCAGTGGCCCTTATGTGTCCACTTACACTGGACGTAAAGTCAAAAAGCACTCATATTGTAACAGTAGGGCCTTTTTTTTGAGCATCAAGCAGTCTCTTGGACTGACATCACTCTCGGTCCACCCTGAGGGGCGAACACACACTGCGATTCATTTTGAGACAAGTCGGAGTGAATCAGAGCTGCCAGAGATGCCATGCCCCGGGGATCCTGCTAAAGGGGGACCTCAACCCGAGAGTGACATTTCTCCATGCTCATACATGTGCCATCTGATGTCAAGTGCTGTGCCATGTAAACATGGCGGACATTATGTCCTCAGCTGTTTTGACACGTGGGCTAATGGTGGAGAAGTCTCTGAGCTTTAAGCATTCTGGGCTTTTGTGTCGTGATCCATGAAGTGATTTGCCGGGCTGACTGCTCATAGCACCAGCTACACTTCATCAGACTGATGGCAGCAGAGGGTCCCTGACATGAGTTCAAGGGAAACGTAATGACATGAATGCTCCCCAGGCCTTCTGTCTCTAACCCTGTCTTCCTCTGCTTTTTTCTCTCGCAATGATCTTTCTCATCTCCTTCCACTTCTCTTTCTCACGCTCTCTTTCCTTTGCTCTACAAATATCTGCTTTAGTCAAAGTGTTTTAGTTTAAAAGGATCATCTGAGTTGTCTGGCTGACATGGATAGAGACCTCCTGTGCCTGAGTTATTGCCCTTCACAGAGTGTCTGTTTCTTTTTTGAATAAATGCCTCTCAGCAGTGTCCCATTTTTGGCCCCTGTCGCCCTTGGAGATAAAACCTGCTTTAACACAAACGAAAAGCTCTTACAGTACAGCTTTAATCTAATCACGATCCATTGAGCAGTCAAGCAGGCTTTTGTTAACTGGAAACAATCTATGTTCAACATCCATCTCTGGGAACAAACACGAGGAACTGAGTCCCAACAGACCGGCTGGAAGTGGTGCTAAACCACTTTTTACAGCTCCTAAAATCGTTTATGGACAACAGGGTCTAAGCGTTTTGATGAAGGTGATCACATTTGAAGTTTTAGTTTGTTTATGTGAATTTGGAAAGGTTTAGCGCATGGAAGAGAATACAACAGAAAATGACAAGAAACTAAAGATTAAAAGGGCAGTATGTAGAATCAAGAAGCATTTAGCAGGACAGACTTACCTGAATACTAAAATCATTGTGTGTGTGTGTTTTGGCTGCCCCACTAAATGCATTGATTGGAAGACAAAGAAGCAGAAATGGAGAGTGGTTGTTGTGCACAGAAATCATTTATTGATAGATACTTTAGGTAGTAAAATTTTGACGAATGCAGGATCAGACTTTTCAAACATCTCTGGAGCTCCATGTCCTCAAAGGCCAGTGTTTCAATCCTGAATCTCACTGCAAGACATTGTGAAATATTTCCATAAATACACACTATTCTTTTAAAGAAGAAGCCCAGAGCTGGAGATGGTGAAAAGGAAAAAGATGACAAGCTGAAATATAGAAAAGGGGCAACTGATGTGATAAGTTTTAGGTGAAAAGTAGAGTGAGGTGGCTCGAGGAAAACATATTTAGCTTCTTTAAACATACGGTCATCTCCTTTAGGCTTAAGGCTACTGCAAAGTTTATAAAGCCGTACAGAAAAACAGGCTCCGGCTATAAGTTACTGAGAGTCTTATAACCTATGCTGACTAGGGGCAGAAATCTGGCCTGCAAGCTTGAGGGCCAACCTATAGTATCTGTGAAGAGAGAGCTGATGTCAAACAGGGATAGACTGAGAATGAAACAATGCTCTGCACTCAGACCGTGTCCATACACACAGCAGGCAGAAACTACACTGCCCCGAGCAAGGTTATCACACCACCTGATTGAGCATGAATACAGTAAATGCTACTTGTTTGAATACAAAGCCAAACAATTAAAATAATTGGTTCAATAACAAAATAATCAGACCTATCAGCATGAATAAACTTGTAAAAGAGTAAAACACAGTGAATAAATGTCTGTGTATCAATCCAGGTTGAAAGATAAAGGGTCTGAAAGTTATTCTTGGAAAACAAATGATTTTAATTTTACATCTCAGGCTTCAGGAGAGACAAACACACTCTGTATACTGTAGGTGACGCCTTGTTCTGTGTACACGTTTGGGCCTGACATTATCAACCAGTTTTTTCTTTTATGTTGTTAATACTGGAGTCTCATTCTCAAAAAACAAAACGAAAAATCAACTTGTGATTTCGAAGTTTAGCTTCTTCATTGTTATTTGTACACAACCAAGATGAGCAAGTATAGAGAGGCAACACTATAGTGATGTATGAAAGGCTCAGTTTACTCTCGCCACGCTTACATGGGCAAAATTTCTTGATCTGATTAAAATTTTGAGGCATCGGATAATCTTAATCCACTGTTTATATGGGTGCAAAATCAAATAATCCGATTATGACGTGCGTATACATACACCGAGTTTTATTCAGATTAGAAGCATTTGGACATGCGCAGAGTTGTCTGATTTCGCTTAAAGAACCGCAGAAGAGGAGTTGCATTTCCGCCTGTGCTGTCAACAAAACACAAACGCAGTAGTGTCTCACTTCATCCAAATCAGGAGTTTTCCCCCCCTGTTAAATGTTGTCACTAGATGGCGTCCTTGCATACTTATTTTACTGTTCTGTCAAAGGTTGCTCTGTGCGTGCAGATGTGACATCATTACGTTGTATGTACGCCTCGTTATGTTACCGGAAGAGCAGACACGGCACCAGTGGTTGTGATTTATGCCATAGTGTTAATAATGAAACCTCCTGTACTGGCCTCAATAGATAAGCCAAATGCAAAAGAGTGAAGATCGAGTCAGGTAAGAGAGTCACGATTGGAATAACGCCTGGTTCACACAGGAAGCGCCGCGCGCGGAACGGAAGCGCCGCGCGCGCGCGCAGCGCCAGCTCGCGCTTGGCTGTTCACACAGGAAGCGCTTTCTGCTGCGCTCTGACATGCCGGTCAGACATCGACTGAGCCCGGTAGTGCTCGGCCGTTTCCGTCTGCCCTCAGTTTTCCACACTTACGAGCGCTTTAAAAATGGGTAAATTACTATTTATTTACGTTTTTATGTCGTCATACATAAATTAAGTATTGACAGCATCTTCAAGTATTGTTTTAAATTATTATATAGGGGTAAACGACGAATAAATTGGGGCGTCTGTTGACTCCGTTGTATGTATAGCCTTGTTAGCTCGAGGCTATTGATTGTATCGTAATAAAGTCCCCCCCCCCCCCCCCCCCCCCTTGTCTCAATAACATCACTGAATCTCTGCAGCTCTCCCTCCGTGTGTGTGTGTGTGTGTGTGTGTGTGTGTGTGTTCATCGGTAAAAAAAAATAGACTGACAAGCAACACCGTAAATCCTTTTCTAATTTATTGAAATTTACTTTATTTTGAAAATTGACCGGATTCTCTCGCATCTCCTTCCTGACTTCCTGTCTGGTCCGATCTGCTCTGTTGAGCTTTACATCGGCGCTCGCGGCTCGCGCCGAAAATAGAGAGAAGCGGAGCACCCGCGCTCCAGAGCGCGAGCCGTTCCGCGCGCGGCGCTTCCGCGCGCGTGCTGTGTGAACAGTCTCATAGGTTAACATGGGCGCCGATCCGAAACTCTGTGCGCGGCGCTTCCGTTCCGCGCGCGGCGCTTCCAGTGTGAACCAGGCGTAAGAGTTTACATGGACGCGTTTCGGAATGACGATCAACATAAACCACCCCTCTCGATCGGAATACAATATCTTTCCGATTGAGCCGAATTGGATCAGAATCTTCCTATCGACATGATTACGTGACGCATTTTTATTCCGATCGGGCATTTATTCAGATTAATATCAAAGTTCTTGTCTGAAAGAGCTGCTTCTGTTTTATTCATCTTCTACTGCTGAGAAAAATTGTTGCATCTGAAGCCAACAAACTTAAGAAACAGTATTGTGAAAGTCTCTTAACTTTATCAGATTTTATGTATTAAATAAATCTGGTTCCTGAATCTGTGATGAAACAGATGCTTGTGTTTGCAGCCAATAGACAATCATAGGAAAGGAAGGCATGTTCGTGCCCAGGCTTTAATCCGTGGTGCCAAACTGAGCGACGTGCACCTGTCAAAAATTTCCTTATGTGAATTTGTCAGTCTGACGGCTGGCACTATCACACTTACCATAAAGCAAACAGAAGAGTCTACTCTGATAGTGAAAAAGTTAGTCCTTGGTCAAACCTCATAGAAACCCTGGTGCGTTGGCCTTCCAGCAGCAGGGTGTCCTGTGTGTCCATGAGATGTGACTGTAAATGACATTTGAACGAAACAATGATGGAGAAGCTGGTGCCTCCTCTCACATAAGTACAGTTAGAAGCCTGACAATGAAGTTGATGATTTGTGTGATAAAACAGAACATCACTGCTGAGAAAACACTTTGCAACAGTGTGACACCAACATGACTCAATACCATCAAGTGTTGCTTCTTGAAATGTCAGCTGAAAGCATTTTGACACGTTTCAGCAGGTGATGGCAGCTACCTACCTTCCTGAGATATCAAAGAAAACGCTTCCTTATCCGAAGAACAGGGTCCTCCTGAAGCTGTAATGTGGTTTCATATTTTCCTCCCACCCTCAGCTTTAGGGCGCTCTAATGCCGGTCTTTGAGCCGTCTGTAATGGTGCTAATGGTGACCTGTTAATTGTCCTTTCTAACAGCAAATGGCAGCTAAATTCGATGTGTCAATGCAGCTGTCCCTGATGGATAATGGTTGGTTTCTGCTCGGAATGGGCCTGAGTTAGTGCGAGGCAATGAGCTCTAGCAGTTTGAATCTATAAAAGAAGTAATTACTAAGAAAGAAACATTGGCTGATACACAAAAGGGACATTGTATAGGCGGCTGCGGTTCATTTTCAATTGTGCCCAGGGCCTCATGTGGATAGAGCCTTGTAGGTATGGAGTAGACCGGGTAATTTAAACGATAAGTTTCCCAGCCTCCACCATACATTATTTCATATGCCTCATGAAACCACAGCCAGAAGGGCAAGAATCGAAGACTCTTTTTTTTAAAGACCTTTCAGGGGACTTTAATTAGCAGAACCAACTTCCCACCAGTTCTCTACACCAGTCTGCTCCACTTCATTGTGAGATGAGACTCTATTTTCTGCCTGAAATGACCAGAATACCAGTCATTTTGGGGAGGATGATTTATTCTCCCTATTTTCATGAATGTCAGTGCTACAAAGGTCACTCTCTGAATATGTCACAACATCATGCTAATACCATGAGTTCCTCCCCTAATGCTGCAGGAATGTACATGAAACAGACAGTGGAATAAACACTGCACACATCATGATGGATTTAGGCGAGGAGGAAGAAAAATGGCGAGAGCACGGGAGAGGACAGCAGGTGATGGCAGGAGGTGAAGAGTGGGGCGAGGATAGATGATGAATGGGGTGAAAATTTAAGGAAAAACTAAAGAGTGAAGGAGTAAGGAGAGGAGAAAGTGGTCAGGGGAAACCGTAGAGGAGGAGGAGGAGGTGGGGGAACAAAGGTACACAGTATTCCTGGGTGAAACCATCATTACTATGAGCAATGGTAGCAGTCACCGGCCATTACCTTAGCCATCCACTGTCATAAGCAGAACATTTTTCCTTGCTGCCCCACGTGTCAGGGGAGTGGTGAAGCAGGCTCCTGCATGCTGAATATGTCCTCTCCTCTCTCTCTCGCCCTGCATGCACGGGAAACCCGGCCGGTGCGCTAGGTGGCTACTTCATCATCAGAGGAAGGGAGCTGTCGATAGCCCCTGGATGTGATCAATAAGGTCTTTTAGAGCTTTCCCTTCCTCGTCCTTTCTGTACCACCTTCTCCACTTTCATTTTTCATCCCAAAATGTGAAAAGGATCAGTGAAATATGATGGCAAAACAGGGGCTGTTTGTCCTCATAAATCAGTCTAATGATTTTCCACTGTAAGGTGAACTGCCCGAGATGACTCCCATTCACTATGAGGCAGGTATAGAGTGTGACAGTTTGGCTGAAATGAGGGGCAGGTAGCGGGCTTTCGATTGGTCTTTTATAGCGGAGTGAGTTCTCAGGCTTTCTATCAGAGGGGGGAGTGAGTGACGGGCCATTCTGCTCAGTGAATACTGTCATGATGTGGGCATTAAGACTCACTCCTGGCAGAAAGGTTCACAGCGCTGCTCAATGAATGTGCAGCGCGGAAGTCAACTAGCGGGCCCGGCGGCTGTCATCACAGCATGCTTATTTCTCTCTCTTCCTTTATTTTTTTATTTCTTTCTCTCTCTTTCTCTCTCTCTATCTGTCACTCTGGTTCACTCTCTGCATCATTAATTGAAATAGCTGCTTGTTGAAACAAGTCTGCCAAGTTTGCTTTCATCCATATGGGGGAATTCAAGGCACATCTGAGTCTAACACAATTTATACAGTTAGATTTGTCCTTTGGGACGTCACCCCTCAGTTACCGGTGCAGCAGCACTAATCCTGTTTACAGTAAATATTGAAGTAGCTTAATATCAGCTATTAAAACTGTTACATCTAAAACCATGAGCTTTTTCTCTGAGTTTTTAAGCAGAACCATAAGAGAGGCTGATATATTGGGCTGAACTGCTGCTGCCTGTTTTTAATATCCTCCCCAATATGATGCCATAAAGATGATAGTCGTTTTTACTTAACTTTTTGCAGGATTTACGTCACATTCAACATTTAGCACCTGACACCAGGTATTAAACTGCTGATTTAGGGAGCGGGTGTGCTACTATTCATATTAACATTACAGTTGCATAGCTGCAGGGAAGGCTAGAAATTTCAGCACTCATTTTCTCAGCTGTATTTGCCCACTACGCTATACAGGATTGGAGCTGTGACTTGAAATATTATTATGAGCTAATCCAATATTCTATTTGTAAGGTTTTAAATTGAGTTTAAAATGTCAATATTACTTCAAAAGCTAGGCTGTTAACTGGATTTATGCCTCGACTCGTGTTCTGTTCTGCACAATTTGAAGTAAGATGCATTCGTAGTATCTCGCCACTCTATCTTTACTTTGTTGGAATAAGCATGTTATGGGGAAAGATTGAGAGGATGGATTGGAGCATTTATGTCGTAGGCGAGTTTTTAACTACTTCAGAAACAGGCTAAATTGAATATGATGCTTTTTTAATACTGTTAAAAGCAAACAAGACCATCATAAACAAGAAAAAACATCATTAAGTTGTTTTGATTAGTGAAACAGCTCTGAGGTGGTTGGTGTCCAACTTGTTGACTGACTGTAAGTCCAAGTAACACCTTTATATATATAAAAAAAGATAAACAGTGCAAACACTCACCATGAGTGATGCATTTCACCACTAAAAGACAACAGGATTATGAATTTACATTTTCAGGACATAAAACAAGAGGTATCACTTTGTCCAAACTGCTTCGAATCAAAATTCCTCACAGCAGCTTTAATGTACTGTGAATGTGTAGTCTTATGTTTCAGTATTGTCTCTGAAACATTTAGTTGTAGAGAGCAAAGTGTTCTGGCTAACCTTATCCTCGCTGACAGCTCATTTGCAAACTTTTTGGGGCTCTGACGGTCACCTTTTGTTACAAGCGAGTTCGTGCTACAAGCAGCAGGGCTCTGCAGAGGACCTCCGGCTGTGCTCCAGGCTGCTCAGTCTGTGCTCAGCTTTCTTTGTGTTATGATTAATATAGGAACATGAAACAGTGTTGAAATACATCGTTTTCATATATACAGTATATTAGAGAATTAATACTATATGGCGCAGGAGTGTTGAGTCTTCTCCTGGCATCACCTGCAGCAAAAATGGGGAGCAATAAACGATCAATATTAAACAGGAACACAATCGGTACAGGGCACCTTTAAAAAAAACAAAACAAGGTGAATGACAGTTATTAAAATTGACTGTGCTTCCAGCCATAAATGCCTTGCCAAGAATGTCACTAAAAAATCCATAGGACAGTTTCCATCACCTCAGGAGTTTAGCTTCATCGATAATGCATATGAAAAGGATGAGTGATGGCGCCTAACGGCTTCATAAAACCCCTATGGCAAAAGGAGAGGGCTGAATCCACTTAAAAGCAGCATTCCTCACATGCTGGAGCTGAGGGAAAGGCCTGATTGTCTGTCTGAGCCGTGCCGGTCATGCTCCATACTGTCGGAGCAAATGAAGTCAAACGGAGGCTTAATTACAGCGATAAGTTGTTGCCCTGCGGCTAAAAACATCTTATCACTAAACAGCTGGGAAGAATTTCTATTATAAATGCATAATTGGGTCCATGGTGACTGTCAAAGAGACTTTTTTTTTTCAAGTACAACAAGGCCTCCTGCAGTGTTTTCTCTCTTACCTCCTTGGGGTGTGTGTTAATATAATGTGTTTTCAGATTTTTTGTTTCAGCACAACTTGTAAAATCCACGTAACTAAGCTTTTAAAATCCATTTATTACAGTCGTGGCCGTGTTGTAGCGTTATTGTTGCAGCAGAGCCCCACAGTACACTCTGTACGTTTCTTCATAGGACATTTAGTGTGCATAACACTGTTTGATTCCCGGCTGATTGTGCAGCGAAGCTTCCCTTCTCTGTAAGAAGCTGCTCGAACAAAATGGTTAGAAACCTCATTACAAGATGTTTTGCTTTTGGCAATAGAAAGGGGCATCCTTTAGTGCATGTTTCTCTGCACAGCACAAAGTGATCTCAGGGCTCAGGAAGAAAGAAGAGCTGTACTTTTCATGTGGAAATTTTGCCTCTTTCTTTGAGATACACTGCAACTTTTCCCACAGCCAACATGGAAAAGAGGATTAAGGTGGTTGTTTGCTGAGTAAGTGGATGTCTTGGACCCCTCAGATGCTTTGAAAGCGCTATATAAGATAATTGTTGTAATTACACATACTTACAGTCCCCCCTGTCTTGATAGAAATGTAGAGACAAATGTAAGTGGAGATAAGACTGATGCAAAAGCTGGGGAAAAAAACAAAGATAGAAGCACTTTTGAATAAACGGACACGCATATTGTTCAATACAAACAAGGAAGTCAAACCCGGGGCACTCAAAACTTGGAGGATTTATGTAATTATCTCCAAGGTTCCCAGTTGCCCTCTTTGTGTAACTCCTCCAATTTTCTCTGTCTTTGTCTGTCTTTCTTTTCTCCCCCATTGTGTCTGTGGTCCGATTCTCTTCTGCTCCGTTTCTCTTACTCAAATACTGTTGCAATCCTCAACTGTACCGGACGTCAATAAGCTATATGTGCCTAGAGAATAGCTGGCTGAGCTGCTGCTACGTCTTGTTATTATTGTCAATACAGATGAAGAGGTGAGATGTAAGAGCTACTCCTAAAGCAACGTCTCTGAAGATGAACTGAGGTTGCTTTTTCTTGACCCTACATATCATAACAGAAAATTCCCCTTGGTAATTCCCACATCTATTAATTATCACAGTTAAGCCATTTCTTCTTACCACGTGCAACGGATATACATTAATTAGTTTCAGTTCAGACATTCAGATCAACCAACTTGCATTCTTAAGTGAAGAACCAACACATAGTCAAGGCTTCTTAGTTTGGTCTTTTATACTTATTTGAGGATTAATCGTGGTCTCAGGAGATGTAAAAAGGTATTGTATTTTCTGTGTAAGTACTTACACTTCCCACAATAGTCCTACCTGTTATCAGTACGGCTACAAGACCACATTTTATCAGCTTGCATCCTCTTTTCGAAAGCGTTCGGGAAGGACGCAGATAAACAAAATGTTCCCTATCTCTTGATTGGATCTGCTGATTGGTTGTCTTGGTAATGCAGTAATGTACCAACAGGTTTCATATTTTTCTCAATTGTTGCTACGGGGTCCTCCGAGCCTTCCTCACAACACTCTTACCTTGTTTCAGAGGGGATCAGAATGCAAAGCTATTACACACTGGAGGGTTTGTCTCAATCACACTGAACGACTGTGAATTTTAAATGCAGAGTGAGGGCTCCACAGAGGAGCAAGCATATGGGACAAACTCAGTCGGTGGAGTGCTAATTTGATTTTTTAATTTTTTCACAAATTGTTCCGGCAGCACGGTGTTAGCGAGGGAAAAGATGCATTGTTGGTGCTTTAGTCCCTTAGCTCCTTAAACCTCAGCAGGAACAAACTCCCCGCCCCCTAGAAAAAATAAGTTACCCCCTTATACTTTGTTGCCTTAGTGAATAATCAGCCAATTTGGTGCTTAGAAATGACATCATTACCGCATAATGTTGCATTTACATATCCAAAATATGCATCCAGTTCATCACATGGAGGATTGGAAGCAACATTACTGACATATTTCCATTAAAGTGTGTTTTTCAGTCCAAATAGGAGTCATAAATTGAGTTTTCACTCTGTTTTTGCTTCCTTGTGTTACTGGAGACAAATAACATTCCTGCGTGTCTTTTCTATTCATTATTAATAGCTCTGGTTGTTTCTCTGTGAAGATGAAACGCTCTGATTGGAGTAAAAATATGTAGTGCAGTTCATCCATGTGACCAGTGATAAATCTTTGCCGTCTTTTCTGTTGTTTCAGGTGGAGACATGGACGACTCCTCCCCTTATGAGCCTGTAGCTCCAAACCGACAGCCTGATGCATTCCGCTTGGCCTCCATCTCTTCAGGTATCACAGGTTTGATTTCAGCTCGACGCTCGGTGCTTTATCATTTGAGTTGGGTGTAAATATTTGTTCAAAAAAGGGTGAAATGGAGGTTCCTCAGGTTAATTTACAATCAGGCTGACTATAATCAGTCATATGAGCTCGTGTTGATTTCTTTTCCTCTCTGGCGTTCCTCCAGTCACCGTCCTTGGTCTCTGAATAATTGAGTTCCAGCATATTGTTTGTCCAATCTTGTGACATACGATGGCCCTTGTGTTCTTGTCGAAGTATACTATATATTGTCAGTGTAATACCTCATATTTTTCCAGTTATTGATTTGGTTACCGCTTGATTTCCTCTTTGGACCTCTAATTAAACTGAGCACTCAGCAGGGGGCTTATAGCCTGCTATTTAATTTACTGGTTATTACCGTCACGGTATCACTAATCAATGCAGATCTTATTAAAAGACACGGCTACAGTGTTTAATGCAGAGTGGAGAAGGGAGTTGTACAATAGGTGTGATTGGACACAGGGCTGATGCCTGTCCATTGCCAGAGCTGCAGGCTACTGTCTCCTGATAATTCAATCGCTTTCTTTCATCCACATCTGACAGAAATTTCCGGAGGATGTTCTTTTCAATTTTTTTTCCCCCCTTTTTTTTTGCCAAAAGCAATTTACAAACACTGAAGATAGAACATTCTCCTTTGGTTCAGCTGGTGTATCAGCTTTGTTTTATAACTAGGAGGTACAAGAAAGACATGCTTTTTGCATAATCTCCTTAGCTTGAAATCAGCAGTGTATCACTTATTTTCGAAAATGTGCTTGTTTGATAGGTTGAAAGAAGGAGAGAGTGCAGAATGAATCTGAAAAAAGTGCAGGCTTTGATTACTTTTGGGTTTCGAAAATGATGGCAAACTGCCTTCCTTGATTTAAGTGCATATTCATGTAGAAAGCCCTCAGATAACTCGTTACTCTGCCAAGACGGCTGAATCCTTACAACTTGTTATTTCAGTTTGTTTGGAAATGTTCAAAAGTCGCATCTGGATGTAAGAAATACAGCAAGATATTTATAGGTATAAACAGTTAGTCTGATTTAAGATTCATGTACATGAAATTTGTACCAGGATATACTTTAAAGTGTGACTTAAAGGGATAATCTGGTGTAAAATCAATTTAGGACCAAACACACTCTAACACCGAGTTAGACACCCCCTCAAGAGACGAATGTTGCCGACTGCTTGCTTCTCTTGTTATACCAACTTTAGTAACAACAGCATGATAGCAATACACAGCAGTCTGAGGAGCCATAAACAAACCTCGTACATATAGGGTCCCAGCCACAGCACTAGCCACCAAACATCTTTTTAACTTTGCCTAATTTCTTTAGCAAAGAGACTAAACATAACTCACCTACTCTCTTACAGCAGCCGCTTGTTTGTAGCAAGACTTCTGACGATTCCATTACAGACTGCTGCGGGGTGACGGAGCTCAAGGAAGAACATTTATGATCATTTCTTCATGGAAACATAATCAGACCGAGACGCTGAGGTAGAAGAACTACCATGTCTGCAGTGCAAAATGATTAGTATGATGATTATTACTTCAAGGAAATGATAAAGGAAATGATCAGAAATGTTCTTCCTTGAGCTGCGTCGCCCCGCTACAGTCCGTAATGGACTGACCTGAGTCATGAGTGGAGACAGCGCTTTTCTGCACACTTCTCTTCGTGTTGCTGGTGTAGTAGAAGAAGCAGGTAACATAGGGGCCATTCAGCTCTCTGACACTAATGTCTTTAGGGGCATGATGAAAGCTCCGTGATCGTCCTCTCTATTTATCCGAGTGTGACCTGTATAGTGGGGCTCTGGGGACGGAGCTTGGATTTGCTACGTAGGAAATCTCACTGTCTGAGCCTGTGGTTTGGGTCTACCAGATATTCACAGCAATTTGAATGCAGAAATTCTCAGAAATGCAATTTTGCACTTAGTTTTCTCATGATATGTCCTGTATCATCAGAAAAATGCCATATAAACACATTTTAAAAAATGAAGAAAAACATGATTTTCTTCGGAGTGGGTCTTTAAGTCCATTTCAGCGTCTCCTGATTATTCGGCTCCAATATGGAGGCAAAATTCTTTCAAGTACTGTACAGGATTGTGAACACATTCATATGCATAACAAAGGAGAACACAATATCTGGACTAAAGACACAAATTTTCCCTCTCTGTGTTTTGGAGCCCATTTGTTACGAAGAATAACAAAAGAGAACAGACGCCTCTTGGTCCACTGGTGTTAGAGTACAGGAGCCGTGTTAAACCAAGGAGTGCAGCACCTTGACATATTAAGATACAACCGGGGACTTATTACTGTATCCAGTTTACTGCAGCTGTTTCCTCTATTCTCTCTAAGGTGAATTATTGGATTTGCTCTATGAAACCTGTTTAGCCGCAAGCTTTCCTCATTATTTATCATTTCTGAGGACAGAGTAATTGATTGTGGCGCTGAGAGGAAACCACAGGCAAACAGATAAGTAATTACACACTTGTTTTATGGAAATACTTCTCACTTCGATTACAAAACCACACAAAAGTATTCATAATCATGTCTATAAATATTAAACTGCGCAGAGACCTGGGGAGTGTTTGATATCTAGTTTGGTTGATGAGGACAGGGGAATGTATACTCTCAGAGAGGAAAGGTGGGAAATTGAAAAATAATCTCTGCTGTTTTAAAAGTTTTTGTCTGAGAAGAAGATAAGGGGGCAGGACTTGTGATAGAAATGAAATTCTATACGGCTGTACACACTCACTCTCTGAAGGTAAAATTAAGGAGAACATATGGAGACTCTGCTTCTGTTTCGCCCCCCGGTTATACCTCCGAAACTATTTCACACTAGCTTTCTCCTGCAAATAGGACTGTAGAGTCTTTTCCACATCTTCAGACTGAGGATTTGCATGCACTGTACAAACACAACGACAGTATATAATTCTGTGGAGTTTGTTTCTTGAATAAGTGCAAAGATAAGTGCCATTCAGTGACCAAACTAAAGCCAAAATGGCTTGTTAAGAAGACAGAAATGAACCCAGCGTGTCCTAACCTGACTCTGGCTGGCTCTGTGCACCTGTATCAGCAGTGTTTCCTCACCTTGGTGGAATCCAGGGCCAGATTGTCCTCATCCCACCAGAGTGGGCCTGTTCCCGCTGATCTCTTTGTGTCTGTGGCAGGAGTGAGGCCCAGTGTGGGTCCTCATCTCTGAATGCCAGGACTCTCACCACTCTCACCACTTAAAGTGAGGGTGAAAGCAGGTGTAGTTTGTGTCGTGACAAAGTTGGGGTCACAAAGTAAGTACAGCCCATTTCACAATGAGGGTTTGCTATTTTTCTGAAGCTCTCAGATGTAGTTGTGTGATATAGGACCAGCAAGGTCAGTATGTTTTTGAAAAACATGTTTTTGTTTCTCTTGTTTGGATAGCAGAATACAAACTTTAGTTTTGATTAGACTTTATCGTCCAACTTTGAAATTCATTTTCAAAGACAGGTACACAAAATATGTGTCGGCATTTTTGGCAACAGAGGCATCATTTTTCTCCATTCATCTAAACAAGTCAGTAAGCTTTGAATATCAATCAGCATTTCATCTGGTTGCAAGAGTGACCCTGTTAACTGATGATCTTCAGATAAGTGTGTCAGTGTTTTTTTTTTTCTTAATTATAGCAGCGTTAAATAGTCAGTTTATACTCTTTAGATACTGCACGTCTTAAATGAAAAAATCAAGGCATTTGCAAGAGATGCATTCAGCTCAAAGTCACCAGTTGGCAGGGTCACCTTTAAAAACAAAACACCGACAGCTTTTGTTGCCACATGAATGAAACACCTGCTTCTAAGCTCTGTGTTTTTTTCACTATATTGCAGGAGCAATACAAATATAACCTAACAGTGAGAGACAAGTTGGGATGGGGATTGAAACCTGACTGGTTCCATTAAAAACCTGGTTCTGCATTTTGCAGAGAAATCAATAACCTTTAAGCGTATCCAGTCTGCTATCAGGTCTCATGGGTCCCATCAGGTAACATTACACTTTGAGTCAAGTCATGTCATATGAATCAAATCAATGCAAGCCCTTAAAAAGACAGTCTACTTTTATTTTTTATTTAGACAGGTATCAGGTATTAAAGTCTCACTACCATCATTTTTTTTTTACAACTTTAAGTGTTCTCAGTGGTCTTTAAATTGTTATTATGAAGTTTTTAGCCAAAATCACGAATGCAGAAATACACAGAAATGCAATTTTGCACTTACTTTACTCATAACATGTCCTGTATCATCAGAAAAATGCCATATAAACATGTAGACAACAAGAAAAACATGAATTATTGGAGTGGGAAGAATTCTGGGAGTCAACAGATGATGGCTGAATATGCACAGAGGTCCAAAGTGTAGCTACATTTTCAGGGATGATGCAAAATGCATTTAAAGTTGCTAAATAACTTCTTGCAAAAAGGGGAATGCAACCTCCATGGCCAAGCACATCAGCATCGTGCATTAACTCAAGCCAGAATGCAGAACCTTTGACCGTCTGTGACTCAAAACAACTCTGTCAACTCCAGCTGCTAGTGCTGCAGGGGCTGCCATCCTCCACTTCATCCAAAACAGCAGGAGTTTAAAACTTTATAGCAAAAAATCAAAATCCAAAGTTGACATCTGGTCTGTGCAAGAGATAATCATTATGAGCATTAGGTGACGTGTGCTTACTCTCTATCTAGCGCACACATTGCTATCACACAGATATGAAAGTCTTTGACCATTTGCCAAATTAAGTTTGGTGCTTTATCTTCTCATGTAGCTTCACTAACTCTACATCATCTAATTTGCTAACTATAAATGTGTCTACACAGTTTATCTTGGAGAAGAACAGGATGTTGTCGAACACCTACTCACTTAACTGCATATTTAAGATGACTGGGTATACACTGCAGGGGTTGTTTCTAGCTCGAAGAAAATCCTCATTTTTCGGATCCGTTCTGACACATTTCAACCCAATGTCAACGTGGTATGATGTTGCACACCTGCTCACCAGACTAGTTATGGCAGGTTGATGTTCGCGCCTGTGACCTGTGACTGCACGTCTCGCTTTATGATGCTTTCAGTGTGAAGTCGGCGGTCAGTTTATGATGACGATGAAGCAAACAGGTCAGTAAATGTGTGGAAGACTATTCTGACAGCAGGCAGGAAGGAGCGAGTGACACCCTGTTACGAGCGAGTGGGAATGCTGTTAAAAATTTAGTCTCTCTCTGGGAGAGTTGTTGACACCTAGAGGGCCCGCAGTATTGTTTATACCTGCATTAGTAATACTGAGCCTTTGTTTGAAAAACCACTGATAGTAACATGTTGTGAACCTGTTGTTTTCTTGCAGGGCTTTGCAGCAAGTCATCGCCTCGGTAACTTAAAACAACAATAATCCCATCTTGATCCTTGCAATATGCTGAAAACACACTGTGCAAGCGTTTCTGTCAGTCTGATGCTTTCACCTACATCTGACACAGAGTGAGTAAAATATGGAGAGAGAGATCATACAAAATTTTGACACTTAAGGCTGTGCGAAACACAGACAGCTTCACATGGAATCAAACTTTGGATTCGATAAAACAGCTGAATGTTAGTGAGAATGAGAGAGGTGAAGCTCAGTGAGATGTGGCTCTTATTATCAGTGTCTGAGCTGTGGTACTTCACATTGACAGATGCAAATAACATTGCAGCAGCACAAAGGATACCTTAAATGCACTTCACCTGTGCTCTCTGTTTAGCAGCATATATTATTACTGATTGTTACTCAGCACAATATATTTAAATTGCAAACCTAACTAGCTCAGACGAGTTCAATCCAGAATAAACAACTGATTTAGCTGCAAAAATGAGTGCCTCTTGTAACCTTGTCTTTACAGTTACTCTATTTTCTTTAATAGGAGGCATTCAGCCGAGTGAAATAAGGTGCATGCTACTTTTTTTTCCTTTGAACAATCTTCATCATCATCAAATAACAGCGAGTGCTTAGTAATTCCTTCCCAGAGGAAATCTATTGATACTCAGTGCTCTGCCCCAAACCCCTTTAGTTGAAGGAATTGAGTGCAGTAAGTAATATTGATGCATATTTCCCCTGTCCTAATCAAATTGGACTAAATACCAGCGGGAGTGTAACAGAATCAACCAAAAAGATGAAGCATGAAGATGCTACAAGACGGCATTATTTGTCTTATTTACAGCCCCAAACCTGCCAGTAGAAGAAATCATCTCACCCAAGTTTACCTGTGCTTGTGTTATTAGTGCACTTAAAGTTTTGCGACGTATGTTCTCAGTTAATCCATTATTTTTTTTCATCTTAAACCTTCCTCCTGTGTTAGCTTTTACTACGCACCCTCCATGTTAAGGGTCGGTTTTGACCCGTGTCTTAAATCAGCTGTGTCAATCAAATTACACTAAAAACAATTCTTTACCATCCAATTTGGTTCTCATCTCTAGGTTACCTTGTTAGGATTTATTATCCATGAAAATATTGTTTATAATATTTTTTGTGGGCCTTTCTTTGTCAGTATACCCCTCACACAGACATCTATACTAAATTGATCTCACATGTTTGGACATGCCCGACGTAGTTTTTTATCCAGGGAGAAACCAGGCAAAATGAGAATTTCCTAAATCTCACATGATTGGAAGAGGATCTGACTGTCAGTGTGGTGCACTTGTGATTTCAGTTTTTGCTCTAATTATTAGATATTAATCTAACTGGGTCAACAGCGAGCCTAACAAGACAAGTGCCGTAATTTTAATAAGAGAATTTTATAATTTAGTCAATTAAATTTTTTAATTTTTATTTTTTTGATTTAGAGTTTCCTGACAAAGTCAAAAAGTCTTGATGCAAAAAAAACTAATTTAAGTGGTTCTCTTAAGCATTTAAAATCAAAAACGGGTCGGTGCAGACACTAACACAGGAGGAAGGTTAAAGCAAGCTGATCAACAATCCTGAAATACCAGATATTAAGTTTATTGTAATGAGTATTCATACATGTGGAGCGTTTTTGCGTTAGTGCATAACCCCGCTGAAATAGCCTGGACCAGGAGTTATTTGGCACACTGTTTGTTTCCTTAGTGTAAAGGCAGGAGTGGTGTGCGAGTCAATAGACCTCTGCTCAAATCAATAAGCCGTCATGTATGAAGGATGCTGCAGAGAGTCCTCCTTCCGCAATGCCCCGGGACCTTTATCAAAGTCCAAATAAATGCTGCGTTACCCGCTGCATGCAGAGATATCATTGAATACGTTTGTTAATATGCCTCATATGAAATATATTCTGTCCTCTTGACCCAGCGCTGAGCTAATTAACTTATTAGGAGCAGAGGGCAGTGTCGAATCCTGCATTCCCTCCTGGAATTAAGTTTAACATCCTTTAGTTTAGACCTCCTAACTCTAGAGTAGTAAGCCTCTCACCTCTCTGCTCAGTGTGCCCACCATCCAATTAAATCTAGAAAGCTGTTTCTGCAGCCAGGAGGGGGGCTAAGGGGGCTGAAAAGAACCGGTGTAACAGCCGTGCTCAGCATGCTGTTGAAATGTTTGACATTTTCACATTGTCTCCAGGACAATAACTATTACTTAGACAAACACTCAGATCTTTTTCTGTGGGGGTCTAAGTGTATGTGTGGAAGTGTTTGTTGCGCAAGAGGGCTTTGTTTGGATTATGATTGTGTGCTTGTGTGTGTGTGTGTGTGCATGTGTGTTTTTGTATTACTTTGTTTATATGCTTCATTATTCTTTGTGAATTTTCTTATCAGCTTACCCTCTGCCCAGCATTAGCATGTCTCTCTGTGGGTCAGTAATGAGAGCTGTTGCACGAAACACACTTATCAGAGGCTCTGCGTTACAGTCAGCGTTTTTATAACAAGTCTGAATTAAACAACTGAGAAAATGTTGTTTTTTTTCTCCCTTTCTTAGTTATTCCCAACTTGCATGCAGGTTAAGAGCAATGATATTGATCTAATATTATGTCGGTTCACCTGACAACACACATCTTGTTAGATTATTTCAGTACATTATACATTATTTCCCGTGACAGTTGAAGGCGCTAAACAGCATGCATATTAAGACTGAGGAGGCCGCTGAGGACGCTCCCGCTTTGAATTTCTCCGGAGGAACTCGGAGGCAGATTCTCATAAACAGCTCAAGTATTTAAAAGTGTGTTTACAATGATTTAAAATTCCTTTGGACATGCCCTCCTCCACCTCCGCACTCATATACACACTCGCAAACATGTCCTCACATACAAATATTTAGTCTTTTTCTCTCATCATTTCCATCTCCTTCACTCGCTCTCTCATCTGCACTCTGCTTCTTTTCGCAGGGATAATTTCTTGCTCAGAGGTAGAAACTCGGTTGATCCCTGAGAACAGAAGATTTCATGAACTCCTCTGCTCTTTCTCGGATGACGTCTTTGCTTCTAAGTTGCTCAGTAAGGCTTAGGGAGATGATGTTGTAGATCCAGTTCCCCCCTTCTTCCGCCCCTCTGGAGACCCCCGCTGCAAACACAGAGTACAGAGCTAATGACTGAGGAGGCCTTTGACACGGAAATGCTTGACATGCTCCTCGGGGTCCGGACTAAAGACTTCCCTAACAAGCTCTTGCACACTCACCCAGGGTCGTATTAAATCCAAACTTTGGCACCTTTCCTAATTACTGAGAACAAACCCGGAGCCAAGAGCCTCTTCCTAACCTGGGCTGAACTCCCCTCTGTAGCGCAGTGTCCCTTGAGTATGAGATGATATATGAAATGCAGAATTCAAATTAGGCTGACGGAGAGCAATTACTGTGAAAGAAAGATCCCTTACACTTTGGGAAAAAAAGCATGCAGATCCTGAGACAGTGTACGTGAATGTTTTATCCACTCTAGTTTATTCATGTGTGCCCTGGCCACCTCCCTCACCTCTTTCCCGTCTCTTTATTATCCTCCAATTTTTATTTTCTGTTTTCTCCACGCTGGTCTCCCCGTAGGTGTCCCCTATTTCACGTCTTACCTCTCTAACCCTCACTCCTCCCTCTTCATTCCTTCCTTTCCTCTCCCTCTGAGTGCTGTACTGTATGCGCGGAAAGAATAGATGGTTATTTCCACTACATTACCATCAGTGGGCTCTAATTTATGATGCCCATAGAGTGGAGTGTGCCCTATTAAAAGCCTATTTACAGTCAAACGGCTGGATCACGGAAAGCAATGACGGTGCTTTAACTGTAGTTGACTTTCAATAAACATTAGGAGGCTGAGGTACACTTAGCAATTGTGAGTAAACAACAAAAGACAAATTCAAACTCTAAATTAATTTGATAGCCCACATTGCACTTCATGCACACGTTAAAACTTCTCCGCGTTCATATTTAGCGTGCCAACAGGTGCCGGCGTGCAATAAGAGAAAAACATCACTTATGCCTTCTTCTGCACTCATTGACACTGATTGTTATCGAGGTTTATCCCATTCATTAGTCGATCAATGAAGCTACCCACCCATCCCTCACTCCGCTCAGACATTTAGTGCCTTTCCTGTTCATTAATGTATAGTACAACATCCAGAAAGATACCGTGGTAGACACGTGCCGACTATTGTGATGCTAAGTGCCGATTGCCTCGCTGATGGACTGGGTTAATTATTCCGAGCCCGTGTTGCGCATCTTCCCTGAATTATAGGCTGGATTAATTGAACGCTCTCCAGCATGTCTCTTTAAGTGTCTGTCCAATCTGTTAGTCAGTGTTCTCTCGTTTTCATCTCTCTCGCTCTCGGTCATGATCAGCCACTGTAATCAACCACTCATCTCCTCTCCCCTCTTAAAGCTTTTTCCATTTTTGTATGTATATCTTATATCATTAGCTTATCAACCCCTTTCTCCTCACATTATAGCACGATATGTTTGCTGAAAACCTCCGTTGTAATGCACTTGGAAAATCAATTATAACTCTGTAACACAATACGCCACATTTCCACTCCCAGCTCCACGTCTCTCCTTCCTGCCTCCTCCTCCTCCTCCTCCTCCTCCTGCTCTTACAGCATCCTCCTGTTTGTGTGTAAGCACATCAGGAAGCATCAAATGGACTTTGTGTCTTATGTTTGCCCCAGGACGTCTTTTTGGGGTTGAGCAGCAGATTCAATCTCAGCCTCCCAATCAGAGGTAGTAAAATCTCGTCAATTGCTGCAGTCTCAGAAGCGGATTCAACCGTGCTTGGTCAGATAAATCTTAGAGGCTCATCCTTTGCTATTCTCTTTTCATCCCGGACCCCCCTGTGGCCCACATTAGAGCCTGCAGATGGCCAGGGGAGATTTAGGAGCTGCAATCCATCAATGTGATGTTTCCTGAACCGCTGGACAGCCTGCTCCGCTAACCTCTCTTACCAGCTGGACTGTACCACCCCCTCCTTCAGGCTTGCCTCAGCCCGTCTTGGCCCACTTAAGTAAAACTTTGGCCCTGCTTTGGCCTCTTCCTGCACGGTGCAAAAAGTCTCCTCTCTGTTGGATTCTGAATGTAATCACACATCAACCAAAGTGCTCCTAGCTCAGCTAATTATCTCACTCTCTCTTAAAAGATTTAAGGTTCCTAACTGCCACATAAGTAAGTGATTTGAGCACAAATCCGTCTGCTCCGTCAGTCTCTTACACTAACAAGAGTTTTTGATGCTTCCAGACATCTGTTGTGCAGCATTTATCCTCTCCCCTCAGAGAGAGCAAGGATAAACACGCTGTATTTGATGTTACAATGAAGTCTTATTCTAATAAGAGTCATAAAAGTTAATGGTCTTATCGTTCGAACAAAGAGGGAAAGGTTTCTCCCTGGTGGCACTGTGACATAGACTGAAGAAGACAACGCTATTTCCAACACCTACATCTGGTGAACTCAAGACGCGTCTCTTAACACCCTGCTTGTTTTTAAAGCGCCTGAAACATTTAACCTTGATAAACCCAAATGAAAGCACTACTTTAAGCAAGATTAAGTGCGCTGTCTCCTTACGGTGACGAACTCTGATTTTCTGTTTCTGCTTTTTTCTCAGTTGCAGACATGATCTAAAAGCATTACATTTTTATTTGCTTATTTTTGCCCTCTTTTCTTGGATCTGATGTTTTGAATGTAACCCCATTTCTAGGATTGATAACATGTAACACACAACTTGGAAAAAATACAGCACACCCCCTCTAAAATAAACGCTCTTCTTCCTGCTCGGGGCTGTCTGATAGACACAGAGTGAGATTGGTTCTGTTGAATAAGAGATGAATCTCTCTGGGTGTCACCATGCCGCTACGACCTCTGAAATATCATTATCTACAGGGGAGGGAGGTTAACGTCTCTAATATAGCCTGAATACAAGAGAGGGGTGCCACAAGTGAACACCATCCAGCTTTATTAGCGCTATATCTCAAGAATAGTCATGTTCTTGCTCTCCGACTGCGGTATACGCCGAACACCTAATGACATTATCTATTTTCCACAAATATGATGTACAGCCGGAGGGGTAATTGAAATTTTTCTGGTTTTGATCACCCTGAAAGACTCAATCTTGTGATGCATCATAGCCTGTAAAAAATTTAAGTTATCCTTGAGCTTAGCATGTAGCTGTGCAGCTGTTACAGTATTAAAGGTGTCCAGAACTCAAATCATTGAGCGTCTTACGAACAGGTTTCTTGTTTGCTTTACATTATTTCTATCAAACAGGCTGAAATATAATTTAAATATCATTATCAGTCAACTAAGAATCTGGACATATGCGTGTTACATTGAGGTAACTAGGTGTTTTATTAATATTTCATGAACACCATAGAATTACCTGTACATGAATAATGCATGAAAAACCAATTTGGAATCATAGACTAATTCATTCGTATTTCACTCAAGGTTTGAAACAGACTGAATCAATAATTCAGTCAGGGTGGATGTGGGTTACTTACAGGCATCCCTCCACTGGTTTACTGCTGGTAGAAACAAAGAAATGTGGTTCATCATTTTCTCTACAAGGCCATATGAAAATACATGAACTGCTTTCTTCTGCATCTCTTCGACTGACTCCCAAACTCTCATGTGGTGCTTTTGTCGAAAATTGTAGTCTGAACTGCAGGGTCTCTTGGAATTATAGTATTTATGTATGGACAGGATACAAAAAACAGGATTAAGATGATTTGACTCGGATGAATGGGCATGACCTGGAGCTGAATGCTGCGAATTCAAAGTCTTCTGTTGGTTTAACAGTGTTGATTGTTCTTGATGTGAAACCTTTTACGCTCCCGCCTTTGCCTGGACCCCCTAACGGAGGGATTTCTGATGGGAATATCACAGGCTGTAGGTCCCCTCAAGTACAAAAGTGTAATATTTGTAATGAAATGATATATTAGTTTGACAAGCGCTTTAAACAGCACTGGGTTGCACCACCTGTACATTAGTTTAATTATAGGCTAATTTGATTGTAATTTCTGATTTAGGATTCCTGCTAATGTATTTTAAAGACAGTTTGGTAATACTTTATTTGATGCCTATCTCTATAAAGCTTTATAAAGATATTTTAAATGCGTTACAATCATGTTATAGCACTGTATAACTAAAGTTATAAACACTCATAAATGATCATAATACTTTATCGCAATAATCATAACACATTATAAAGCATTTTATCATGACTTACAAGGTCAGGTATTATAATGTGTTATAACTGTTAACAACTCACTGATAACGCCCACATAGATAATACATTATACATATATTTATGATGTGTTTTAATTTGTTTATAAACTTGTATAACTATCATTATAAACACTTAATAATTATCATAAGTCTTTATTACATTAGGCATAACACATTATAATTCCTGACCTTTTAAGTCATGATAAAATGCTTTATAATGTGTTACGATTATAAAGCATTATGATCATTTATGAGTGTTTATAACTACTGTTATACAGTGCTATAACTTGATTATAACGCATTATAAATATATTTATTATGCATTATAGAGATAGGTGTCAAATAAAGTGTTACAGATAGTTTCAACATAAACACGAGTTTAAAGTTAAATCTTACACCAAGCTCTGAGTAGGTGTAAATTCCTTCTTAAATGCTAGTTGTGATAAGGCATCATTTTAAAAGATGGGATAACTTGTAAGAGGATGAGGAGCAGAGAGTTTAACTTAATGCTTTGTGTGAGTAACATGTTTTCTGGGATAGACGGCTGATATTCTTAGCCGTACGCCTGTTGAAGTAGAGTTGGGCATAGGAGTAAAAGCAAAAACCCACAGAACTTAAATCTCTCTCCTGTCCTCTGTTTCTTTTGTCAGGGATGCTCACCGTGGCCCCTAAAGGTTACCAGTGTGTCGATCCAGAGAAAAACTGCAACCCCTGTCTCGATGCAGCCAAAGCGTGCAATCTCAACGGTAGCTGCAAAAGACAACGCTCTTCCTACATCGTCACCTGCAGCAAGGAGGACCCCAACAAGGGCGAGAGCTGCAACAAGAAGCGCTGCCACAAAGCTCTTAGGTTGTTTTTGGATCGCGTGCCCGCTGAGTTCAGCCACCGGCTGCTGTTTTGCCCCTGCCAGACCGAGGGTTGTGCAGAGCGCCGTAGACAGACGATCGTTCCCAATTGCTCATATAAAGACAAAGAGAAACCCAACTGTCAGGAGCTGCGGAGGGTCTGCCGCCAAGACTCTCTTTGCAGGTAAGAAAGGGGTATGATTTGGGGTGGGAGGTTTTTGAAAGAAAGTGGTAAAGGAGGACGGAAGGGTTTTCTGTGCTCTATGTATGTAATATGATCAGGGCCAAGGGGGCAGAAATTCTCATTATGTGAACGCATGTTTCATCATCCGACAGACAGACTGAAGGGCTCTGTGTTTGAGACAAGCTACTGCCAAACACAACTCAAGAGTCATAATTATCTTCTTATATTCATGGAAAATAAAAAACAAGAAAATTGAAAACAAACACATCCCACTTTGACAGCAGTCCTCCCTCCTGTGACATCTTGAAGTTGTATATTTCCATCCTGTAACTTTGCCAGCAAAGTAATTAGACTTCCAGGGAAGCTGCAGCCATTAGACGCAGGATGAAGATGTGAGGCTAAGTTGAAGGGACAACGCTCAATTAAGCCGAACAAAACATTAGTGGATCGCATTGCCGGTATGGGGCCTCTATTGGATTCAAGCGGCCGGATTCAATTCACACCTACCCAGCCGTGACATGTTTCCCTGTGTTAGTGCTGCTGAGAGCAGGTGAAACACAGCGGCTGTACGATCAGCCCAATCAGCTGTCAAGATCTTTTTAACCCCTGAGAAACATGTGCGTTTGGTCATCACATCCAGCCATTTACAGGGGCTCTGCTCTGTATCATTAGTCAGAGGAATAAGAAATGTAGGACATGGAAATAATTTTAAACATTTAAAAGCCCATTTATGAGCGTAATGGGGTTTGACCAGAGCGTTCTCACAGCTAAAATTAATACTCGTGATGAGGACTATCAGACGGAGGAAGTTTTTTCATGTCTCAGTGTGACAGATTATTAGGCAGCCGTTATAATTCAGTAACTAACAGTGACTTGTTTTTGTCAGAGTTGTGGATTTTTTTTCTTTGAGTGGCTGTTGAACTTAAATAGTCATGGGTGGTGATAGCATCTTAACTGTTTTTTTACTCAGAGTTAATTGCAAGAAAATAAGACGACAGCCACTTCTTTTGAAAACCGCTTTGAGTCATTGTCAGGGATGGCTTTAACAGGACAAGTTTGAGGAACATATGCTGTTGGTTTTTATGAAGAAGACACAAGAGCTAACACTGGAGAAAACTACTTGAAGTGTATTTAAACTGTATGAAGTTTTGGTAAAACATAATTTGATGCCTATTTCTATAGCACAATATAAATATATGTGTAATGCGTTATAATCATGTTATAGCACTGTATAACTGTAGTTATAAACACTCATAAATGATCATAATGCTTTATCGCAATAAACATAACACATTATAAGGCATCATGACTTACAAGGTCAGGTATTATAATGTGTTATAACTGTTTACATCTCACTCAGAACGTTTACATGACACTTGAGAAAAAAGAATTATTGCCTTACTCCAATTAAGACCCGACAATAGAAGTGCATGTAAACACCTTAGTCCGACTATAATCTGAGTTTGAGAACTCAAATTAAGACACACAGATAATGCGATTGGATTTCAGTTTTCTCTACCATGTAACCAGAGTAGTCGGAGTATGATCGGACAATGCATGTGCTCGTGCGCCATGCCTTCGTAACCCCAGAACAAAAACACCAGGGAAGAAGTGGCACTATCATTTAAAGCAATTTTGACTCAGAGGCAACTGCAACATGGCTGAAGCACGAAAGGATGTCCACTTTTGGAACGACGAGGAGAGTGCCGTTATGCTTTCTGTCCTGACAGAAATGGACATTTTAAAGTATATGGACGGTCCCAAAACAAGGAACGGAGACATTTTTAAAAAAGGTCTGGAAACAGCGCAGCTGAAAAGACCCATATTGCCCCCTAGCTTTGGGGAGGAGGACATGTTAACGTCAATAATTCGATTTTCTCAGCTGCATGTAAACGTGGACAAAGAGAGAAGTCCGATTTGGCAAAAAAAAAAAAAAATTATGAGCTTAGTCCAATTAAGATGTGCATGTAAACGCACTGACTGACAATGCCCACATACATAATTCAATGAAACTGCTGTTAACAGTTATAACACATTATAATACCTGACCTTGTAAGTCATGATGAAATGCTTTATATTGTGTTATGATTATTGCTATAAAGCATTATGATCATCTATGAGTGTATATAACTAAAGTTATACAGTGCAATAACGTGATTATAACGAATTATGAATATATATATAATGCGTTATAGAGATAGGCGTCAAATAAACTGTTACTGAAATTTCTAATGCAAAGATTATTAATAAAAGGAATGATCTGTATGTGTAGGAATGTTGTGTTGCGTCCTTGTTGACTGTTGTTGTGCCCTCTTTTGAACAGAATAGGATGAATTGTTTCCGAACAAAACAGAAAAGATTTACAGTCACATGAAATTCAAATTAGTCTTGCTAGCCATGCACAAGAATTCCTCGTGAGAACTTTATCGATGCTGCGTCACATTTATCCTCTTTCCACAGAGCCTCGGAGGCTGAGCGTTAATGGCAAAAACCCAATTCCTCTCCTCTGACACTAAATCTGATAGCCACGCTGCTAAGCAGGGGAACTCCATCGTCTCCCCTCCCGATTTATGATTGTCTTAATAATTACCTGCTTGCCTGCATTGTGTAATCTGTTTTCAGGTTGAGTTGCTTTCTGTGACCTTTGGGCCTGCAGGTGTCTGCTGTGCACCTCCTTATTGAGAAAGATGAAATAGAACGTTAAAGCTCATTATCTGTGGCTTCGTAATGCCCCGCTGAGGTCAACAGCTCGATGAGCACACACACACTCATGCACTACAGACACATGCTGGCCTGCTCCGACAACCACTCAGGGGCCAGACACACACACACGGGAACACACACATTCGCACACAACCACTTTGAGCTTGAATGTGTCTCTAATAATGCGTTCAGGAGCATGCTGCTTTCTCCTGTAGAGACTAAGTGCTGCCATGCAAGAGAACCTCTGAACAATTCAATTAAAGTGAGATGTCAACGGTCAGTGGCAGGCTGACAATGGTCCTGATAGATGATTTTTTGAAGGTGTCCACAAACACCACTACCTTGTGAGATACTCCTGATGTGTCCTCTCTGTGTGTCCATGTCTCTCATCTGTCATTACAGGACTGTCCAAGGTCCTGGAAAGGCCTTTAGAGTAGTCAAGAAAGGTGGCATGTCTTTAATTTGTTCTGCATTCAAAGTACAAACATGATTTTTTGATCCTGCTCTTAGACTCAATTCAATAACTAGAGTTCGTTCTATGCGATAATGGTATTGCATTTTAACTACGGATGCACCAATCCGATATTTGGATCGGATATTGGCTCCGATATTGACAAATTAACTGGATCGGCTATCTGATGAATGGCGCTGATCCATTGATTCCGATCCAGTCTTTTTTTTTTCTTTTGATTAAAGGGATATTCCAATGCAAAATTAAGTTAGGGTCAGACACACCGTAACACTGAGTTAGACACCCTGTTGAGAGATGACTCTTGCAGACCGCTTGCTCCTTAGTAACGCCCGCAGATAGCAGTACAGAGAGCCACGCGCTGAACCAAAAAGCCACTCTATAGCCACAAATAATGTGAATAATAATAACTCACCCTCTCTCTTCCAGCAGCCACTTTTCGTAGCAGACCTCAGGCGAGTCCATCAACTACAGCGGGGTGACTCAGCTCAAGGAAGAACATTTATGATCATTTCCTCATATAAATGCAATCAGACTGAGACGCTAAGGCAGAAGAACTACCGCGTCTGCAGTGCAAAATTAATAATAATATGATTATTACTTAAAGGAAATGAAAACGAAATGATCATAAATGTTCTTCCTTGAGCTGCGTCACCCTGCTGCGGTCAATGGACTCGCCCGAGGTCTGACTACAAACAAGTGGCTGCTGGAAGGGAGTGGGTGAGTTGTGTTTAGTCTCTTTGCTAAAGAAATTAGGCAAAGCTACAAAGATGTTTGGTGGCTGGTACTATGGCTGGGACCCTCTATGTACTGTTGATGAAGTTAGGTGCTGTTCTGAGCATTATTTGTGGCTATAGAGTGGCTTTTTGGTTGAGTGCCTGGCTCTCTGTATTACTATCGTGCGGTCATTACTGAAGTTGGTATAACTAGAGAAGCAAGCAGTCGGCAACACTCATCTCTCGAGGGGGTGTCTAGCTCAGTGTTACAGTGTGTTTGACCCTAAATTAATTTTATACCCGAATGTCCCTTTAATAACAGCGACGCATATTTATATTTAACATACTCTATATTTTGTCTGTCTATCTTTTTGTACAAAATGTTTACATGGAGGTCATCTTCATTCAACCTTAGACTTGGATCAGTATCGGTATCGGCCGATACGCTCAGCCCAGGTATCGTATCGGTATCGGTATCGGATTGGATTGGAAAAAAATGGATCGGTGCATCTCTAATTTTAACAACAATATGCAAAGCTATTGCAAAACTTTTGTAAAATGCACAAGTTCCTGCATGTGCATTCAGCGCCAAAGAAGAGCAAGACAAACCCTGTCTTCCTGAAGGATGCCCTGTCTGACAACAAGCAAGAGGGGAAATCACAAGTTTCCTGAGCCTATTTCATTTAACACTAGGACTGAAATGAGAAGAGGAGAACGAAACGAGAAGAGGAGGAGAGTAAAAGGAGAGACAATGAGAGGAAGGAGGGGGAGAGCGAGGGAGGGTCACAGAATCAATGTGAGCTGTGAAGCTACTGCAGTGGGTTGGAGGTCAGTGGTTTGGTCACACAGCTATGGATCTCTGCAGCAGACCCTGCAGGCCATTGCGAACACAAGCCTGACACTCTGCAACACACTCTGACAAAGAAAGGATCAGAGCCCAGAACACTTGCAGCTCTAAACAAGCATAAGAACGCTCACTGGTTTGTTTTATTAATAATTTAGGTTTGGAACTTTACAGTATGGAGAAAAAGACCTCAAATTTCTTTCGTTTTCAAGCTTTACCTTGAGCGCTGGGTGCCAGATTGGCTGTGAAATCACCATTGGAGACCATTCAGATTGTTCCAGGTGGAGCCCAGAGCTCAATCAAACGAAAAATAATTATTTGAAAGGCTTTCAAATGTACAATTTTGGCTTGGGTTTGGGTGCCATATTGCACAGAAAGATTTCATTCTCCTTCTGCTCTCTGTGGAGGAAATTGCTGACATACTCTGGAGATGTTGGGACTGTAGATGGACAGAGAACAAGCACTTAATGGAGCGGCTCTTCTTTCTCACGCCTGGTTGTTATTTTTTGCAGTTATTACGTTACTTCCTTCCATGTTTCTGCTCTGACTGACACAACCAGACATCCCTATTTTTGTTGCAGTTCTTCTTTTCTTCTCATCCTTTCCACCTTGTGTTCTCACCATCCTTCCAATGGAGACCACAGCTATTCATGTGGGACCACAGAGTCCACAGAGTGACAGTGGGCTATATTTGGATGTGCTGTTTGGGTGTTAGCGTATGTGTGCATGCATGTATGGAGGCAGAATCTGCTTGTCCGCTCCAATGTTAGTTCACGTAACACAGGTCCAGTCGAGCCTAACCCAAAGAGCATTGAGTTGTATATGTGTAGAGTATTGACTGCCTTAACGATCAATGCAACACTTCTATCTTTGATTTATATCCCCTGGTCTCTGAGCTCTCTGGGTGCTCTTTGATTGAGTTCTTTGGCCACTGGTTATCAAAGTGGAAAGCTGAGAGACAATCGATCACTGTACAGGTAACCTGACCCACTTTTGGAAATATGCTTTACTAGGCCGCCTTTGCTGGCAGAAAACTCACAAGGTACTGCAATTCCTCTTTCTTTACTCTCTCTCTCACATACACACACTGGCCTAAATCAAGAGTCCGCTCTGCTGTATCTGACAACACAAGCCTCCGCCGAGGGTGAACTGTGTTGGGAGAATGACTGGCCCAGATGGCATTACCGTGTAGCACCGGAGACGAGGCTGAAAGAAATCAGGATGTTGTTGTACTTTTATCATCAGTTTTTCTCACTTTCTGTCTCTCACTTCTTTACACGCAATAATACACTTTTGGCTTTTGTACTCGTGAGGACGCTCAGTGTATTCCCTGTCCAATAACCCCTCTCTTACCTCCCGTATACACTCGTCCAGTCAGTTTTCAGTGATAGACTTTAATGAGCAACAAAGACCAGACTGTGTGGAAATATATTTCTCAGGGATTTAACCACAATTTTTGCAAAAGGTTATGGTTGGAACAGAGATTCAAGTGAAAATATCAGAGCTTAATGTCCGAGTTTTGGAGTATGCTCAACTCAAATATGACATAAAGTACTCATTAGGCCCAGAGTGGAGACTGGTAGGATGTATCAGAGAACAGTATGTTAACTATCACATCATGCAGTGAGCAATTTTTTACCTTAAAACTTATTTTATGATTTGGAAATAGTTCAAGAATAAAGGGAGAATAACAACGGATATTTGTAAGGTAGTCTGCCTAACTATGGTGATGAAAAAACTGCTTCTTTAAACTCGTTGCATCGCCTCTAGCACTGCGTGTCAGCACTGGTGTACTATTGGTCTTTAAGTAGTTTGTGGCACTTACTAATGTTGTTCTCTCCTGTCTGGATCTTTACTTGTGTTGTACTTTCTTTTAGATGTTGGTCTCTTTAGACTAAAGCGTCTGCTGTATGGAGCTGGGGAGCAATACTGAATTGGTGATCTTTTTTTTGTGGGTCTGTCTGCTCCGACAAACAATTGCACACAAAACCGCAGGCTAGCAGATCGGCCTCAGACCTCCCTCACTGTCAACACAAACCTGTTGAGGCAGGTCACCTTCATATTGGTCTGAAATAAAATAGAAGAAAAAAAGTTTTTGACGCACAAAACTCTTGCAGACTTCCCACATTTTTCCTGGTTGGCTGCTGTGACAACACAAACAGCTTAAATTTTCACCCAAAACTTTACCTGACAGCCCCCTGTTAAAATTCCCACCTGAATTAAAGACCCACTTTGATGAAAATCAGGTTTTTCTTATTGTCTACATTTTCATATGGCATTTTTTAGATGCAAGAAGACATATCATGAGGAAAACTAAGTGCAAAATTGCATTTTTAATTTTTAATCTTTTATTTTGGTTTCTCTTGCAATATGAGCTAGGCGCAATATTTGTCATTTGTGATCCCCTTGGTAAGTGTTTCTGTGTTTGCATGGGGCTTATTGTTGGCATTTAATATTGTGTTATTCATTTATGTTATATGATCGTATTGTATCAAATCGTATCATATTTGATTATTTTCCTGCCTTCAAATCACTGTGAACCTCTGGCAGACCCAAACAGATACAGTGAGATTTCCTACATCACAATTCCAAGTTCCACCCCCTGGAGCCTCTCTCTGCAGACCAGACTCCGGGAGGTAGAGAGGACAATCGTGGAACAAGTGTGTGCGGTAGCGGATTGCAGAGCTCCTAAGAAAGCTAATTATGATATTAGCTTAGGGTCCGAGAGCTGGATAGCTCCTATATTACATGCTACTTCTGCTGCACTGGCAATGTAAGGCTGCAAGCTAGCGTGAAGAGGAGCGTGAAGAGCAGCGCTGTTTCAACCCGCTACTAAGAGCCGAACAGCTAATGGGCTACTGGAGCTCTGCAGAAGAAAAGTCCTTGAAAATGACACTTTAAATGGTAAAAAAGAAATTTTCAGAAATTTTAAGGGCGGACCATTGTGTGAAAACCGTTGGAAATATTTGAGAAAGTTAATAGCAAGCCCATTGGCAGGGCTGATGACATTTGCTCTCCTGTCAAAAAATGGAAGAAAATAAAAACAAGGCGTAGGTGTACTGCAAGAATAAAGGTGAGCATGGTTTGGTACTTTGTGATAACAGTATTCAAGATTTCAGGATGGTTTGATTCTCTATTACAAGTCCTTAATGAAGATTTCAAGTGTACCTTGGTAGACAGACATCCTTGATCAAATAATGGTCCTGATGTTAACAAGTACACAGGATTCAGGCTCTTTGCTTCTAGCGAGCACTGTTCACCTCGATGTGTGAACCCATAACAGCAACACGTTAGAGGATGAAAACACAAAGTGAGACTTCCTTATATTCACCTCTGCTCCACCACATGTTCTATATACAATTTACAAGCTATTGGGAGGAATCTGTTTCTTATAAGCAGCAACACTGACAAAGTGAGGGAAATACATTAAAACTAACAAACGAGAAATGCTGTGAGCTCTCTGCTATTTATGCACACATTGTTGATAAGATTATTGACTTATATTCACAGGTTTAAACCTTTAATTTTTTAATCTCAGTTGTAGTAAGAAGTCTTAACTCTGAAAAAATCCTGGACAAAAAGCAAAAACTAAGAAATTGTGCCGGTTTTCACAAATGTCTTCACAGAGTCCTCATAAGGACGGCAGTGTGAAAGCAGACACACATGAAAAGATTTTGCCGTACTTAACTTTAAGAGTCTGTGCTAAAAGAAATATTTCCACTGTTTCTATCTCCTCTGGTTACAATACATGGAATAAAAGAGAAGTGTCTTTTTAGATATTGTTAAGCTCTGGTTTTGCAAGCGAAGCATGTGTCAATTGGTGACCTTTTCCTCATATATAGTACAGTTTGCCGCAGTGTGCGGCTTTAATCAGGCCTCAGCTTCGGCAGAGACGTGCTCAGATTTTCCCACTACACACAAGAGAGGAAAAACAGGGCAAAAGGAAGGTAAGAAGGAGAGAAAGGAAGAGAAGTAATGAGAGCGATGGGAAGGGAGCTGGAAAGAAAGAGTTGTGCATTTAATTCCAATACATGGATTAGAATATACCCATTTAGTTTCCTAACCGTAATCTCTGAGGAAACATGGTTTAGCGGAAGACGGCAGTCATTACAGACTATGGGCCTTATCCTTCCATCACATTCTCCTACTCTAACTGCACCATATCTATTATTAATGCAAACATTATCAATAAGACTTCAGACTTTTACAGCATGGTCAGTGTGTGGTTTCCAATGTGTCAATTAGGACTTCCTCTTTTACTTTTATCACTCTTACTCTAAACTTCTCTCTGTACTTAAAGACTCTCTCTGATGGCCTCAGTGTGAGTTTTTCTTTTACCCCAGAACTCTTTGATACATGACCGAAAGGTGTTAAATCACTGGGAATATCTGTTCTGCAGTGTGCTGCTAACTCAGTCACTCTTTCCAGGGGCAGTTCATCCATTTGTTTGGTGTGTACACTCTGTGGGATGGCTGTTTACCTTGTTCCTAGAGTATTTAGGGAGCTCAGATAACCTTGAATAATCTACTCACCCCTCACTAAACAGACAGCACTAGGTTCTGCATGTGGCACGCTTGATTTAACATTTATTCCAATGATAAAACATTCAGAAGAGGGTTGACGGAGAGTGGCATAGAAAGTTCAGAGACAGAAACTTTAGAAAATCAAAGAGTCACTGAAACGCAAGACAATTTTCTGGTCACCAAGTATAAGTAATTGTAACAGAAAGTAGGATAATGAAATTAGAACCCAAACTCGCTTCTTCACTCATTTTTTTCTTTTACTTTTCTGCTTATTCATGAAGAGGTAAGGGCAGCAGACAGTTTTCACTTGTGTCAGTCCTCTGCTGAGTAAGAGGGCGAGAGGTTGTGTCGTGTGACAGCGAAGCTAAACTGCCTTGTGTTTTGACTGAATGCCATCTGTCCACGTTGCCCTTTTAGAGTATTGAGCGGGAATCCCAATGAGTACAGTGCTGCTAGAAAAAAAAGGCAGGCCTCTGTCAAGGCACATTTAAGGGATAATAGCGAAAATAGCTGTGGCTGAAACAAATAATCACCTCTGACCAGAGCAACAGAAAGTCAGAGTCAGGGTCACTGGAAGAGATCTAGGAGCGAAAAGCAGGAGCAATATGCCACTGCTTCTCACCAAGTTCTTAAACAATGAAGTTTGCTTTTAGTCGAAGGGAATTATTAAGTTTGAAAGATGTTATGCCCCTTTAATCAAAATATATTCATAGCACTCCACCCACAAGGTCAGTGCTCTGTTGTTAAGCTTTTATAATAATTGATGTGACGTAATGAACTCTGCTGCACTATTCTGAAAAGTTTCCAAAATGAGATGAGTCAAATCAGAGTTTTAGCAAGTAATATTCTTTATTTGATGACAAAAAGGACATGGTACTGCAAACTTCTGAATCAGGCTGAAGTTCCTCCTTTGAGCCCACCTCAATTTCAAATAGTATTTTTGACGCTGTGTGTTTTGTATTTTTAAAATGAGGTTTTTATGATAAATTTTTTAAATCTTTTATTTTTAATGTTTTATTTATTTTTTATTTTTTGCAATATGAGCAAGGTGCAATATGTGTCATTTGTGGTCCTCTTGGTAAGTGTTTCTTTGTTAACATGGGGTTTATTGTTGGCATTAAATATTGTGTTATTTATTTATGTTATATTAATTGTATGGTATTGTATCTACTCGTACTTACTGTATTTTATTGTATCATATCGTGTCATATTTAATGGTGCCATATAGAGTTATAGAGTTTCATAATCATATTGGTTTGCAGTGAATCATGTCGTATCGTATCGTGCCAATCGTATTATGTCATATAATATTGTACTGAATTGTGTTATATCCTAATGCAACAATCAAATTGTGTTGTATGGTGTCATATTCATAGTCTGCATATAGAATGGATGCCATCTGCCTCCTTGCTGGGTGAAGCCACCACGAGAACAGCACCCTCTGGTGATGGGCTGCAGTATAGGTCATAAATCCCGCCTCCTCCAGCAATCCCTATGGAGCTGTGGACAAAATTTTTAAATTTACTACACAGAACATACATTTTTCTCCCCCCTGGTAGCGATGTTGACATGTAGTTATTGTAAGATTGGATTGTGCTCAAGTCTTCTTTTTCTGTGCAGTTCTATTTTTAAAAGTTAGTAGGGGGTTCATGTTTTCTTGATATAGCCTATGGGCGTACGAAGATTGCGACCTGGGGGAGACGCTGTTTGAGTCAAGCGTCATCACAGCGACTCTCGGCAACTATCCCGCCGAATGCGTACGATGCTACTGCGCAATTGGTGGTTCCAGAAAGAGGAGAAAATCCCAGAAATACAGAGCGCAATTTGGCTTCCAATTCGTTTTCGTAATGACTGAAGGCGGAACCAAGTTGTCCATAGCATATAAAGTCAATGGTCATAATGTATTGAATTAAATTATATCTTAGTGTATCCTATTGGATTTGATTAAATTGTATCATGCTGTGTCAATTAGTTGTATCAAATAGTGTAAATTTTAGTTCAGTATACTGTACTATATTTTCATATCGTATCGCGTTAAATTATATTGAATCCCTGAGTTGTATTGTATTGAGTTAGAATCGTATTGTATCGTGTCAGTTATATTGTATCTCATTGTGTCTTATTGTACCGTACGGTATTGTGTATCGCATATCTTATTAGGTTGTGTCTGAAGTAACCTGGCTGTGAGTTTGCATGCAAGCACTGAAGGCTGCAGTGACAATCACCTGATAGACAGTGACAACAGGAGTTTAATAAGAGAGGAGAGGAGGGGGGAGATAAGGTCAGAGGAACACAAAGGAAAGGGGAAGGAGAGAAAGGCATGAGAAACATCTTTTGTTTCTCTCATTTGCCTCTCGTAACTTCCATTGTATCAGCAGCCATTGTGTCATGGTTATTGTTGCTTTCTGAGATATGGTTTCTAAAGCCTCTGCGGGCTGAAGACTAAGGGAATGATAAGTGATAAGAGTGAAGAGCTGTAATTTCACATTTAACAGAAATTATCATCCACAGAGGAACTCATATTTGCAGACGGGTAGGGGAAGGGAATTCTCTAAACGCGACAGAAGTCTCAACAGACTGCTGTTTTTTTTAACGTAGAGAAGAAGCTATATTAGAGGACCCTGCAGTCTAATAGCTGTTTTCTTCCCGCCCCCCCCTCCTCTTTCATGAGGAAATGGTTTCCAAGACTGACACTCATCTGATTTGAGTCACATTGTTTGTCACGGGCATCAAGTGATAGGAATAAGAATCCATATAAAAAGCCATTAGTTTTCTATTACTGCCAAGCTGGATGGACAGGCACTCTGTGCTCAACCGAATAACTGTGTTTAAAGTGTCAGGTTGGTTGAAAGAAGTCTACCTCAGTGGGGGCTCCCCTGCCACTTCCCTGGGGGCTGAGTGGCTGAAATGACCATAAAACTCTGTTGAGCTAGACAGCCTGTAATTTCAGCAGCGAGTGGCGCTTTGCAGAGGTATAATGGAAAGCCCGTGGAAGCCATGAAATTTGCTGCATCCCTGTGTTGGAACACCATTGTCTGAACACTCAGGACACCTCTCTAAACTTTAAATTACTGTTTTTAAGCCGTCATTGTCTGAAAGAGCTCTGCATCTTTAAAGAAACACACTACTCGTTCCCTTTCTTTAATCTTTAGCGCTCTTTTCCTTTCCTACAGAAATCTGACATTCACTTTTTTTGTTGGCCAAAAAAAAAAAAGTCCAATAACCTTTGCTTGCAAGGGATGGAAAAATGGAAATGCGGCTCCACAGGTTGCTGCATACAAGCACAAAAGAATTGTTTTTTCTCCTCGCTGTTTGTTGTGGGTTTTTTTTTATCATCTGTGCTGTGATGGTGGGAACGAGTGGCTTCTTTCAAGAGGGAATAGGAACGGATGAGAGAGGGCTTTGAGTGAGGAGGACAGGTGCAGAGGGGGATAGATTTGTGTATGTGTGGTCTTTCCTCTGTGATTTAACATTATGTAATGTGTATCTCTGTTTGTGTTTGTGCGCAATCATTTGAGCCTTTCCAACCGACGCTAGAGCACCCACACGTCCAGCTTTCTGGAGCGTGGCTGAAGATGTGATGTTAGCAGCATGTCACATCGAGAGGCTCTCCGAATGATTTGATAGCAGGGCAGATGGAGATGTTGGAGTAATGAAGTGAGTCTGGGTAGGTTTTGCTGCTGGGGGCCTGAGCCCATCACACAACACTGACTGCATCTCTGCTGTTGTTAGAGACTCATTCACAGACAGACAGAGAAAGAGAGAAAGAGGGAGAGAGAGCGAGACAGGCAGGAGAACAGAGGGATTGTAACCTCATCACCCCTTTCCCCCTTCAGCTAAATCTGCCTGTCTGCGCTTTCCTTATTCTCAGAGTTGAGATGGAGCGTAACAGTAAGCACAACTCAGTACAACAAAAGGAGGACTCTCTGTCTGGTACATTGTGTTACGGCTGCATGAACCCTCCACTTTAAGATTTCCTGGATGTTGGTGTTCCCGCTGGAAGACACAGATCTACTCTCTGCAGGTAGACGCTCCATTTCATTATAATGCATCTCATCGAATCCAATTACACCAGGAGCTCGTGAAAAAGGCTCAAAATGATGAATAAGTGATCAAGTGTCGCCAGTGAAGAACGTATGATAAGTGATATTGCTGCAATGCATATTAAAAGATGAGGCGGTATGTAAATCCGTGTGACATTAACATTCAACCTGTTTAGGCTGCTGTGGCATGCAGCGGTGTGCACCATCAGCACTTTGTTGTTTTTTTAATATGAATCTCTTGATCAGTGCGTCAATGCTGCGCGTGCATCTGTCAGGGCTTCCCGTCAACTGTAATTTAATTCAGCAAGTACATAAATAGGTGATGAGTTGATGAATCCTTTGCTGGTTTTGTTAACTTTGAGGTGATACATAAATGTTAATCCAACTGCAATTACTGGAATAGTTTGTGAAGACCTGTTTTTCCGCCTGAAAATTCGTATGAAATGTGGGACTGATTAAAACATCATCCTTCTTACTACACGAGGTTAACAACTTACATTTCTTTCAAGACAGTAACACAAGTATGAAGGAACCTGGAAAGCAAATGTTTGACCTTTGCAGAGATATCTCGTTTCAATTTCTCTGAATCTCTGGAAAATTAACTACAAAATCAAGTCTCATCTTATTCAGTAAATTAAAAGACAAGAAAATAAACTTAAAAGCTGTTTCATTTAACTCCAAGAAGTGTGTGAATTGTTGTTCGCATTCAGTATTGTGTTGTTCATTTGTGTTGTATGTATCGTAGGTGACTTTTAAGAGTCCCCGTTTGTGAGTTGAGAATTCCTCGACTGAAAAACACACAAACTTACAAGCCATCAGCCATCTCTTTGATTATATTCAATTTATGATTTATCCACATCACTAGCTCTGTCACTGATGGATGTTTACAAAAGACATTGCCTCCTCATAAAACGACTCTTTTCTATGCTTTTATTTTGATAGAGATTGTAAAAATGGCTTTATTTCCTGCACTGTAAAACTGCAAGCTACTTCTAGAAGATTGAAAGTTACAGAACTGAATGAAAGCAATAAAACGATTGGTTAGAAAGTATAAATGTTCAATTAATTGGTGCCTAATGAAAGTGCCTAATCATCTCTTAAAGAGCTGCTTCAAGCCAGTTCACAGGCAGTCTGTCTAAGTCTGCCCCGCTGCTGCTGCTGCTTCTTCTTCTTCTCTCCTCTATTTTATGACACATGTGGCAACCAGCGTAAAGGACCCCGTCAGAACTGGTTCATTGTAATAGCTATTATTTTAATTTACATGAGACAAGATGAAGGGAATTTCTGCGGGGATATTTATGTTGACATTTTTATCCTCATTCAGCTCTTCTTATTCTTGAAGCTCAGTAAATAAATGACACAACTGCAGGCTATTATCATTACCATCTCTTATTGTAAAAGCCTGGATTGTGGGACAGGATCTTTGTCCATTTTTCTCTATCAGAGATAAGTTGGTAACAGGAGCTCGTCAGGCTGCATCTGGTTCCTGTCTCTAAAATGTGACAGAGACCAGCAGATTCCAGGACATGGAGACCAATGTTTGCACCACAGTGTTGAAATGTCCCAGACTTTTTTTTCTGTTAAATGATTTAATAAGACGTTGGTAATAAGGTTGACCCTGGCATGGCTTTTGCTGTAATATTAAATCACTGTTGTTATGGGGTTTTGACCCGAACAGAATCGAGTTTTTTGATTTTGTTGGGGAAAAAAAAACAAAATTTAAGAACCGACAAGAAAGTTTGCTTATCTAGGCATAAAGATTTGATATAGTGGGGAAAGGCAAGTCTGGCACTTTCCAACTGAGAGAAGAAATGTCTCTCCAGTATATTAAAACTGTTAATATACTCTCTGAGATAGTGGTTTCCTCAACATTTACAGTCTTTTTTGCCAAGTTAAGATCATCAACTCTTGCCTCCAGAAATTCATCAATCACACTCTTAAAAAGGTCGGTTTAGAAACAACCCAGAACACATACTGGGTAATTTTACCTAACTAATTGGGCTGGTTCACTTAACCCAACAATTAGGTTGTTCATATAACCTAACCAAGGGTTCACAATAACTACTGTGCTGGGTTCTTTAAACCCATCATGTTTGGTTGTCAATATTTAATATAATTTTAAATTACATTAATGCATCAGATTTCATAGCGCTTCATCAGAGAGACCCTCAAAGCGCCCTCATTAGAAGCTGGTACACAACAGTGCTTCACAAATTTGCATCTTAACAACAAAATGAGGGTCTATATAATAATATCAAGTCATCTACTCTATATGGTAAAGCATTAGTGGGAATAGAACAAACCTTGCTCTTCACGTCTCCTCGCTTCAGCAGTTGTGGCATCAATCTGGTGAGTGGTAGTTCACAATATACCAACAAAACCATATAGAAATTATAACCCAACAGCTAATAACTCTGTTCCCAACATAAATAACCATGCGAATTCGGTACTCAGAATACTCAACTCCATGAAAATAACCCAAATAAATTGACCGACAGGCTCAACCTAGTGGTTGGGTTGAAAAAACAACCCAGTATTTTTTTGTATGCAAATTAGAGATGAGTTTGGGTATTTATAGCCTTTTCTAAGAACAGAGTATATAGATAGAAATACTGTAGCTGTAGATATAGATATATGTATGGATAGATGTCTTACAACAATTGAAAGAATCCCATACAGTAATTGAAAACAAACCGTACCAACATCTTGCTCAAGATAAAGACTTGCATGTTTACTTGCATCAATCAAAATATCATGAATTTTCCCATCAAGTCCCTCTCCCACGGCACCCTTTGAAAAGAAAATGACTGTTCAATGATACAGATTAAGTAAAGGAGAGGAGGGTATCAGAGCAGCTATCATAAATGAGTCAAGTCTGTTTATCAGGGACTAAGTCTACCAAATATTAGCAACCAGCTGCAAACCAGCCAGAAGAGACAGTCAGCTAACTGCCCTAACTAAAACTGTCGCTATATTTGTGTTTGTGACGATGTGTGTGTCTATGTGTGCACTTGTGCAAGTGTGGGACCGAGGACGAAACAGCCTAAGGGACATTATAGTACCTTTGAACTTAAGGCTGCGAAAAGTGGTCACACCAGGTCAGAGTAAATGAGTCATATGAGAGAGATAAAGAAAGAGAGGGAGAGGGGGAGAAAGAGGGAGAGAGAGGGGAGGAGGAGAAAAATGTGCAATGGATTGTGATTCACTTAGTGGGCAGCTGTGATGTGAACAGTACAGACAGAGCAACTTTGCACACGCTACTCCCAATAAACCTACTTAAGTGGATTAGCAATGCCACCCTGGGGCCCTCCACAGACTTAAAGCTCTTATCACAAACACACACCGAAACAAAACATACTATTTTTATAAGGTCTTGTTGTTTGTGGCGAGAGTAACTTTGGGAGACAATGGAGATGTCCAGTTTGAATATGGAGTTAACAGCCAAAAGAGTCATATCATATCTTTCTCATCCTTACACAAATGCCCGACCGCTGGCTCCACATTGCATGCTGTGAATGCAGTAAATAGCTTGTTGGCTCGGAGGGGCGAGCGAGACCTGGTTGCTATTCAAGCCACCTGTTGTTGTGGCCCGGGAACAGATGTTGTATATACTTTCCCAGTTTGATGTTGGTCATAATTGGCAGCTGCTGTAGGGGGCTAATGGCGCCAGAATTAGGCCATGTGCTTTGAATCTGTGTTTGTGTCTGAATGGTCATCTGTCATGTGCTTTTGACTGACTCTTTGCCTCTTTCTATCTGTGCTGTGCTCCGTGTTTTCTCTGCAGGTCGAGGCTGGCTGACTACTCGGCGAACTGCAGGATGACTCCGAACACAGTGAGCACCTGTCCCAACCAAGACAATCACCAGGCCTGCCTGGCCTCCTACGCAAGGCTCATCGGTCAGTGCCGCCTTGGCTCGGAGTTTGTGAGAGAGAAAAAGAGCATATTTAGCTCCAGATTTCACATATTTTTCTGAAATTTCAGATCCGTGCCGAAAAAAGGGGCTGTGATTTTATTGAAAGAGAGAGGAATAAGACTTCCCTCTTGGCTTCAGATCTCCTGGAGCGCACTGGACATCAGTTCACTGCTAGAAATAATTAGAGAGCAGAGCGCAGTGGGAGCGTTTACTTAATTAAAACACCTGATGGCCATCTGTTTGCTCATTGTAAATGTTGTTCAAACAATATGAGAAGACTTCCACGGGCATATTTTTCAATCCCTTAGCTTCACACAACTCCAACTCAAATGCAAATTTTCACAAAATAACTTCTCTTTTTTTTTTTTTTTTTTTTTAACCCAGTACAGTGGTTACTGAAGTGTCCATATTTTAGTATCAGCCACTGCTTCCCCACTGTGTGTCATAAATCGAGCAGTATGAAGTGATAATATGCCACGGTGCTTCCGGGATTTCTCTGGAAAATGCTGTACAAAGTGCATCTAACGCCCCTGACTTCGGCTGAAAGCATCGCTACAGAGAGACATTTGAAAAGTAAAATGTTTTGTAGAGCAGTGCTGCTATATTCGCACACAACGCGCACACACACACACACACTTCCTAAAGCACCTACTTTGCAAAATATTCATAATATAATGGCCTCTTTACATCTAAAATAAAACATTACAAAATGCTTCACCTTGGCATAAACTCTAACAGTGCAAACCCATTCCTATGACTAACATCTTGTTGTCCATTTTATATACTATCTGCTATAAATGTGGTCCATTATTGTCCATTAGTGACCTATAACAGTTTTTTTTTCCTAATGTGTGTATATATGTGTGTGTTTGTGTTTGTCTGCTATTGCCCTCACAGGGACGGAAATGACTCCCAACTACGTGGACAGCAGCGTCTCCAACTGGACTATCTCCCCTTGGTGCACGTGTAAAGGCAGCGGAAACCAGGAGGAGGAGTGTTTGAACTTCCTGCACCACTTCACAGAAAACACATGCCTAAGTGAGCCATGCTGACACACACACACATGCACACACGTTCATACTGTGCATGCTTTTGAAACTGATAGGGGTCTAACAGTCATGTAATATTGATAAGAACACAAGCCTGTGATGCTGTAGTTACTCCTACTGATGCCATGTAAGAGCAGAGTGAGCCATGAACTTCGATCGAATGCAACTTTAATGGTATTGTGTCAGTTTCTTTTTTTCTTTCAGTGAATGACTGTTGATGTGTTGTTGTAAAGGAGTGGGTGATAGTGGTCGGGGGGAGCTGAATGCGAAGATAATGCAGGGTGGGGCTGGATAAGTTTGTCAGCAACAAGGTTAGATTTAAATTTTTAATAAATTCAACGGAAAACAAGGAATTATTTATCATATGTGGATCCGACGAAACAGGAAATAAAGTCTTAAAGGGATATTCCGGCGTAAAATTAATTTAAGGTCAAAAACACCGTAACACAGAGTTAGACACCCCCCTGAGAGATGAATGTTGCCGACCGCTTACTTCTCTAGTTATACCTCAACCAAAACGCCACTCTATAGCCACAAATAATGCTCAGAACAGCACCTAACTTCATCAACAGTACATATAGGGTCCTAGCCACAGCACTAGCCACCAAACATCTTCTTAACTTTGCCTAATTTCTTTAACAAAGAGACTAAACACAACTCACCTACTCTCTTCCAGCAGCCGCTTGTTTGTAGCAAGACCTCGGCCAGTCCATTACGGACTACAGCGGGGTTACGCAGCTCAAGGAAGAACATTTATGATCATTTCTTTATCATTTCCTTGAAGTAATAATCATCATATTAATCATTTTGCACTGCAGACACGGTAGTCCTTCTGCCTAAGCGTCTTGGTCTGATTGTATTTCCATGAAGAAATGATCATAAATGTTCTTCCTTGAGCTGCGTCACCCCGCAGCAGTCCGTAATGGACTTACCCAAGGTCTCGCTGCAAACAAGCGGCTGCTGGAAGAGAGTAGGTGAGTTGTGTTTAGTCTTTTTGCTAAAGAAATTAGGCAAAGTTAAACGATGTTTGGTGGCTAGTGCTATGGCTGGGACCCTATATGTACTGTTGATGAAGTTAGGTGCTGTTCTGAGCATTATTTGTGGCGTTTTGGTGGCGGTTTGTTTATGGCTCCTCAGACCGCTGTGTATTGTTATCGTGGGGTCTTTACTAAAGCTGGTATAACTAGAGAAGCAAGCGGTCGGCAACATTCATCTCTTGACGGGTTGTCTAATTCAGTCTTACAGTGTGTTTTACCCTAAATTAATTTTACGCTAGAATACCCCATTAAGAACTAAGAGTAACTAAGAGTAGAAATACGGATAGATGTAAGGACCGATAAATTATAAGTGACACGAGGATGAAAACTTCCCCGAAAGTCCCCTTGAAACTTGTCTGCTACATAGTTTCATATAACATGTACACTTCTTTGCCCGCTGATTAAGTCGGAATTAAATCGTCTAAGTTTCTCACCACACTAGTCATTTCTTATCACTTCTCATCCCTCCTTTGGGCTAGATCTGCCCAGACTTTAATACAAAAGAAACCATTTGCATGTCATTTCCACATTCAATCTGAAAAAGTTAAAGGGCTTATCCCTTGTGGGAGTAAAATGTCATGAAGGAACAGCTCTTGCGCAAATGAAATAATAGGAGATGCTAAAATACATCATCTGTACATCTCATGCATAACGCACAAGGTGCAGCATGACAGAGTGGTTACCTCAAACATCCTCAGGATTTTTTTTCTCCCTCTGAGGAGTAAAATACAGTGAGTGGCTTCATTGCTGTGGCAGAGCAAGCAGTGTCATCAGTGCTACAAGACACCATTGCCTTTAACATGTTCCATTGTGTGGGTAATGCTTTCAGACCATTTCAATAGATTGCTGGGGTACCATTTTAGCTGAGTGTGCAGGATGAGGGATGAAGCTGGAAGCTGAGGAGGCGTCTTGAAAAATAACACAAAATGCAGCATCTCCGCTCTGCAGTCAAGGGGAACAGGCGATAAACTTCCACACACCAGAGCGGAGAATATACACAAACACACACACACACTATACAGAGCTATGCATACATATACATGTAAATAAATGACCCCCGTAAATCCCTCAGTCTCACCCCTATCTGTTTTTGTTTTCACTGTTTGTCACTGCAGAGTAAATCTTTTTTTTTTTCATTGATTGACAAACCAAAACACTTTTTATTTTTATTTTTTTTTACAAGTGAAGACCAGTCACGCATCCCTTTTCCACATTCTTGTTATTTATTTTTTTAAAGAGCAAAGGATTAGTGCCAATATTTATTCAAATATATGTCAGGACCAACAGAAAACTGTGAGGCAGAAAGGGTCATATAATTGTAATCCAAACACAGTCTGAATCCTGATTTCTTTTCCTCCACCGTGTCTATTCCTTGTGTTTTCTTTCCCCCTCATCTCCGCTCCATCTGTCCCTGCAGGTAAGTTACAACCAGGGGTTATAGGAAAACTTATCCAGAGTCATTAAAAAATTGAATCGCTATTGGCAATGAGCTTAATCACTCAGTGGAACATTTGGGTGCAGTAAAACATCCTGCATGGAGGCCTTCAAGCCAACTGGTTTGATTTATGACTATTCCCCCATCTTACAGCATCTGTGAGGGCAAAGTTAGCGAAAAGCCAACCATGACAAACAGATGCGTAATGTTACATGTCTCAGCAGTACTTCAGTGGCTCTTCACGGCTAACATTAAAGTTGTCAGGCTTCAGTGGAGAGCTCTATTCCTCTCTGTGCTTCTGTGTTTTTCAGGAGCAGCTCAAATTACCACTGTGTCGAACAGAACGAGGAACACGACGGCTGCTTTTGTACACGTTAAGTGCGCAGGTGTACGCGGGCTTTCTCTGTACAGTGCATGGACTTGCGTGGGCGTGCAGCACCGTGTAGGTGGACAGAGTACATGACAGACGAATCTATGGGGTTGTGCATCAAAGATCCCGTCTGCATAGGTGTCCAGAGGATCGTGCCCTCCACATTTATCCCATTTGTCCTTTGTGTGTCGGTTGGGAAAAGCCATTTCTCCTTTGTTTGGGATTGTTTTGAATTTGATCAGTCACACAAATCTATTCAAAGTCATCTCTGTATGCTGACCTTATAATGGAGGTGGTTGCCAAGCAATTACATGCCTTGCCTTCTCTCTGGCTGAACAAAGAGAAACAAGCCCAGTGTTTTAAATGGATGAGCGGCAAAAAGGTACTCAGCCCCGATTTTACCATATCTGGCTGAAAAGCTGACTGAAAGAGGATTTATCACATTTTTGCAGGGACTTGCACATGCACTCAGACACAGAAATTACACACGTTTACAAGGCATGTGCAGGCGGATACACAAGAACTCATATGCATGCATGGACTGCTGTCTTCTGTTTGAGCTGATTGATTTGCTACTTTTAAAAGATTTGCTTTCTGGGTGTAGAACTGCCGGCAAAGAAATTGGCATTCATCATCTCAAGTGCAGACATTATGCCACTATTTGGTCAGCTCTTTGCAATTGGAGAACGGCTGTTGCAACTTAAAAGGGTTTTTGTAATGAGCCGAGGACATGAACCCGGGTTGTTTGTGTTTGATAAATGTGTTCATTGTGTCTCAGTTGGATTCCTCGTGGTGGGATAATTGCTGGACAAATTGAAAAAATAAACATGTCAGGCATTTGAAAACAAGGCAGGCCGCGAAATATTAAACATACTGCAGTTTTGCTGTCTTGTAAGATTCTGTAACATCCGCCTTCTTGAATGATTTCACAGTCGAACCTCCGATTGCTGTCTTTGATTTGTTTGGCGAACAACTCTCAAGCTTACTGACGAAGCAGAAAGACTGGCTCTCTGTGCTCTTTTTACTCCTTCCTTCCCTCGGCCCCTCTCCGCCCTCACTCGCTCCCTCGGTTGCCAAAGATTGGGCAAGGGACCAAGAAGTTGACTTAGAGCTGTCTGTCTGCTCGCTGGCTTCTTGCTGGGACGGCAGTCAAAAACAAATGACTTTATATCTCTGTCCCTGCAGGAAATGCCATCCAAGCCTTCGGTTATGGGATAGACAACATGCAGAACAAAAATGTGTCTGTCCCAGGCTCCTCAGCGGCTACGAAGACAGGATCGGATTGGTCAGCAGGCACCTCAGAGCCCCCCTTCGTCACCATCCCAAAGGTAATAGATTTGCTGTGATTATTATATTGCCTTGGATGCAATGGGAATTAAATTCATACGCAAAATCAAATGCGGAGTCATAATCTCCTGACTGCCTGTCAATGAGGTAGCATTCTGAATCAGGACTATTAATCCTAGAGTCTCTTATGTAATATATCGGTCACCTCATTGTGTGAGATTCATGCAGGGATGATTTTTTTCTCATGTTGTTGGAGCCCAAATATATCCATCCATGTTCAGCAGGTTCCAGCAACTTCTTTACATAAATTTATCGAAATGGACCTATTACAAGAAGAAGCGCACAGAACCACTCCCCCACTATGCTTCCATGAAAGGAGGATTTTGTGCAGAGACAAAATCACGAAGCCAACACGCTGCAGCATTCACAGTCACATCACATTCAATCTTTATGCCTGTTAAAGCAATTGGCACATCAGAACAGACGCTTTATGATAAGACAGTTTATGCTACACCCAAGATGATGACATTTGGTTGAAATATTATATTTCTCTCTCCTACAATGAAATAGTGAAAGAAATGGGAGGTGGGGGTTTTTAATCTGGATTAGAGGTTCTAAAATACTGGCCCAGGGCCTGTTCTCTGCTGAATGCAGTCTACTCTGAAGACTGCAGTCAACTCAGCTCGAACAGAGTTCACTGTCTAAGGCAGAAAAACATCACTCTCTGCTGTGCTGCAAAAATGTACGTGCGTTTGTCTTTTAATGGGACTGTACTTCATTTTCTTTTCAAATTAAACATGAAAATGACAGAAGCTCATTGTCAGCCAAAAACGCACACTCTCTCCTTCTCTCTGTCTCTCTCTCCATCTCTCTCTCTCTCTGTCTCCTCTGAACATGCTTGAAATATTTCTCTCCATTTTTGGCCAGGAGGAGTGTTTTACTTTTTCTCCCCCTTTTTTTTTTATCTCACTGTTGAATTTGATTAGTTTCCACTGTGAAATATTGTTCAGCTTTACAGATGTATTTTAGATGTGGCATGCACCCCTCTGATATATGAGTAATGATGTTTTTCACCACTGCAGGAGACCTACTTTCTAAGCTTTGCTGTAGTAGACACTGTACTATAAAAGTGTACTGTTAAACCTTCTGCCCACTTACTCTGACACTGTTGATGTTATTATTTGTGACATTTTCTCTATAACTATAATGGAGATACACAAAAACCTATGCAGCATGCAGTGTTTATGAATGTAAATTTGCATGCTGGATGAATTACTCCCATTAAGACGTCTATTTTGAGTAATTCCAGGGGCTTTCACGGCCATTAAATGGTCACACTGCAGCCGAATCATGCAGCATTGTCCTTTTATGCAGAGACCCTCATTGTTGTGAAGACAGCAAATTAAAACCTTAAAAAATTGTGGCAAAGCGGAGAATTAATGGACAAGCAGGTCTGATAACAATAACAGTGTGTATGTTTTTTTGGAAAGGTGTTGGAGAGGGAGAGAGGGGAGCGAGCGAGGGAATGGATCGCGGAATTGCTTCTCTGTGTGTACGTCAGTATTGATGCACTGCTCTGCGCCTGTCTCACTGCAGCGTGGTGTTTAATTTATTGTAAAAATGGTAATTAGGAAACAATAAGACGTGTGATTACTCAAGCAGGAAGTTTATAATTAGAGAGGGAGCTGGTAGGGACATTTTGGGTGGCCCTGCGTTCTCAGACAACTATGGCTGGCAATTAAAACTTGTCAAACTTCCCTGGCAGATATATTGGGAGAGTGTTGTTTTGGTTTGAGTGCTCTTGGCAAGAGACTGACTGTCCAAGCTGTAAATCTCATGACGGTCAGTGCACATGCATGCCCACATGTGGACAGATAGTCTTAGAAGGATGAGGGATAAATGGACGACTGATGACTATGACACCTCAGGCTAACCGGCAGTATGACGCCGAGTTTAAGACGAGCTGTTTCTTATACCGTACATGTCAGCCGTGCAGCTCCTGTATACAGAGTAGACATATTCAGCTTATTTAAATGCATAATTATTCTAAATGTCATTGCCAGTGGTTGTGGGTTTTTATCCCATACTCACTGTGTAAACATGTGGGCTGAAGCTTGGTCCTCAGAGCCCTGTAGACAGAGCAGTCGTCGTCACAAGTCAGGCTGTGTTTATAAGGAAAAAAAGGATTTCCCAATACAATAAAAAAACTTTATGAATAGATTAATGAAAGAATCCCTATTAATAATTTAAATTATTGATTTATTGAGCAATTACAAAGGGAACACTTCAAGGTCAGGCAAGGACACTTAGTTTGAGTTGATGTTTGGGCTCCCTGTTGCAAAACCCTTGACTTTTTCCTGTACCCTGATGTTGAACGATCTGTCCACCTGCTCTATTTAAAGAGTAAAATGTAATATAATTTCTGTTTCATGTATCTGAAATTGCTCTGAGGAAATAGCTCATCTTTTTAATGGTTAATTGTTTGTTTTTTTCCTTCTTTTGAAATAGACATTTAACTCACAAACAACTCCCTGGACACCTATAAACCTTAATTTTGCCTTTTATACTGTCCGCCTGGGACTTCTATGGAGTAGCTTTGCCTAATTTTCAGTGCTCAAAAAACTCCATCTTTATCTCCTACCTTGTTTAAATAATTTAGAGCTGCTGACTGAAATGTTTGGTTTTGGCTGCTTTTCCTGTGATATGAAGGTAGAAATGGTATCTAGATGTTGCTTTTTACACAGCTAAGAAAAAACGTCTCAGATGTTATGCTCCTGCAGAATACTTCTTAGGTCAGCTGTTAACACCCACTTAGCTTGTGTCATGGGCAGGACATCAGGTGAGACAAAGTGGAGCAAGAAAACAGAGGGAGAGACTCACCAACAATTTTGATTTATCAACTTTGTCAGCCATTAGTATGATAAAAGGCAGATTACAGTTAATTGTCAAGTGCCTAATATTACAAAGTCGTTTTTTTTAAGAATTACAAGGTCATGTAGCAGACGCCTTTATCCAAAGCAACGTACGTACAAATTATACACCAGCAGAGGACACACACTGTGAGCAAGGTAGGTTAAGTTTCTTTCCCAAGGACACAACAGACAGGTGGGATAAGGGTAGATGGGTATTGAACCATCAACCTTCCAGTTGTTGGATGACCTCCAAAGCTACTGCCACCCAAATATCTGCTCTCGTAATTGGCTAAGGTCAATCAGGGGTCCTTGCTAGTTTGAGCCTTCATGGGAGGTCTTAGATCGAGCAGCCAAAGGTTTTAGTAACGATTGAGATGCAAATCCAGCTTGTACCAGCCATTATTTATCGAGGTGTTATCAGCATAAACACTTTTCATTGCTGCTTGTCCTAAAAAGTACATTTAAAAAATGCCACTTTTTTTTTTCTTTATCGCCACTTTCAAAACCAAATGAACACTTACGAGCAACTTTTCAAGACACATTAAATCAACAAAGTACAGCGTGAAGGAACAAAGTCCCTCAAACCAGAAGTTCTAGAGACTTTTTGTCAAAACATACCCATTTAATATCTCAAGGATCAATTGTTGTGGATGTTCCATACACTGTGATAAAATGAAAGAGGTGGTATTGTAATTACTTTTGATTGTAATTACTGGCACTCAGTATAAAGCCACAAGAGTAAGATTATAAAGCAAGCTAATGAGCTTAATTTACCTTATTCAAGTTCTGCACTTCATACATTTACTCTATTCACAATCAAACTCAACTGTATATCTCCGGTTTTCTTTTTCTGCATTTTAGTCTCTGACAGCTACAGAGTTGTGCTCGCTATATTCCCAGGGTTTGTGTGGGCTCTGCTGATAAGATGGATTTTGTGTGTCTTACAGCTGTAATGCTGATTTGAATTTTAATGTCCTCAGACAATAGGTTCTTGTGCAAGGAATTCCTAAAGTTCAACAGTTTATTTTTATTGCATATCATCTTTCATTTCCATTGTGGCAATAAAACAAACAGTGTATGAGAGCCCTCTCCTCCAGCCTCAGGATCATTGGGAAACCGGAGTTGCCTGTGTTCCCATGTAACACTGTTGTGTGTTGATTTTCAGCTCAATTGGATAGAATTGATTGTGGGCCGAAACTACGTAACTCAGGGTTATTCGATAAGTATAGCCTTGAGGAAAACGGCTCCACTGTACAATAAATTTGACAATAACCTGACTGATAATGAAAACACCGACTGTCCACATGTGTAGACTGTTATTCATTCATAGACAAATGTCATACGCTTTAATTATCAGTGTTAATAAATGCATGTAAATGTTCTCCATCCTTGCTCTTCCTCTGTGCACGTACCAAAGCACGAGTTAATGAGTGCATGTTTTGACATTGTCTGTATCCTATCACGTATGCGAGTGTATGCCTGTGTTTGTCCCGTGCGACTATGTGTGTGTGTGCCTTCTCACAAGCCTGAGTGTATGTGTGGATATTGGCTGCAACCAGAGATCTGGACTCATGTCAACAGGCTGCTACCACACATCACTGCCCTTGCTAATTAATTGGCTTTTAGTCGCGGGTGTGTTTGGTGCATTGTCAAGCTACCCATTGCTTTTTTTCCCTCTTTTTTGGCAACAGTCACTTAACCATTTCTTGGTAGCAGTCGTTGTGTGAACGCTTGTTTCCAGGTACTGTGATAACTGCAGTTATTTTAGATCCCCTCTTTTCTCTCCCTCCCTCTCCCTCTTTTTTCCCTTAACAGGAAAAAATATGCCTCTTGTGTTACTATAATTCACACCTCTTTTTTTTTTCCTTTTGGTTATTTATTTTCTAGTTTATACGTTGCCTTGTTCTGTTGTAAGATGAGGTGCGGGGAGATAACATCTGAGTAGATGTTTTTTTTTCTGTGTACAGGGAAATGGACCAAAGTGCAATCTCTGCAAAGGTTACATTGGTGAAGATGAGTTGAGGGGATGGTGGGGGAGGAGGAAGAGGAAGAGGAGGAGGAGGAGGAGGAGGAGGAGGAGGAGAAAATGTTTCATGTTCCTTATGATGTGCTTCTGTATTGCTGTCCTGGACTGAAAATGGTGCCTCTTCAAATTGAGCGAGACTACTCTTGACTTGGAGGCAAATGGTTCTGCTTTGTGCTACAAGAATCAGAGAAAATTGAAAAAGTATTCAAAATGCTAACAATTTTAAGGAACAGCGCATAATAAGGCCATTGTGGTTTGGGATAAAAGTGGAAGTCTGGAGGCCACAGAGTTTAATATCTAGACGGATGTTTTCCCACTTATCTTCACCGTAATGTCAACATTTAGGTCGACTGTTGATATTCACGACTGTACATGTGGTTATTCCTCTTGTGCATAAGAACAAAGACTTTAATGTGTTGAAACGCACAGTCTAACAGTGTATTGTTTGCCCTCTTCTTGCCATAATTTATGCCTTATGAAATATTGAAGGAAAACCACAGCTGCTGCTGGCTTCTGCATTGTGTCTTTGGCTTAGTAGCATGTTTTCCTTGTAAATAAAGTCTGTAATGATAGCTTTAAAAAGTGTTTAGAGACTTGCTGGCACAACCTTAAAGGGCTGCAGAAAAAAGGAAAAGTCCTCACAAGAAGCTTTCCTTTGTTGCCAACTTGTTTAAGAAGCAGAGAGCATACTGAGCAGCAGGGGCTTGAATTATACTCCACATATCAAAACATTTGGTGGATCAAACACTTAATGTTAGAGCCAAAGTGCCTCTGCCATGAATACATGTAATTTCTCACTCTTACTCTGACTTTTTGACTCCAAATTTCTCTTGTTCTCCGCGGCTCTGATCCTGTCTTGCCTCATCTCCCTCCTCTACTGCCTCTCCTTTCCCCTCATCAAATGCCAGAAGAAGAAAGTAGCACGAGTGACTGAGTCATGTCTAACCTTTACACATCTCTCTTCCTCTATGTGTTCCTCTCTCTCTCCGCCCAGTATCCTGAACCAAGAGACGGTGGCCTGGGCGAAACCCGGGGCCTGCCAGAGGATCACTCCGCTTGTCTGAGTGCCAACGTCTGGGCTCTGCTTCCCGGCCTGACTTTGGCTCTGGTCCTGGCCCAGCATGCCTTATAGAAGCGCCAGGAGGAGAAAAAAAAGAGGTCATCCACCCACAAGCTGATCCCAAAAGCAGAAGGTGTTATTTCTAAGACTGATATTAAGAAGGCTGACTCTCTGGGCAGATGACTTTAAACACATTTGAGAAAGAGGAGAAAACAAACCAAGGGAAGAGGTAGAAAATATTCAGATTTGACGGTTGTGAATTTGTTGTTCATTCAGCCTAACGTTTGGGCGGACTGCAACCATGTTGCATCATATTACAATCGGACCCTGTGAGGGACTGCAAGGGCCGCTTTTTGGGAATGACTCTCCCTGTGACTGAGAACCAAAAACACGGAGGGCCGAAACCGATCATGACAAAGAAAGACTTCTGCACTTCTCTCACTGGAGGAGGGAGACGGGGAATGAACAACATAATTAAATGAAGAACAAGGTTGACAGGGATGAAATTGTAACGGAGAGAAAAGGTTTGTACAAGGGGTAAATGTGGTAGAAAGAGAGAGAAAGAGAGAAAGAAAGAGTGAAAAGAGACATTTCTGCTTCTGTTACTTTTTTGTCTTGAATTGGTTCTCGACTTAATCTTCTCTTGGATGAGCAGACCATAAATTTGGGGGCCGGAAAATAAAGGGGGGATGATTACATTCTGTCTGTTCAACACAAGTGTAAACTCTAAACTGTAAAACCTACTCAGTGTTCTAAGTGTTGGTATAGTATCCGTGACCATAATCAATCTACCGTACAGCTCTTTCATTTGGGTACTATAGTAAGCTCTTGTAAGCAGGTGAAGAAAAGAACTAAAGAAGTTACACGTTTATGGTTCTTTGGTCATTTGAGATGTTGTTGTTGACATCTGTGGATCAGTGTCCACCTGCACATGTGTATATTTCTGTCTCTATGTATATAAACCTCACTTTTCTTTCATTTAAACCAAACAATATCATCAGTACCTTTAATGGACTTTACCGTACGCTAAGATGGCTCTGTATTGGTACTAAAAGAAGGCCTTCATTATCTGCGTTTATATTTGTCTATAAAGGTCCGAACACAAAGAATGTATACGGGGATGAGATTAAATGAGCTCAAACTGCTTGGAAAGCCATAATCTGTGTGTGTATGTGTGTGTGTGTGAATCATACAGCGTGTGTTCGGTTATTACAACACTGGTGCGTCTGTGTTTACATTCAGGAGGAAGTGGCTAATAAGGAGCTGCTGAGATTGCAAGAGTAGGAGTTCATCCAGCCCCCTAAGAGAGCAGAGGTTATGATGCATGGTGTAATTAACTTTGGGGTATTTGGAGAGGGCTTGTCGTGACCCAGACTTAAACCCCACCACTCCTCTTTTTACTGAATATTTTAAGAGGCCAAAATAGTACATACAGTAGTTATAAATGGTCTTAATTTACACACTTAAAAGATTGCTGTTTGTGAGCTTGTCCTGCAGGAGGTCAGAGTTTGACCACTGCTCTGGTAAGGCTGCCTTCAAATAAACGCGGTCATGATGCAGTTAAACTCAAAGAAATGCTTGTTTCCAGGTACTGTGAAACTTATTTGCTTCCAGCAGAGAGTTTGATAGGACATCAATAACACCCCGTCTGTAAGCTATAGCCACTGCCAGAAGCCAATTAGCATAGCTTAACATTAAGATTGAGTAAAGAGGGAAACAGCTTGCATGGCTCAGTGTAAAAGAAAGTAAATGCGCATCACAGCTCCTCTTAATATTTCTCATCGACCTCTGACCTCTTTGTTTTTTTCTTCTTTCTTTAAAGGAGTAATGTAAACATCATATTTAATTATTTAATATGAGGTGTTGTTGTTCGCTACTGTTTGAGTTTTTCATGCAATAACCAACCGCAGGCCTCATATCTACCACACATTTGAGAGTACTTTCAACTCTCCATTAAGTTCTCAACAAGAGAGCAACAGATTTTATACTAACTGCACTTTTTAAAAGATCTAAGAATTTCGTCAAAACCCTCAAAAGGAAATTTTTACCTTTTCCCCTGTAACTTACAGATACTTGAAATACACTCCATTCATATAACAAATATTCATGCATGCACTAAGTAAAGCTATTTTTTATATTTTAATCTGATTTCTGTAACAAAGTCAGTGTTCCTATTATAGCTTATCAAGTTTACAACTTTGACACTCAGACGTTTACATGACACACATGAGAAAAACAAATTATCGCCTTACTTCGATTAAGACCGGACAACTGAAGTGCATGTAAACACCTTAGTCCAACTATAACTGGAGTTTGAGAACTTCGATTGGAGTTGCAGTATGATCGGACAATGCATGTACGCGTGCGCCACGCCCCCGTAACAAAAAGAAGAGGAGTAGTCTGCATCTCATCAGCAGAAAAAGTAGCGTGTACATCATACATGACAAAAACATCGCTGTACTGATGCTCCATCTTCTTGCTCAGCAGCTGTAGCTACTTCTGACATCTGACACGGACCTGCTGTTGTTGTTGACAGTTGTATGGGGTCGGAAACAGCGCCGCTGAAAAGACCCATATCGCCCCCTAGTCTTGAGGAGGAGGACATTCAATTTTTTTCGTATTCGTGGACAAAGAGAGAAGTCTGATTCGATTTGAGCAAAAAACAATAAATTATGAGCTTAGTCCGATTAAGCTGTTTATGTAAACACACTGAGTGTTGAATGAGAAATATCAACCTACCGTATCACAAATAGAAGCACCCATTCATTTAGTATCTTGAGCGTGATAACATTAATTAACCAAACTTACATGAGATATTACATATTGCACTCATTAACAGAATAACACAAAGAGATCACATGGACATATGGTCTGATTATATTTCATACAAAGTGTATAATAATGCAAAAAACGTCCTAGAAAATAATATGTACAAGAAAAATGCTACTCAGAACTGAACAATGATCATTTTTCAATGGTTGAACTCTCACAATGGACCCCACTCACAGTATATGACAAGCCTAATACCAATGTTAGCATAGGTTCAAATTCATCTGTAATATTTGACCCAGAGATAAATTCATCTGAGTTTAAACTCGCAGCTGTCTGAACTTTAGACAGCAGGGGGAAATACTGCACAACCAAAAAATAACTTTAATACATCAAAGTCACTTTTTTTGTTTCAAACATTTCAAAAGGTGGGGAAGTGATCCCCCCTCTCTCTATGCAGTCAGAGAGAGATTAAAACTGAGCGTGTGCAAAGTGAGTATTACAACTCTGGCTCGTTTCTTGTTTGAGATTTAAAGTGTCTTAACTGCCCCCTGTCTCCCCTACTTGAAGACCATGCATGTGTTTTGATTAAGTTGTTTGCAGATTTGTTTTCCATTTCTGGTGTTGAGTCAAGACATGGAGATAAAAGAGGACTTTTCTGGTTCATTTCATAATGGGGTTGATGTTAAAATAAGCAAAACTGTAGTCAGAGCAAGCAATTATCTTCCAGCGTTATTCCCTGTGTTGCTGTCCGCTCTTATACCTCCTCTGTACTTTTGCTGGTGAATTCAGGAACAACACAGGCACAGAGGGGAGGGCTGTAATACTCAGAAGGCTGAAGTTGACTTAACTAGGACTTGATTTTGGCCTCTTTGTTTCTCCAAATAGACTGTAACTAAAAAAGATATAAAACATGAGTTTTGTGTTAAAAATTGAAAATATATTTAAAACTCAACCCACATAGGCTTATTTGCATCAAAGGTGAAAGAACTGTGAAAGTTTAGTTGTAGATTTTCTCTGTTTGAACAACAGGCTGATGTCCTCTTACACACACACAAATGCTTCCGAATATGTATTAGATTTATTCTGCACCATAGTTTATGGAAAACAACAACAGTGAGACTGAAAAATATGGAAAATTTTGATTTGTATCTTTACAGACAGGATACCACTTTACCTGCATTGCTTTTCGTCTCAAATCATCTGAAAAGTATTCAAACTGAACGTGGCATGTTTGGAAATGAAAGATGTTATTTGGTCTGCTTAATCCACACAAATGTCTTCTCTAACATTGCAGCTCAGTGTTTTCATCTAAATGTTTGAGTCTACAGGCAACAGATTAAATATAATGATGTGTCACATGTATGCTGTTAAACCAAACAGTGTTATACTGTATTATGGCTGGTTTGGACAGGGCCGGATGTCAATTTAACTTCTTCTAAACTTGCTCATCAACAGTGGCTGTGGTTGGGTCTGTTGGAAATTATAGATGTTTTCCAAACTGGTGAGTTTACAGCTCTAGGACTCAGAGGATAAACAATGTCAAACACTTTTTTATATGTGTAAAACTTGATATGAGCTCCAAAAGTGAACAGCATCACAGTGTTTGATGTTTCTGGTCCGTCTTGTTATCATTTTTGTGTTTCAAAAGATATGGGGGCTCAGTTTTCATTTGGAGAAATTTCCACCTGTCTCGGAAGAAACTGTCAAACATTTGTAAATCAGTCACCATTTCAAAACACCAACGAATATTTAAAGATAAAAAAAATCCTGAATGTTTCAGTAATGTGTACTTGCTGTCTTGAAAACACACACAAACATCTCTTAGAAGTATTTTTTATCTGATCTTTTTTCGCTATCAGTACCTCGGTCACTTTGAATTATAATGTAGCGAGATTACAAGCCGCTGGAAATGAATGTTGAAGTAAAGACTGCATGGTTTGGAGAGTAAGTAGGCGAAGTGAGTAAAATCGGAAATTTGTCTGCTGTGCAAAATAATTGAAATAAGACAAATCGTTATCTGTTCGGCAGGTCTTCAACATCAACAGCAGCAGTCGGGCTCTGTGTTTGAGAATCAAACAGAAACTTACATGAACATTAAACAATTTCAGAGGAAGATATACATCAAAGATGGAGCAGAGCTGACAAGTCTCTGGCAAGAACATCCTCAGCAGTCCATAATGCAATACAGAAGTAATACGGTGCAGACCTCGCCACGGACACAACCCAGAGCTCTAGTCTCTGACACAGACGTAGGTTTGTTCAGTGGAATTAAACCTGATTATTTTTCACATTTAATGACAGAAACAGTTCATTCAAGCTGATTCTGCAGCATGTGTTTGTCCACTCAACGCTCTGGCTCTCTTTTTTTTCCTGCGTCTTCTCTCACCTCTATGTATTTTACATTGTGCCTGAATCATTTAAAGCTCAGTCGAGAGTAGAGGGGGATTATTACTGAGAGAAGGTGAAATGCAAACTGACTGCAGTGTTTGTGCCTGGATGATAGCAAGAATTTGGTGATGTTTGTGTACAGGAGGAAGTCAATGACTGACACTTCATGTTCAACCCTTTTGACAACTTCAAATGTACTTTTCTTGGTGTTCACTCAATGTGGAGGCAAATAGAGTCCTTCATGTCTCTGCAGCTTCAAATCCCCACATTTTCCCGTTTGCAGCTCTGCAGCAGCTCTACAAACGCAACATGAAAATGAACTTAGGCCCTGTTGAGTATAATTTTACAACCTGCTCTGTGAGAAAATTTACAGCTGAAAGCTCTCTGGGCTCCCAGTTTGTGCAGCTGTCAACAGAACAATGCAGCACATACCTCCCTGCCTATTAATCAAGATTTGATTTGGTCAGTTTGTTGCTTACTTTTCAGAAAAACTGATGAAATGCACGGGGTGATTATATAGTCAGCTTTCCATAAAAGCGATCAAAAGTGGCGGATAAACGAAAGGGTTTTGACGAGCAGAAAATGCAAATAAACTCATCAAAATTCAAAGCTCCCTCTTCTTTCAGTTTACTCTCTCTCGAGTCCTTAGTTTTTGTTTCTGTTTTTTTCTCTCTTTGGTTGGTAACATCGGCAGTTCTTACACCCGTTGTATTACTAGAGCGCGAGTAAATGTATATGCAGGAGACCTACAGACAAACAGCATGAGCTGTGAATGTTTAGAGAATTTTATGGCTGGTAGTATTTGTGCTTGAGCAGTGGCACAGCTTGAGAGGAGGCAGAATAAAGCACTTTAAGCAGTGGAGTGAGCACTTGCATCTGTGTTTGAATGTTTGATGCAAAGTCAAAATGACACGGTTATCTTTGTGCATGATCATAATTTAAGCTACAGAGACAGAAATGCATCAGACTTTTGTCTTCGTGCGTTGTACAAAGTGCTTAGCTGCTCAACTTTAGGCGAGAGAGTTTTTTTGTACTTTTTTTTTCGCCCTTGTGTCCTTGCTTTCTTGTGTTTCAAAACTCACTTTGTTTTATGCTTGTCTCTGTGAGTAAACGCTTGTGTACTCGCGGCTGTGTGCATGAGGATTTGATTAGGAATGAGTATAAAAAAATCCTGAGACAGAAAATTTGCTACGAGAGCGTTTTCCTTTTTTTTTTTTTTTTTCAAAAGGAATCCTAGTGGAGTCCAGTTTGTTTTCCTCTCTTCACAGACGAGTAGGAGAGGAGAAGCGGAGGGGTTTTGGGGGCACGGGGAATAAGAAAGCGGCAGGTAGCTGTACATTTCACAGTTGATTAATGAGTCAGTGGGATGATGTCTCTTATCAACACTCTGCACATGGCGCAGAGAGAAGAAAGGTTTACTGGGGCTAGAAACGCTCCAATCACAGACGGCTCCTGTTGCCGTCCCATCATTCCTTTCTGTGCTCACCCACCTGTTTTTGTGAGGGGGGCTCTCTTCTCTTCTCTGCAGCAGTTTGAAGCTGATGCAATATCAACTCTTTACCCTGTATTAAGTTAGGTGCCAATGAGTTTTGTCTGAGATGTATCTGCTACTGTGGAGTTCACAGTGTGTATCATGGTCTTTGTTATGAGATTACCACAAGGAAGTGATGTAAACGCCTGTAATGAGTCGTTAAAGTGACTTCATGCGCCAAATAAAGTCTAGCAGACTGCCTGCTGACAGCCGGAGAAGATCTGTAAGTAGAGTATCTGTTAATAGTTACAGGTGTGCTTGAAAATATATCACTTTCACGCTTGACAGAGCTGGATGTTTGATTTAGACTCCGGTTTATCAAGTTTGATACACAGCCTGAATCTGTTGATTCTTGATAAATATGTATGGCTCCCACTAATGGCTCTCAAAACCTCAGCGATATGAGCTGAGAATGATAGTTCTGTCAATGCCAGGGCAGAAAAATCCCAGCCGCAGCATGTTTCCTTAGCGCTGTAATACACTGTGAAGATAAATCACAGTGGGGGAAAAGATGAGAGAAGAAAGAGCAGGAGACAAATAAATTCAAGAAATGTATTACTCATGTTGTTGTGTGTAGTATATATCCTTTTAAACAGTAAGCCTAGTTCTTTCAGTGTTTTCTTTTGTATGACTAATGGTGTTTACGTGTCGTGTTTATGTTGGAAATCCTTTTTGATTGACTGGTTTGCAGTAAAATATCAGTGGCAGTTGTAGGGATTTACAGGTGTGTGAGAGAGAGAGAGCAAAAGTGAGTCCAGCTGTCTCTAAATAAAGTGCAAAGTTGAGCTGTTGTTGAGGTTTATGTTGCTTTTTGTTCACCCAGAGAAGACAGAGGTAGAGAAAAAGGCAGGATGAAAAGGTAGGTAAGCTTATCACAGCAACATGGAGGTCATTTTACCAGTTTCTCCTATCTTTAGTGTGCAATAATAAGATTAAAAAGAGCAGATCCAACCATGAAACATATTATACTACAGGTGTTTTTAAATGACAAACACTTGCTCATCAGCACAGTTGATGGAATGCATGTCTGAATCTTGTCCAATCAAACGTATTTTTGCAAACACATTAAATAAAACAAAGGTTGACTTCAGCAGTGCCAGAGTAGTGGCAGTTCCACATGGCAGCAAGGGGTAATTGAAAAATGTGAACTTCAAACCCTGCATTCATGCAACTCCAAAGTTAGGTTGTGCACAAATATTTCTGCCTCTCCAGTGAATTTCTGTCTGGTTTGGGAGAAAAAAGCCACAACTTGCATATTCTGTTGTTTTGGTTGAGTTGCTCTGCCTGAAATCGGACTCATACAGTCCACAAGTATTGCACCTACTTATTATGCAGTTTTTGACTATATTGCATTTTATGTTGACTTAGCTCATTACAGTGTGTCATATTTCAGAGCATTGCATTGTATCTTATAAGTAATTATTTTGTACATTTCTGCCTGATGTTTAACATCATATCATTCTGTGTTACGTGATATATCTTATCACATTGTGCCATATTGCATCCCATTGCTTGGAATCATATCATATTGCATCATGTTGTATCAAGATACTGTTTCATGTCTTCTTGCATTGTACCATTCTGCCAGGTATTGCACATACTGTATAAAACATGGGTGCAATGTCAATGACTACAGCTTCTAAAGTAGAGTTTTGAAGCCAAGCAGTGGCAGTCCCCTTGGTGGAAATGCTGACTCGCCTTAACTTTTGGTTAAACCTTCCAATGGTAGGCATGGAGCCTTCTCACAAATGGTTACAGTGTCAATCAAGTCAGCTGTGCTTCTGATTTGCCAGTCATTCTGACCAAAAACTTTTTTTTTGAACCAGGTTGTTAAAATGTTAACTTTTCTTTAATTATTTACTTTTTCAACTTTGTGTTACCGTAGTTACTGGTGCTTCTGCAGCCAATCTCAAGTGGGCACTTGGGTACTGCAGTTTTTAGTACTTAAGCACTGACTCCATTTCTCAAGACCGGTCATATCATATCATATCATATCATATCATATCATATCATATCAAATCATATCATATCATATCATATCATATCAACTCATATCATATATCATATCATATCATAACATATCTTATCACATAATAACCTATCAAATCATATCATATTATATTCTATCAAATCACATCCTATCATATCATATCATAATCTATCCTATGAAATCATATCATATCATGTCATATTATATCAAAACATATCCCATAATATCCAATCATATCATATCATATCAAATCATATCATATCATATCATATCATATCATATCATATCATATCATATCATATCATATCATATCATATCATGAGGCTAATTTGGTGTTCAAGTCATTCATAATATGATCTTTTTTTCCATTTCCGTGTCAACAACTTTCAATGCCCTGGCAGAGAACTGTCCACAGTCCAAGTTATAGTAAGTTAGTCAATGATAATATATTAAAACAAACATGGCATATGGAGAACCTCATCCTCTTTACAAATGCAAGGAGCTGTTAATGCCTTTGAATAACTCAGTTCCTGATGGCAGACTGATTTCAGAAAGCAATGGCTGGTATCCTTGGAACATATTTTTTTTTGTGCCTGAAAAAGCAAATATCTGATGTTTCTTTTAAAAAAGTTAAAGGGTTTTAACACCTGTAAAAGTTCTACAGACATTTCTATTACTTCTAGAAAAAAAGAAAGAAAGAAAAAAGAAAAGCTTTCTGAAGGGGTGACAGCTCAGCCAGACACCGCTGTCCATTCTGTCTATTCAGTGTCCTGTGAAGTTAGTCTGACCTTCATAAGACCTTTGTGCACATGAGCCCAAGCGCCTCAGATCGACTGCAGCAGCATCATGATATGTATTCGTATAGAC